CAGGTGTTAATGGGTTAAGTCATCTGACCATAGAGCAAGGAACAAACTTGCGTATCGTTGTTTGGAGGTTAGAGATTCACTGTATGAAACTACAGGGCATTTTGTGCATGTTCAGGGTTGTGCGCGACAGAGATAATATTCATAAGATGGAATGTTTGCGTCGGGGTGATGTAAAATCAAATTCGGTTTTTGCCCTTCACCGACGTACTGTATACTCAGTGTGTTACCTCCCGAGTGAGAGTTGGAAAAAATCACTCGGGTGGGACTTGAACCCACGACCTCCTGCTTTCTAGTGCAGATGTCTTACCACTCGACCACCGAGCTAACAAGATCGGTTGGCCGGTTTGAATCTGATGTACATGGCAGCGGGTACCGCATAAACTATTAATAAGATGGGATTGATATTACACATGTACTGCAGTATTATGCATTACTTCAAAGTAATGTTGTTTGTTTATCAATGTACCAGCAACTATTCACACTCATAATAGTGTCACATCCTGAGACCGTGAGACTTGCCATGATTGATTTAATAATGAGTTTCTCTGGATTATGTCTTAAAATAAGCTTTCTGATCAGTTAACTGATTTGAATCTAATGGTTGCTGCCAACAGTCCAAGTGTGAGGGGTGAATATGAACGGCCACAATCAGATTTTAGCTGTTACCATGGTTACACGCAGAGTGTCAAATGCTTTTACCAAATCTGTATTGATAACAGTAAATATGGTAAATGGGTTTATTTCGTGTCAAATAAGCAAAGAAATTGAAAGTTTAAACCCCACCCCCTTCAAATTGGATCATATCGGTATTTAGTGTACAGCCTGTCTAAAAAAAAATGGTACAATCGAAAATGATTTTTTTTTCAATATTAAATCTCAACATAAGTAAGTCGTTTTGAGCATCACATTACTGAAAAAAGTCCAGGCTTTCCAATACTTTTTGTTTCATCTCATTTGCTTTTGTCAATTCAGAGATAACTCCAGTTTACTGCGGAACACAAAAATCGAGTTTGTTTCTTTTGCCAAGTTGCAATCTTTTGTGAGATTCAAGACAGCATGGCACAGTACTCGAAACAACTCTGCCCATGCATAAAAGTGGCACAAAATCGATTTTGGTGTATCGCACTAAATTGATTATACACGTATCTCTGAATTGACAAAAGCAAATAAGATCAAACAAACACTATTGGAAAGCCCAGTCTTTGTTCTTTAATATTATGCCAAGTAAGAATGACTTATTTTGAAATTTCATATTTAACCAATTTTTTTTTCTGATTGAATCATTTTTTTTTTTTGACAGGCTGTATAGTGTAATTGAGGCTGAAAAAAATATGAAATTTGAAGTTTTAGCACAATCGAACCGATGGTTTTTGTGCTACCATGTATCCCCCAGTTTTGTTGCAATTTTTGTCAAAATGGGCGATCCGTCAATTTTCAAATGACCATACATGTATAGTATCTGCATAATCTGTTGGCCAAATTTGTTACAAACTTATATGAAAAATATACCCCAACATGTTTTACAAAAATATCCAAAAATTGGTCCAAAATGACACCATTCTCAGCAACAACATTTTGCAGAGATGATAGTATGCAGTGCTTGGCGAAGCTGCCTGTTTCTCCAGTAATAAATGACCACGTTCAGCCAGTAGTTGGTGTACACAATACTTTGTGCGATGATAAACAGACTGCTGTTGGGAATGGCAATGCCTAGGGATAGCAGCACCAAAAGAATCGTGTGTGGTGTCCAGCAGAGGAATAACACACTGGCGATGATAAACACAGTGGACGCTGACTTTGTACTGGTTCCCTGCGGAGCGTTAGGGCGTGGTTGTGGGTTACCGATGTTGATTTGAGCGGCGATTCGCCGAGCGTGACGGCGAGCGACTTTCAGAATCCAGATGTAGACTATCACGATAAGTCCCAGCGGAATTACCAGTAAGCCGATATAAATGTAGTTACAGAACTCACAAGTAGGGACACACTGATTTCCTACGAGATGGGTTTGCTTGAAAAAGCCAAGTAAAATAATGTATATTATGAGAGTGAAAATCCATAGAAATGCAATTATGATCTTGGATCTGCGTGGTGTTATCAAAGTTGGGTAGCGCAGGGAATGAACTATGGCGATGAAACGGTCAATTGTTAATAGGACAAGAGACAGAGTGTTGATGGTGTTGAATGTTGGGTACAAAATTCCGCTCAGCGTGCATAGGAAACCCCCAAAGACAAATTTGCCGGTGATGTTTATGGTCCAGAGAAGAATGCCACAGAACATCCCAATGCAGAGATCGGATATGGTGAGGGAAGCTGTAAACATCTTGGTTGTGTCTTGGATGTTGTTGGTCCGGCGTAGAGCCACAAGACATAATGGATTCAGTACAGCATTCAGGACGATGTTCAGAGCCATGACGACATTAGCAACAATGATGAGGGGCTCTGTTTGTGGGATCGACCCTTCCGCGGTAATGTCCAGGGTGTCATTTATTCCTGTTGCATTCATGGTTTGAAAATTATGTTGGTGTTTTGATCAAGAAATTGGTTAAGTACAAATCCTCAATTCCAGCTGAAGGATATCGTCACCAACCGCTTGCCTACCGTTAGAACTTGATCAGTTCTGACATCGAATTCCTGGAACTGAGTCAAATTGGCCGACAGTCTGCGTCTTTACCCAGGAGACATCAACTACATCAGACCAAGATGGAAGCAGGGCGATACTCTCACCGGTCACTATTACATACCATCTGAACTTAATTGCTTTTGAAATCCAGTTACCAAGATCCAATGTCGAATTTGCCGACAGTTTGCATCCTTTGCAAGATTACTCCAACTTCATCAGATCAAGATGAAAACAGGACCTGACACCACAAAGAGAATATCAGATATTATATACAGATCCTTGTAATTTGATTGGTGGAACGCGCCCCACGTGACATTCATTACTGCTTCGCGCCGGTGATCGAAAAGACCCATTCGCCCATGGTGAATGGGATTTATTATTCATCAGTTAGGATCATCCTTGTTTCATGGCACGGTAGTGGTGTGCAGATGCATGCTGGTGTGCGCATTGAGTGTAGCACGTATTGTTCACAAGACCAAGTAACTACAGAATTGGTTTCAAACATTTCCTGCAGGGATGGTTTGGAAGAAAAAAATAATATTTCCCACCAATTTTGTATTGAAATAGAAGCTCATTTTAATTGTAAACCAATGACAAGGATCTTTGCCAGTTATATATTGAGTGGCTTTAAATTGTGAAATGGGAGGAATATTATCAGTCGGTAAATTCTGGACTTTTCCATTTCACTCGGCTTCGCCTCGTGAAATAAAGTACATGTACAGATTTTACCTTGCGATAATATTCCTCCACCTCCCTCTGAGCCACTCAATATTTCTATACTGATTAACTCCAAGATTGCATGTCGTAATATCTGAAATGAAATTCAGTGGAACTGTTAAAGCCACTGACAGTGACAGATTAATTAAGGATCTAAAAGTAGGATATTGCAATGATTCATGTTGAACCGTCCTCTGCGATAGCCTGACTTTGACAAGCAGCTTACAAATTGTCTCATTACTTTCAGAGATCTTGACATCTCCAGATTTTTGGCAGCCATTAATTTGGAGTTGACATGCAGCCATTCAATTTTTTGTCCCCAGAAAGACTTTGGAACTTGCTTGTAGAGTTATGGATTAATGGCACTTCCGATGGCCATTTTTTATGGACATGTACTGGAGTCTTTCGCTCTTTACTTGGTTTGTATAGCCTATGCAAATACCGGTAATTGCATCTATTCAATTATCCAATCAAAAGGTGTGTCGATCACTCCAAAATACGTAACCTCAGCACACCAATTCTCCAGACATTTCCACTTAGTTTGCTCTTAACCTGTTGATTAGTCCGCTGTACAGCCCCAAAGTGCCCTGTCTGTTCTCCTAAATACGCATGGGTGAGATTAGTCAGGATTTTTCCTAATTTCAGGAACTTTTGTCATGATTTTCCCAGATTTCAAGATATTTTTGTCCGGATTTGTCGGATTTCAAGATTTTTTGCGAGTGTTTTTCCTGACTTCAGAATTTTTTGTCAGGGTCTTTCCGATTTCAGGATTCTTCAACAATCAGTTTGAAAACTGGAATTCCTCAGGTTTTACCCTAAAGGTGTTTTTACCCAGGAAAGTTTATAAAGAACAAAAATAGAAATGTGTATTTTAAGGAGTGTCTTTAGCCAAATACAAACATATGCCATGTACGTTGCCCTTGGGCCTCTGGTGACCCTCCAACCATCTGCCGTTTACTTCATGGCTTTTCCATTTGTATACCGCCCCAAACTGCCCCAGCACTCTATGGTTTTATAAATTCATCAAGGAGTATACATTCTAAATACAGTGTAATACAATGAGTTTAAAAATCATCTGACTTACCATGGTTAGAGATCCACTGTAGAGGTTTTTCAGCATCGGTATGTGCATGTATGTACATGTACGTTTGTACGTAAGAGATTTAACATTGAAACGGTGTTAAATGCATTACTTCAAATGGTATGGTTTACGTAATAAAAGCAGGGTACCCAGTAGCACACACTCACAGTAATAAGTGTCATGATTTGTCATGCCTGACTGAGTAGTGATCACTGATGACCTTCTCTTGATTATCTATTGACTTCTATGTAAATTAGGACAGTAGTCGATGTGTAAGTGCGCAACGCAGTGCTTTCTATTTTGAAGAATCAAATTTTTAGAACCAATCCTTTCAAAGATGAGTTTTGACGTTGCGTTGCTGGAATTTTTAATGTGCGTACCTCTGCCGTCCATTTTACAACACAAAATGACCGGGAAAGGGTTTTTTTTTTGGCAAAAAAATGAGCATTCCAGACTTACCATTTCATTATGGCATTGCGTTATGGCATGAGTACTGAGTCCACAGGCCTCAATGCAAAGCTGATACAAAAGCAGACAACACACTCATGAATTACTTTATTCTGCTCCTCCTTATTCCAACAGATTCTTCTTCCTGTCCAACGATGAGATGTTGGAGATCCTCTCCGAGACTAAGGACCCTCTCCGCGTCCAGCCTCACCTCAAAAAGTGCTTTGAGGGTATCGCTAAGCTGGAGTTCCTACCCAACCTGGACATTGTGTCCATGTTCAGTAGTGAGGGAGAGAAAGTCAAGATGACTTCGGTCATCTCCACCACCGAGGCTCGAGGGGCCGTAGAGAAATGGCTGCTTCAAGTCCAAGATGTCATGCTGGTCAGTGTGAAGGACGTCATTGAGAAATCACATCAGGTGAGTCAAGTTATCCGTCAGTGTTGTATTCGAGTCCATCACAAGCCCATCACAAGTCCGGGCAAATGTAATTCACAAGTCCTTTTACTACACATAAGTAAACAAGGATGAACAATAATGCCTTTGACACTGTTCATTTGAAAAACTTGGGAGTTGGCTTGAAAATAAAAGACTTGTGATGAATTTGAGGGGACTTGTGATTGACTTGTGATGAACTTGTGAAAAGTTGTCATGGACTGAACCTGATCACTGTTGTCATCAGCATTTTTTTCCCCGTTTATCTCCCTGAAGGGTCAGTTGTATTCCCTACTTCAATGTTGTACCCAGCACGTTGCAAGTAAAACATCAGTACATTTATAGTTTTGCCCTTGTAAAATTGAAGTTACTACTTAATGTTGGTGATTTTTAAAGGTTGAAGAATTTGTGCTGGCATAAATTCACAGATTTGTATTTGTGGAATAAGATCAGCCAGTCATTATTACGATTAAAAAGATCTGCTTTTTGCAGTGTGCAAATTGCTCTATAGTATCAGCAGCTTTTTTCCCAGAGAATCTTAGACATTTCAAATGCACTTTTAAAAGACAACATAGAGAGATCTTTTTGCTGAAACCTGGACTCCAGAATCCTCTCAAATCAACCTCTCCCGTTAGGAACCTTCTAGCAAACTGTTTGTACTAAAACTTTCAAGGGGTGCTACCTAAAGTCATAGTGGTTGGGGTTTACCTGCAAAATCCTCGAAATTCCTCTGGTAGATTTTGGGGGGCACGTGTGGTCTAGCGGTGGAACACAGGATTCGTGATCGAGAGGTTGTGAGTTCAAGCCCCACCGTGGCCATGCGTGTTGTGCCCTTGAGTAAGGCGCTTTACCTCAATTACTCCTCTCAACCCAGGTGTTAAATGGGTACCGGCATTGTTCAATGCTGGGAAGGTAACAGACTCACTGTGGAGGAGGTGTGGCAATCCCCCCACAGCAGTATACGAGTCTGGCCCAATCGCTAATGAACAAAAGATGGGCACTCCGTTCCTGTGAATACAGGTTCGTCCCCTTTACCTTTACCTTTTAGATTTTGATAGAAATCTGGCAGGATTGGGCTACAGAAGAGTTATGAATTAGAAAGTGGTTTTTTATGCAAGCCCTTATGTTTTCTTGTACATGTAATTGTCGTACAGGCTTATGCCATCGAAGCTCGTGAGGACTGGGTCCAGGAATGGCCGGGCCAAGTCGTCCTCTGCGTCTCCCAGATCTACTGGACGGCTGAGGTCCACGAAGCCATCCAAGGTGGGCCCCAAGGACTCAGGGACTATTACGACAAACTTGAGAGTCAGCTGCAGGATATAGTGGCCCTGGTCAGGGGCAAACTGTCCAAGCAGACTCGTATTACCATGGGGGCGCTGGTGACTATTGATGTGCACGCCCGGGATGTGGTCTTGGATATGGCAGAGAAAGGTATCGTATTGACAGTCACAACTTGATTAAGTATGTTTGCGTTGTAAATATTTGATACAGTTGGTCTGTGATATATCTAGAAGTACCCACAACCGGTTTCTACATGCATGACTCTACTTACTGAAAACTTGAAAATTGGCATACATCTATGACTGGTTTTCCAGATTTTCAGAATATGATGTAAACTTTTCGCCTACAAAATTAATAACCTTGTTTTGACGGAATTTGTAATGAAAACTGTTAGAATTTGAACTGATACATAGGCTCCTCAGAGTTCCAATCCAGTCAATGACAAGTTGAATCACAAGTTGTCATAAGTTACTCCCAAATGAAATCACAAGGCAAATTTACTTCATGCATCTGCTGGACAAAAGTAATTCTCATTTCTATGTAATAATGTGTCAAAACTGGCAATATATGAAGTATTTCAAATGCTTTTTATGCCCCGCGGCGAAGCCGAAGGGGCATACTGTTTCCGCCTCGTCCTTCCGTGGGTGGGGGTGTGTGTGTGTGTGTGGGTGGGTGAGCTTGTCTTACATACGCAGTGTGGACTTCCGAACAAAAGACGTCCACATAATGTAGGTAGCAGCAACGAAGTGTGGACTTGCCCACGTCCACACAGTGTTTCCCCATTTCTGGAAAACAGGTTTAGAGGCATTTTTGGGTTAGGTTTATCTGTAGCAGAATGAAGAGAAACACTAAAGGGAATCATTGAAAAAAAATTGGGTTGTAAGAGTTTTCACAGTTTGAGAAAAATGAGTTTTTCCACTGGTGTTCCTTAACTACACGAAAAGAAAGGAAAGTCCACACTAGGTATGTGAAACAAGTCTGGGTGTGTGTGTGTCCGGACAAATCTTGTCAGCGCGATAACTTGAGAAATACTTAACATATGAACTTCAAATTTGGTTTGTGGATTGTTCTTGGTAATCCTAAGAAGCCTATTGAATTTGGGGCCAAAAGGTCAAGGGTCAAGTTCACAGTGGCTAAAACAATAGAAATCATGTTTTTATTCTGAGATATAGGGATTAGGGATTAATTCATATAAAACCTACAGAAGACACTAATGCTGTCAATGAATGTTCCATGTGACCAAGGTACATGTAAGTTGATGTTAAAAGAGTGGTGTTATGTCATGGGAACTGTCACCGTTGCGGGGCATTTGTGTTTGTAAACACACCTGACTTGTTTCCATGTTAAATTTGGCAGGTGTGGAGAATGAGAATGATTTCAACTGGCTTGCCCAGTTGCGCTATTACTGGGAGAATAACACCGTCATGGTGCGCATCACCAACTCACTGGTCAAGTACGCCTATGAATACCTCGGCAATTCTTTCAGGTAACAACAAACATGATTTTTTTTCAGTAGATGTTGTGTCTGTGTGATGTTAACAAATCAATATGCATTATTGCCAATTTAACTTTATTGGATTCAAGCAAGCCAGCCAACATTGGCAAGCTACCTGGATGATTAATAAGAAGTTTTTACTTGTGAGCTTGTGAATTATTTTCTCATAAAGCTCCTAAAATATAATAAGCATAGAGTGCTTAAAACCATAACTTTGAAATGTTTGAGTTTTATTGATTCCAAAACTGCTACCCTGTGGAGACCTGGGTATTATATGTAACAAAAGGATGTAAAGGTCTCCACAAGGATTTCATGAAACGGTGTACTTATCTGTCGCAAATTAAAGTATTTTATGTACATGTAAGAGACATTTGGTCAGAATTTCGACCCAGGAAAGTAAATCTGGTTCAAATAGGAGCGTTTTGAAAATACAGGGTGGTTCAAAAAAGCGGAACCCAAACCACAAAAATTATATTTCATATTTAAAAATATATAGCACCAAAAATAATAATGACAAGAAAGCCATTTTCATAAGCTACGTTTAGATGAAAAAATTACTGAAATTGCATAATATATCCAATTATGTAATAATAATAATAATTTTCAAAATATGCAATTTTACCTCAGGTTGGTCATCACCCCTCTGACTGATCGCTGCTACCGTACCCTAGTAGGTGCCTACCATCTCAACCTAGGAGGAGCCCCTGAAGGTCCAGCAGGCACCGGCAAGACAGAAACCACCAAGGACTTAGCCAAAGCCTTAGCCGTCCAGTGTGTGGTCTTCAACTGCTCGGACGGCTTGGACTACCTAGCCATGGGGAAGTTCTTCAAGGGGTTAGCCTCCTCGGGAGCCTGGGCTTGCTTTGATGAGTTCAACCGTATCGAGTTGGAGGTGTTGTCTGTGGTAGCCCAGCAGATTCTCTGCATCCAGCGTGCCGTCATGACCCATCAGGAGACGTTTCTCTTTGAGGGTACTGAGCTGGTTCTGAGGGATACCTGCTTTGTGGCTATCACGATGAATCCTGGGTACGCCGGACGCTCGGAGCTTCCCGATAATCTCAAGGTTTGTACATTTAACTCCATGCCGTCTATAAATTTAGGGTTCAAAGTGTGACATTTTTCCCTGTCCCTGTTACCTTGGTACTTTGTAATACTTAGCGTCTTTAAGAATGACTTGAAACTTTATTAGATTAGATTAGATTGATTTGTTCAGCCAATGATTAAAAAACAACCAAGGAATTTGTAATGTTGGACTCTCATAAAATGACAGTCCAACATTACAAGTCTTACGTGTCAAGTTCAATTTATGTGATGCTAGTAATGACTGATTTAGCACAGTGCCATGTTCAAGTGTGCGTGTGTGCAGCCGTGGTAGTCAGCTGGGGGTCCACTGTACTAATTTAAGTCCCATTGAAAACAGTGTGAGATCAACAAAGTTCAGGGCCAAATAACATGCAAGCCAACATCACTGGGATTTCTCAAACAAAAATTAAATCATTGTCTTGTCTTTCATCTTTGCATTTCTTTTCAATTTTAGGTAGATTAACCAATTACATTTTTAAAAATATTCACACCCAAACAAAATCACCTCCCGAAAAGTGATAGTTCCCAAGCCTGCATGTAGCCATTTTACAAGTGCCATCCTTCCACTTCACAGGCAAATAGGACCCATTTTTTATCCGTAATTTAATCAGATGGAAGCCCCAAAACCAGGGAGTTGATCCTTGGATATATTCACACAATTCCTCCGTTTTTAAAGCCAAACGGTCTCCGTTTTCAAAACAAATTGTGGTGGAATTTTTAAGCTTATGACTCGCGTAAAAATTCTCACTTGAATTAGTTCAGTGCACCCCTAAACAATATAGAGAAGGTAGCACTTTAAAGACTAAAAGTACAATCATGGCATTAGCTTTTGTAGCTACAGCCACTTCATCAGATGAAGCAGATAATTATAAAGTAGATAATGTTCAACTGTTTGAATATCATTTAATAAAGGCCTGTAAATTACATGTACCTCTTTCCCAGAACAAAAATGAACATGTTGAGCTTGATGGTTAAAAACAAATACAAAAGGCAGACAAATTGAACTAAATATTATATAACAAGTGGGATAGACAAACGTCATGAATTTCTTCGAGGTATCTGTAGTCTAAATACGCGGGGGAAGATATAACTCATACGGTACGCTGTTCCGTTATTGATTCAAATTTTGTAACAGAAGGACACTCTCGCAGTCTTCAGCAGGAATCTGTTGTTCTTGTGCTGGCTGGTAAACCGTGTATAATGTGTAATTTACTCGCGTCGCTGATTCCAATAAATTTTGCCTTATTCACTTCATTCAAGTTGGCCTAGATGGTCGTACCTTAATTGGTTTGAGCAGCAGGGGCCAATTTCATAGAGCTGCTTTTAAGCACAAAATTTGCTTAAGCACAAAAAAATCTTGCTTAATATAATCCGGTTACCGGCCAAAACTCCACTCGATTGTTATGCTAAGTAAACAACAGCTAAATACCAGTCACAAGCAATGTACATCGCATGGAGTTTTGGCGGGTTACACGATTTTACTAAGCAATGTTTTTTCGTGCTTAAGCAAATTTTGTGCTTAAGCAGCTCTATGAAATGACCGTCCCTTTTGATGATTACTACGTGTAGTCCTTTCTCACTTTCTCGCCTAGAATGATGTTGGCGAGCAAACATGTGGAATAAAATATGCGTGATCATCAAACATCAATGAAATTAGATCAGAGTTGCATTTCACCACAGAGATCGAAATACAGGATCTAAAAACGGAATCCTCAAAGCACCCTCGTTTTCACAGCTTTTAAACAAATACATCGCAAATATCATATTTGAAGAGTAGTTTATTAGCTTTTCAACAACCCCAAAAATATTTCCAATCGGGTAAGTATTTATCGAGTTATGGCCAATAAAAAAAAAGTGCCGATTTTTCCTTTTGTCCATACTGTCTTTATCTCCGCTGAAGAGGTTATGTATTCATTGGCGTTGGTTTGTTTGTTGGTTGGTTTGTCTGTTAACAAGATAACTCAAACAGTTATGAACGGATTTGCATGAACAACACTTTTAGGGATGGTCCTTGGTACAAGTACAATTCGATTTGATTTTGGGAGTGATCCTAATCTGGGTCTGGATCCAGGATTTTTTTAAAGGATTCTTCACCATTTATGCGAGTGTTTCTTTTGGGTGAACTGACAATATGGCGGGGAATTGTTTGGCCTTGGCGGCGGTTTGCGCTCTCTGAGTGCTTTCTAGTTAGAATGTAATTGAATTGAGGTAAGGGGAGTTTTGCTTTCTTTAATCTTTTAATCTTTCTTTATTTGGTTACTTTTTATTTTTTTCATTTTTTTTGCAATAATGATCACTTCTCCTTTTCAAAGAAATGGTATAGTCCTGAAAAGGACTGTTTGGTTGAAATTCTTAGATGTTCACTGTGTTGTTCTTCCTTCTACTTGGTATCTTCTGTCAGCGTGGAAAAATTGACCTGTATTGAAGACACAAATCGGCACAATAGACTGCAGGTCCGCTGGGCAATTGCGATGCCTTCCACTTGATAATTAAAAACCTTTAGAAAACAAGTAGGGCGGGAAGTTATTCACTGCTCACCCAGAAAGTATCAGTAAATATGAAGAGGTATTGTAGTTGTCTGGTTATGCATGCTTAACGTGAAATCCGGTCCGTTTGACCCTATTATTAGATTATAGTCGTGTTCCCTAACGTGGCGCACTTCGAAGCTTACCCAACTTTCCTCGTGTAGTGTTGCCAAACCTCTTTGTTGACAAACCTCATATTCATGCAGTGAAATACTGGTACTTGTGCGTTATTAATGCTTGCTATTTAACCTCTGTGAACAATTTCGGTTTCATAAAATTTAATCCGAAATTCAAAAACGGTGGCGTCCGGAAATTGGGCACAAATTGGCGGAGTGTTCCCTAACGTGGCGCACTTGAATAAATCTCGGAAAATTCCAAATTTACATTTAAGAATTTCTGTAAACTTGATAAATTCTGATAAATCATTAGGCCTATTATCTCTACTTACCGTACATGTATATACCCAGCCAGATGTTTGTCAGAAAATTATTTTCTTATTTTTCGGGGGCATTTTCTAAAGGTTCACTTTGCACTTGCAAATAAAATCAGCAAATCATGCCAAAATAATTTTTGCTTCTTACTTTGTAACGGGTAAATAAACTCGCGATTTATGAACGGGAGTGTTTAGAACTTGATGAAATTTCACTTTCTGTGAAATTTCAGTTAAAACTTTTGCTCTAGCTAGGCACTACAGGCGAAAAATCAAAGTGCGCCACGTTAGGGGCCGTGCCACGTTAGGGTACATCAACAATAGATTAGATTGATTTGTTCAGCCAATGATTAAAAAACAACCACAGGAATCTGTAATGTTGGACTCTCATAAAATGAGTAAGGATTAAAAATACAATGCAATTAAAACAGTAAAGATTAGTACAGTAAAAATATGTATACAATTACAATAACTATCATATAAACAATAAAAATATGTATACAATTACAATAACTATCATATAAACAATAAAAATATGTATACAATTACAATAACTATCATATAAATTAACATGTGCCGTTGCTAAAATCCCGCATGGTCGAGGGTATAAAACTATTTCTAAAACTGTTGGTTTTTGCACTTAACGATCTCATCCGTCTTCCTGAAGGCATCATCTGGAAGAACCCATTAGTTGGGTGATGCATATCCTTAACGATAATCTTGACACGCTTCCTCATTCTCTTTTCATAAATTGTCTTCATGTCATCCACTTAACTCCAATTATGTACAACACGTTTTTAGCCACCCAATTCAGTTGATCAATTTTGCCGTTATGAGTGACATTGAACCAGACAACAACAGAGCTGGTCAGGCAGGATTCAATCACACATCTATAACAATTAATGAAAATAGGTCTGCCCACACCAATGGATTTCAGTCTACGTAAACAATACAAACGTTGTGGGGCCTTTTTCAAATTTGTAGATAATTGATTTGACCGAGACAGAGTCTTCATTATGAATGTACCGAGAAAATTTAAAACAATCCACATTTTGTCTGTCAATTCGACCCTTATCTCTACGGACATCAATGATCATTTCTGTAGTTTTGTCAACATTCAAGATAAGATTGTTCGATTCACACCATTTTACAAGAAAAAATACCTAATTAATTGTTATACTTGACGTCGATAACTACATTCATCGCCATTACAAATTAAACCATGGGTGGTATCATCAGCAAATTTTACAATTACGTTAAACGAAACCTCCATTTTGCAATCGTGTGTAAATAAACTGTACAGTAAGGGAGAGAGACCACAGCGGTGTTCCAGTGCTCACAACGATTGGTTTCGAGAAACTAGGACCGATTCTGACAACTTGTCTACGCGTTCCAATAAAATTCTAAAACCCACTTGCATAAGGATTTTCGGTAAATTAAGATCAATCAGCTTCTGATAAAGCTTCAACGGAATTATGGTGTTAAAAGCAGATGAATAATCAATAAATAAATTACTAGCAAATTTTGATGAAGTTGATCTCCCAGCTTCAAGATACTTCAAGACAAATGCAAGCAGTAATTCACAGCGCCTTCAACACATCGATTTGTCCGATAAACAAATTGACATCTTCATCTTCATTTATGTACATGGCAACAGGCCAAACTTGGCCCATGACGCTATGTGGTCGAGATCACACGGCATGGGTCGAGATCACACGGCATGGGTCGAGATCACACGGCATGGGTCGAGATCACATGGCAGTTAAGATTTTGTGAAGTTCATCACTAAACGTTCAAAACACTTTGCAATCTGTGACTTCAAAGCCACAGGCCCAGTTATATCCATTCAGGGAACTGATCAGTTTCTTTTTTGGCACTGGAATGATGATCGAGTCCTTGAAAAACATAACCAGCTAAAACGGCATGCTGTTGCTTGTTACTCATTCTCAGCCGAGTTTTGCTTCAATTTGCTGGGCAATATTTTCTGCTCTGCAGCGCCTTGATTATTGTTTGACATTTCTTAAGTCAAACCCTACTAAGTCTTGTTTCTACTCTCCCCAGGTGCTGTTCCGCACAGTGGCTATGATGGTACCAGACTACGCCATGATCGGTGAGATCATGTTATACTCTTATGGCTTCGTAGATGCTCGTAACCTCTCTGTCAAGATTGTCACTACGTATCGTCTCTGCTCGGAGCAGCTGTCGTCCCAGTTTCACTACGATTACGGGATGCGTGCTGTCAAGGCTGTGCTGGCTGCTGCTGGTAACTTGAAACTCAAGTTCCCTGACGAGAGTGAAGACATTCTGGTTAGTAGTTGGAATTATTATGATTTAAATGATTTTTTTTTTTGCCAAAGTAAACCAACTTGTTGTTCGTGCAATGTTGTTGTCAATATTATTTTTGCTATAGAGTTAAGGACTCTATAGCAAAAATAATATTGACTACAACACTAGGCACTGTGGCCTAGAATCCTCAACATACATGTAGCTGAAGAAAGAAGACCAACAAATTTTCAGTTGTAGAAAATGGGAGGAAAACCTTGGCCTAGATATTTTAGGTAAAACCCAATCTCTAAGGAATCTCTAAGGTCAGCTCAAAAAAATTAATTAACATCGTATCAATGTCATTTGCCTACATTTAAGTTTAGTCGTGTAGGTACAATGTATGTACAAAAGTTCAAAATTCAAATTTCTTCCCAAGCATTGTCCTGAAAAATCAGCTTTATTTTGCAGTAGAGCTCTCAATACAGGAAGCTAAATACTGGTAGGAACAAAAATAGACTTCTTGAGATTAAGAATTGTTAACATTGTTAATCCCATTTCAGGAAAAATTGGTGTGGTTAATTATGTGAGGAACTAGTCCATACATGTATCTGCAAATAATTTTTTTTTTTCATTTTCATCCTTTTCATCTCCAGTTGCTACGTTCCATCATCGATGTCAACCTTCCCAAGTTCTTATCCCACGACATCCCCTTATTTGAAGGCATCATCTCCGATCTCTTCCCCGGCGTGGTCCTCCCTAAGGCTGACTATCAGGTCTTCATGAATGCCGTGGAGGAGGTGTGTGCCAAGAGAAACCTGCAGTGCGTGGACGCCTTCAGGGAGAAGCTCATACAGACATATGAGATGATGATCGTCAGACACGGGTGAGCAAGGCTATCATTTTAACCTCAGTAGACCTTTCTCAGGGTACGCCATCTTGAAAATCAAAGCAAGGCATATAACTTAAACAAACATGGTGGTGTAAATAGTGTGTGCGATGAACAAGTGACTCTCACAAAGTAACAGCAGATTGACAATCTCATAAATGGATAGCTCAAAAGTCCCCGAAACATCAATCAACATTCTAGGTAGGTGGCGTCTCATTGTATTTTGAAGTTGGATCTTATAAATATAAAGCAAAAAAACAAAACAAAAGGGGGGGGGGGAACAAGCTTTGCATTACAAAATTTAGTCAAAATGATGTTTGCAATGATACAATGTCAAAAAATATTTAGGATTTGTAATGAGCGAAGATGTACATGTATTTTCTACTAAGTTTGTTGATTAACATTCTTGTGTTCCTCTTGTCTAGTTTCATGTTGGTAGGTGAGCCGTTTGCAGGCAAGACAGAGGTTCTCCACGTCTTAGCTGACGCCTTGACCCTCCTGAATGAGAAGGGTCTGAATGAGGAAGAGAAAGCCTTGTATCGTACCGTCAACCCTAAGGCTATCACTATGGGTCAGCTCTTTGGACAGTTTGATCCTGTCTCACATGAGGTAACGATGGAGCTACTTGAGCTAGCATTAATACAACCAGAAATAGTTCTTCTTTCAAAATCCCTATAGGGTTAGGGTTGGGGTTAGGGTTAGGGTTAGGGTTATAAGGGACCAGTGATATAGTGCCTTGATGCTGGGCCTTGGCCTTAAGGCTGCCTTAAGGCTGGATTTTAGGGCCTTGGCCTTGGCCTCGAGGCTTGAGGGCAAAAGCCTTGGCCTTGGCCTTGGCCTTGAGGGATCAGTGCCTTGCAATTTTCAGTCAAGGCTCTTCAAGGCCCATAGATTTTTGCATTTTCCAGATAAATCCGTTTGAAATTTTGCTGTTACCATTTTAATCGTGTTACCATGGAGGAGGGAGACACTCTATAGATTTTTGTGTTGGGCACACTTCCACTTTTATAGCATCATATTGTGTTACCATTGTAGTAGATTTGCTGCAACAATATTCTGTACACTTGTGGGGCTAATGAGATAATCACTTAAATTGTATACTTATGGAATAGATCTGATTGGTTGTATATGTCTCCCTGATAAGTGCTAAAGATTTGCATGTACATGTATCTGTTTTAGATAATGCTAATATTTCTGACCATGTTGGCCCAGCAAATAAAAATTTCCCAAATCAGTTTCTTGGATCCCCCTTTTGTTACACTCGGGAGAATTGTGCGTCAATATATCGTTATTTTGTTTTAGTTAAACCATATTCATGAAGACCTGAACTTATACTTTAATAGATACAATGCAGTCATAAAACATTGTATGCGAGCATGTTGATTGCAATTAAAGACAAGTTGTTCTTCTTAATGAGCGATTCGTGATGATGTGTCATGTGACTATAATTAGTTCTATATTAGTGGTCATTTTATAAAACAGGGCCTTGGCCTTGGCCTTAGCCTTGAGGGTTAAGCCTTGGCCTTGGCCTCGAGGCTTGAGGGTCAAAGCCTTGGCCTTGGCCTTGGCATTGAGGGTCAAAGCCTTGGCCTTGGCCTTGGCCTTGAGGGTCAAAGCCTTTGCTCCAACACTGTAAGGGACAATTCACATGACAGCGTCTGTGGCTGACAGCTCTGACTCGCTATGTCTTCATTAAAATGTATCTAGAAATGGGATTTCCCAGACACGTTCTACATTTTTAGAAAGTTGGACAGTAGGGCTAGATTTTCCGCATCAAGCCTCTGAAGAAGGCCTTGCTCAGGCTGAAATATCAGGTCACATTTATTATTTGGAAACCCCTATATCATTAACATTTGCTGAGTAAAGTGAGAAATAGCTGCGTTAGTCTTTCGTAAAGAGCAACTAAAATAAGTGGAGATTACATATGTTCCAAAACTGATTAAGGAAAGTGCATTATCTTTGAAGCACTGATTTCTGTTTTGTGTTTCAAATTGAAATTATTTTTTCTCCAAGAAACAACGATTAGTGTTAACCATAAAGTTGACTTTGAGCCACACAATGTGAATTTGGTCGGACAGACTTAAATCAACATTCATATTTTTCTCTTGGAACTGAAAGTATGAAAATTAAAAAAAAACGACGTTACTTTGTAATTTCTGAATACGTTACATCCCACTATGCCAAAAAGACAATATTCATGTAGCATTATGGTCTATCTGCAAAATGTATTAATTGCTTTTTGACGTTAACGTTTCTTATGCACATTTTTTTCTTTACTTCAGTGGACGGATGGAGTGGTAGCCAACACTTTCCGTGAGTTTGCCTCCACCGACACCCCCGACCGTAAGTGGGTGATCTTTGACGGCCCTATCGACACTCTATGGATTGAGAGTATGAATACTGTACTAGATGACAACAAGAAACTATGTCTGATGAGTGGGGAGATTATACAGATGTCCAACTGCATGAGTCTCATCTTTGAGTGCATGGATTTGTCCCAGGCATCGGTGAGTAAATTCTTCTCTGACTGACTGAGTCACTGATTGAGTCACTGACTGAGTGGCTGACCGACTGACCAATTTACTGGCTCACTCCCCGACTGACAGCGTCACTGAGATTTAATAATGTCCTAAAATGAGACTTTCCACATCAAACTGGACTAAGCAAGCATAGTCTTGTTTAAACAGTTTGCACCAGGATTATTTTTGCCGAAAATGTCGATTTTCGTAAAAAGGCAAAAAATAGCAGCCAACTTCTGATATACAGTCAAACGCCACAAATACTGATTCGCAAGAGTCATTTCAACAGTACTTACACGGTATTTCTTGCCGAAACCTCATAATTTTCAATACTCCGGGGTGTGCAACGAAGCGTAAATTTGTAGAACAATAGGCCGTGCACAGCGGCCAATTCAAGATCAACACACGGTCCGCCTCCACAGACTTCACGGACTTTGACTGTGTGTACAAAAGGCACGAGGGATTAGCATGTTTAGACGTCACCCGGAGGCGAGTCGAGGCAATCTTGACGTCTTAACCCGTCAGCTGTGCCTGTGTATAAAAACAGCCAGTGCGTGTTAACACGGCTTCCGAAGCAAACTGCCTGAATTCTTTCTGGTATTACAAAATCAAGGGTTCCTCAAAAGTGTACAAGCTCTGTAACTTAGAAATCTGAAGACAGGTGGAGAAAAGTTAATTTTGTTAGAGGGAGGAATGCTAAACAGTATACTCCAGGGAAAACCCACTGAATCAGGCAGGCCGTAAAAACCAATTCACTTTTTACGGCTTTCCTTTTTCGTGATTTTTCTCTCTTCTTATTTTCCCCCGGTTTCCAGCCTGCCACTGTCAGTCGCTGTGGTATGATCTACCTGGAGCCGTCTAACCTTGGCTGGCGACCCGTCTTCCGATCATGGCTCAACGATCTCCCGGAGACTCTGAAGAAGGAGGAGCCTTTGTTCATCGCGCTTTTTGATTGGCTACTGGAGCCGTCCATTGACTTTGTGCATCGGCACACAAAGGTAGGAACGCATTCTCCAAACAAGCATCAACTGTAGAATTAAGTGCTTTAACAGAAGATCAAACTTTTGCATTGCATTAAGAATTACATTCTATACAGAAAACAAACAGAAAATATTTAATAACTCATATTTATAAAGATATTGGTAAAGATTTGCTCCCAAAACTAGGTCTGTATGGTAAACACGTCACTGTTGGGCTATTGAGCTGTAGCCTGCCAACTTCCCCAAAAATGTTGTCTTAAATGGTACTTCAGGACATTTTTCACGCACTCTTGCTTTGATTTTGGGAAACCTGTAGAGAAAATGGTGAAAACATCCCCAAATTTCTAAAAATGTAAAAAAAAAAAATTTATCTGAATTTTTTGGCGTCCCTGTGGATTTTTCAGTATTCCAGTGCTTTGATCCAGCAACACACGAAACCTTTAATAGCAAAAGATTTTGGTTATATTTACGTTTGAGAGATTTAGTTGAGAGTTAAGTGTATAAAAAAGGTAAAAAGTAAACTGTGTGACGAGTCAATGTTGCCCATCATTTTCTGGGCCCGTCAATGTGGCCCATCCGGTTTCAGTAGCATGAAACAACTGAGAATATTTCTATTCCTTCTGGATGGGATGCTAGTCCATCGCTGGTTACCCCCCAGCTAATGCAGGTACCCATTTTGTACTCCTTCGTGGAGAGAGGCAAGTGGAGGTGAAGTGGCTTGCCCAAGGACACAACATATGGCCAGCAGCAGGATTCGAACCCCTGACCCTCTGATCATGAGTCACAAACCCTAACCACTAAGACACACTCCCCGCTATAGTTTAGTGTATGCTATTTTTTCAGTGACTCTATATGTAAACTTTTTGTCACGCTGTTCTTTGAAGTAATACCTTTAAATCTTTGTGATAAATAAAAGCTCTCTGAAACATTCCTCATCTCCCTCCCTCTGTTTTGCCTGACAGGAATATGTCCCCACCACCACTAACAACTTTGCCAGATCATTGATGTACTTTGTCAACATGTTCTTGGCCGACAACATGAAACCAGAGACTGACCTCAAGCATCTTAGACCCTGGATTATCGTAAGTTTCTCTTGTCTAATACAGATATATTTTGCACTCTGTGAGAAAAAATTCAAATCAAACTACACAACGTGTCATGAATTTAACATTTGAATTAAAACCATAAAAAATGGAGATTGCAGCACAAAGGTTTGAAATTTACAAAATGTAGTTACAAAGACTGATTTCTTCAAGCTGTACTTCAAAATAAAAAAAACTTTCACTCATATTTCACTTTTTATGTGGAAGCCTAAATAAATGGTTGCATTTCACACACCTGCAAGCAAGCCTTGTAAAGCTGGTCCCAGAGTGCGCATAATTATATTTAATTGATTCAAAATGGCTATTCACTGGAAGTCTTTTCATGCATCTGGCATGCTGGTCGACACAATGGCCAGATTTAGCTCCCTTCATTTTCCTTACGGGGTAATCCCATTTCAAACTTACGGGCCAAGGTGTAACTTAAGCAAGTCTAATTCACAAGTGACAGTCAGTGATATAATTGAGAATTAATAGACATTAAAGTATAAGTTAGAATTATGAAATTTTCCCAAATCTTTACAAAAAATGAGAAGGAAATTACAAACTAGAACTTGCATTGAATTGCCAACTGCTGATTTTTTTAGCAATCTGTCTTCTGAGTGCATCATCTCTAGTTTTTTTCGTCTTCTTCTTTTTTTTTTTTGGCTACAGTCCACAGTATTCTTCTCCCTGGTGTGGTCCGTGGGTGCCGTGGTGGATACCGACGGTAGGGCCAAGTTTGATGAATTCCTGCGAGACATCCTGTCAGGAAAGAACGAGGAACACCCTTACCCTGGTGAAGTTGGCAACAAACTGGACGTACCATTTCCCACCGAGGGGCTGGTCTATGACTACATGTATGATGTGAGTCAAGGAATAAGGAACTTTTTGGGGGCTGGGGGAGGGAGGGAGGTGGAAAAGGGGAGGCGAGAAGTGTAAAACAAGTGATCAACAATAATGTTATCCCATTAGTCACTGTAGCCCCAGAAACCGCCGTGCCTACTACCCCTTGTAGTGCCTGTAATTGCCCGAGCACTCTGTAGTATTATGGATGCATCAGTGAATACATAATATATACAATGTATTAGAGTTGCTAATGGTTTAAACATAAATGATATTATATTTACTGGAGTCTGGTGTTATTTGCTTTGGGCCAAATTTCATTATTTCCTCGAGCCGCTAAGCACAGAAATTATTTGCTTAGCAAGGATAGGTTACCAGCCAAACTGTCGTGCAATGTATTCAACGTGGCACTGGTTCTCATCTAACTCATGTTTTGCTCATGAATTAGCTCAGCAAAATTTTCTGCTGAATAATTCCACAAATAGAAGTCAGGTTTTGACTACTTGCTTTTGCTTTTGATGTTGACAGATTGTGCTAACGTTAGGAACTCGGTCTTCCCTCTAGACTGATACATTAGGCCCCACCCACTGAATGTTTTGACCAAGCACCTGATCACAGTCGTAATTAGTGTCCAACATTCGTGCACAGTATGCGTTATACAATGTACGTGTGTGGCTGACATGCATTGCTGCATTGGATGGGGTCTAATGGATTAGTCTTTGATCATTTTTATATTGTGTTCCTTTTTATCTTTAGTTCAAAGCTCGAGGCAAGTGGATCCATTGGAATGACACAATCAAAGGCTCCAGTATCAGTGAAGGACGCAAAGTGCAGGAGATTATCGTTCCTACCATGGACACAGCACGCTATACGTACCTCATGGATATTGCCATTAGACACAAGAGGTAAGTACATGTACAGAAGAGCAAAAAACTCCAACTTCAGTTGCCTCATAGAGGCTGACATCACAGGCCATATATCTCAAGCTTTGGATTGTTGGCTTGCAAGGTTTGAGGAGATTGAAAGTCTATGTTTTTTGTCTGTTTTGTTTTTCATTGCAGAGCCATCATGTTTGTAGGACCCACCGGCACAGGCAAAAGTGTGTACGTCAAGGATAAACTGATGAATAATCTCTCTAAGGAGGAGTTCCTACCGCTCTTCATTAACTTCTCGGCCCAGACCAGCGCCGGCCAGACACAGGTATTAGCATTGCGTGTGAATGATAAGAGGAGCTGGTTTGTGTACTTACATTTGATTGATCCACATGTAAGAGTAAGAATAAAAGCACATAATGGTTTTTTTGTAAAGTAGCTACAACCAGATCATACAGAATGCTTTGAATCGTGAAATATTTGAATCATATGTCAAAAATTATTTTAGATCAGTTCACACGCTATTTTTAGGTTTTCTACTTAAGGCCAAACAAAAAAAATATTCGGTCTCTGGTCAGACCAAAGTTCCGGAATTGACTCGGCCACGCGGCTTTTTTTTTTTTTTTTTTTTTTTTTTTCTTCAAGCTCGGATTGTACAGACAAGGTGGGTACTATTTTGCTTTTTTGGTGTCCTCATGTACATTGGTGTCCTCCATAATTTGCCTTGGTGCTTTTGATCATTTGCCTTGGTGCAATTTCCCATTCCTTGGTGCTCTTTGGTAAAAAAATTGAGGAGGTGCAGAAATAGAGGGCGCTGTTGGAGCTACCGTGGAACATTTTTGAAGAAAAAAAAGATCGACGCGCATGATTAAAATCGACATGCGCGCTGACCAGAGACCGACTTTTTTTTTTTTTTGGCCTAATCAAAGTCCTTTAACAATTTTCCAGGGAGTTAATCCTTGAAAATCTGTACTTTTAATGGGCATTACCCCCGTTACAGTTGGACTCTACCATCCTTAATCCTGCAAATTCCCCCAAATCCATGGATGGATTTTGAAGGGCCAGGAAGGGTTTGGATGTATGTAGCTGTTTTTACCCGTTTTCAGGAAATTTCAAATGACACTGAGGGTGATTTAGTGTGATATAGGAAAGCCATATCGTCTCTTCCTTGATTATTGACATCTTTGGTCTTTCCATGCCAGGATATCATCATGTCCAAGCTTGACAAGCGACGTAAGGGAGTCTTCGGTCCTCCCATGGGTAAACGCTCCGTCATCTTTGTGGATGATCTCAACATGCCAGCTAGAGAAGTGTATGGCGCCCAGCCTCCCATTGAACTCCTCAGACAGTTCTTTGATCATGGAAACTGGTAAGTGGGAACGTTGGGTACAAGACTTTGGCTTTTGCTATGAATGCAAATTTGAGACGACTTATGTTGTGGCAAGAACTTGCGCTGCAAATTCACAAAAGTTGAACTCATTTGAACTCTGGTAATAATGTTTTGTGTCAAATTTGATTCGGATTTGCATTTTTGTGAATGGTGAACTGGCCTAAAGAGTGCGAATTGGGAAAAAGAGGACACGATCTCAGTTCTACTATAAAGTGGCTTTTCCGTTTTTGAGTGTTTGTGTTTTGTATGTGTGGGTTCATTAATTGCTCAGTCTGTCTGAGCAGTTTTTTTTAATATTGGATTGACTTGAAACTTAACACAAACATCGACCCTGATTTGCATACTTCTGTGATGTCATGACTACATCATCAGGATCAGCATAACAAGCCATTTTAGGATTTTTTTAACCAAATTTATTTATTTCCTAATGATGAACCAAATCAGCTTTTGGTAGACCATAGCTCAAGAATTTTTTTTTGTCATGAGAGCTAAGTCACTTGGCCATTTCATCTGAGCTACTGAAAGTTCAGGGTTAGGCGAATTCAAAATGCAAAATGCTTGATCAAAGCAGTTATTCCCATGAGACTCGTATCTGACAAGTCGTCTTTACTTCTGACCCATAGGTACGACAAGAAAGACACCACCAAGATTGTCTTGACTGACGTTCAGTTCCTGACGGCCATGGGTCCCCCTGGCGGAGGTCGGAACCCAGTCACCTCAAGGTTCTTACGTCACTTCAACATCATCGGTATCACTCCCTTCAATGATGAAACCATGCAGCGTATCTTTAGCACTATTGTCAGCTACTATCTCAGGGTGAGTTTTCAATCTCAGAGGGTTTTTTTTCCTTCAGATTTTTTTTTTTTCATGCTGCTCAAAGAGCAGATTAGGAGCCAATTTTATCAGCTCCTAAACATGAAACTTTGCTTAGAACAGAAAATATTTTCTAAGCAAAACAGCTTACCAGCCTGTAATTAGTATTTGAATTTTGTTTGAGCAATAACATTTGTTCAGCAATATTTTCTGGTCAACTCCATGATGTTGGTCTAGGTGTCTGTTTTTGACTGAAGTGTTTTTTTTTCATGCGTTGATAACTTTTGCTGTTGTTTGATCATAACTGAAGGGCCCTAAGTCATTAAACGTTACGGCTTTGGAAAAATATAAAGATAGATAGAAAGAGAACCAACTATAGTGGACAAATTGGCTTTTTACAAAAAGAATTGTACCTAAAACATGTAAATCTTAAGAGTCGCTATCAAGTCAGCATAAATCATTTCAAGTCAATTTCACCATTCACAGAAAAGCCCAGACTGAAGTTAATTTACGGCTTTACATATTAACAGTGACAAAGGCGTTCTTTTTATTGTTCAGTCTCTGTTACTTGTGATCTGATTTTGTAATCAGACTTGTTATCGATTTGATTAAAAAAAATTGTTAAAACTCTTCCACCTTTTTGTTGTTGATGCTTCAGGCCAACGATTTTGGCCCCGACTACTTCACCGGTGGCAACCAGGTAGTAGCCGGCACCATGGAGGTCTACAAGCAAGCCATGGCCAACCTCCTGCCCACCCCGGCCAAGTCTCACTACACCTTCAACCTGCGAGACTTTGCCCGCGTCATCATGGGCGTCCTGCTGATCAAGAAGCAAGCCGTGGAGAACAAGAGGTCCTTCACTAGGCTCTGGGTGCATGAGGTCTTCAGGGTCTTCTATGATCGGCTGGTGGAGGATAACGATAGACTGTGGCTCTTCAAGTAAGTCCCCTTTTTGTTTTAGAACTGTGCACAGTAGCATTGCAAAAACAGTGAGCAACTAATGGATGAACACTTTAAAATTGATGATTCAAGAGTCTAAAAGTTTCAAGATACAAATGTATTTGTTACGCAAAAATAAGTAAAATATTAATTGGAATCGATAACACTCATGGAATTTTACAAATGTAAAAGCCATAAAATCAACAAAATCCACAATTTCCAATAATACCATCTAATATAGTCCTGCGGATAAGTGACAAAATATCGATGAATTGTGCACTTTTGCATAAAAGCGTGAAACTTGGCACAGATGTTCATGTTCATGCCAGAAAATGTTTTAGATGTGGAGCCATCGCAAATTCACCCAATATAATTAGTGTCTTCAAAAATACTTTTCAAACGTCAATTTTCGTTCCAATGTTCTAATCTCAGAATTACTGGAAAACATTTTATAGCTCTGCGAATCTTTTGGTACTGAGCTGATATTGTGGCCATAAACCCATTAGCATTTGTATTACATTGTATTACCATGTATTTGTTTCCTAATGATTTTTAAAACCATACAGAGTTGTGGCAGTTTGACTAATTACAAAAACTAATGCATTTCTCAGAATGATAAGTTTGCTTTTATTTAAGATGTTTTTTTTTATATTTTGGTAATCATTATTATCTAAAACCACTGTATCTTTTTTTTTGGTCTTGCATCACAGCATTACAAAGACTCTGGTCAAGGACGTATTCAAGGACAGTTTTGATACCGTCTTTGAGCACCTAGCCAAGGACGGCCGTGCCGTCTGTGAAGACGACATGCGTAGTCTCATGTTTGGTGATTACATGAACGTAGACGCGGAGCCTGAGGATAAGATCTATGAGGAAGTCAAGTCTGTCGAGGAGTTTAACCAGGTGGTGGAGACGGGATTGGAGGAATACAATAATACTCACAAGACAGGGATGAATCTTGTCATATTTAGGTAAGGTAATCTTTTATCATTTCATCTTGATGGAGCATATTACTTACACTCTTGTGTATAATCGGTAAAAATGCACGGAAATCCGTTCATGCAAACCAGAGATCTAACGGATTATAAAAGGCTATGGGTTTTTCCCCCAATGGGATGGGATTTACACAGTTAACTTAATTTACATCAGGGTGAAAAGGCACATGACAATCTGATGCATTGATATCACTAACTGTGTAAATCCCATTGGAATGGGTGAAAAACCCATTGCCTTTTATAATCTGTTAGATCTCTGGTTTGCATGAATGGATTTCCATGGCATTTTCACTGATTATACACAAGAGTATAATTAATATGCTCCGTCAAGATGAAATACTCATATTGAGTAGTTTTTGAGAAATTAAAGGATATCTGCTTGCACAACTTTTTTGGGACGCCCTGTTCACCCTGTGCTGCCCAAAGGCTTGTAAGACATTACTATGATATTAATATGTCTTAAAATTCCTTTAAATTTCTTGAATTGTTTGTGATTGCTTATAGATATGTCTTGGAGCATTTGTCTCGCATCAGTCGTGTCTTGAAGCAGCCTGGAGGTAACGCCATGTTAGTCGGTGTGGGTGGAAGCGGACGTCAGTCCCTGACTAGACTGGCCACCAGTATGGCAGGCTTTCATCTCTTCCAGCCGGAGATCTCTAAGAGCTACGGCAAGAATGAGTGGCGAGAGGATCTTAAGGTTAGACAAAATATTTACGCTTACTCTTTCTACTTATTTATAACCAAACCTTAATGTTCCCAAATTCTTCAAAAATATACCAGGGGGCTTTGGGGACGTTTTTGGCGCCCAGCATTTATGACTTTGTGGACTGATGATGGATGGGCAATTTGACACCACTTTCAGATGGAGCATGTGCGTAAAATTACAAATGTTTGATGCGTTGTACTGAAAACTCTATTTCAGTACAACACAATCCCGCAAGCTCGGTGGTCGAGTGGTAAGACATGTGCACTAGAAAGCAGGAGGTCATGGGTTCGAGTCCCACCCGAGTGATTTTGTCCAACTTTCACTCGGGAGGTAACACACTGAGTATACAGTGTTCAAACGTCGGTGAAGGGCAAACCTAATATTGATTTACATCAACCCGATGAAATTCATCTTATGAATAGAAACACTTTTGTCTATCATCAAGCATATGTAGAAAACTACACACATTCATGGACAGTTGAGTAGAATGACCATTAGTGCTTTGTCACATTGAGTTCAAATTTTTGTTATGCACGGAGCATGAATGCCTTTATTAGTTTACCAAATTTCATAAATTTTGGTTGTGAATTGCATTTTTGAGATCCCTTCTGAGATCCACAGTTGTAATATCCATGCCCCATCCCCCCCCAAGAAATAAACTACAAAAACAGCTCTTTTAGGGCTAAGTATAAAGAATGTGCCACTGATTTTCTGTAGATTAGTGAATTTCAAAGGTTTTAAAAAAAGATTTGATGATACGGTTGGAGTAAGGGATAAGTCAAACAAAGGTTTTAAAAAAAGATTTGACGATATGGTTGGAGTAAGGGATAAGTCAAACATGTAACATGAGGCCAGTTTTATTTGCTTACAATCATTGTTATTGCATGGGAACCCATTAGGCATGTTTCCACTAACAAACAGTGGCATTGGCTTAGCATCTTCATGACATTATCCCGTTACTTTGTAGACTCTTCTCAAGAATGCCGGAGCCTTTGGTAAGACCACGGTCTTCCTGATCACAGACACACAGATCAAGGAGGAGTCCTTCCTTGAAGACATTGACAATCTCTTGAACACTGGAGAAGTGCCCAACCTGTACGCTGTGGATGAGAAACAAGAAATCATGGAGGTGAGGACAGGAAATTGAGATTTGATAGTGATAGTTTCCATACTTTTGACCCGTGCTCAATTTAATGGAATTGGAAGTTTTTTAACTTGGCAAAGAGAAGCTGCAAATCAGTAATAAGTAATATACATCACAATTGCTATCTGGACAGTATTTTTGCTTAGCATAAATTCTTATGCTTACAAAATCCAATACCTAGCAGCTCTGAAATTGAATGCACGAATCCTACTAAACCAAACGATGCGTAAAATACTCAGGACCTGTGGAAAGAATACAGAAATAGACTTGATACTATATTTTCCTCTTGGCACACATTTTACGTGTGCAACACCGAAGCAGAAGTGGATTAGTTGTTTTCTTGTATTGTATTGTATTCTCATTTCTTTAGTAATGTACTTCTTGTACACAGTATGATGTTTCTATATAAATTTTTAACAGTAAAGTGTCCGATCATAATTTGGGCAACATTATAATTGAAAGCATCTGGTTATAAAGATGGCAAATATTAAAAGTTGACATGAAATTTTCTCAACTTGCGAGACCTTTTACAGTAAAATTGACTTCTCTTTGTTCCAGGCTGTCCGACCTATCGCCCAGGCCGGTGACAAAAATGCCGACTTCAGTCCCCTGGCCTTATTTGCCTTCTTTGTCAACCGATGTCGGGAGAACCTTCACATCATCATTGCCTTCTCTCCCATCGGTGACGCCTTCCGCAATCGTCTTCGTCAGTTCCCGTCCCTCATCAACTGTTGCACCATTGACTGGTTCCAGGTCTGTAGTCATTCCTTGACAGAGCTGAACACTCTGATGTTGAAGTTTTATTTCTACTGTTTTTGTCTTATTCAAAACTTATGATTCTGTGATGTCCATTTTGTAGGCGTGGCCAGAGGATGCCTTGACCAGGGTGGCCAACAAGTTTCTTGAGACGGTCGAGATGGAGGAAGACGAGAGGAAGGAGGTGGTTGACATCTGTAAACACTTCCACACCAGCGCTAGGAACCTCTCAGAAAGGTAAATAGGGAGGACGGCTTGGGAAAATCAGATCTTGTTTTACCAAGTGCTGGTTCATACTATATATAAAGTGTCAATGAAACTCCCTCTTCATGCCACCTTATATAAACCAAAACGTTAAACCATCTCATCCATCTCATCCCTGCAGTTTCCTGGAGGAGCTGGGTCGTCACAACTATGTGACCCCTACCTCCTACCTGGAGCTGATCTCCGCCTTCAAGACGCTGCTGGGTAAGAAGCGAGATGAGACCATGAAGGCCAAACGACGCTACGTGGTGGGTTTAGAGAAACTAGCGTTTGCTGAGTCTCAGGTTGGATCTATGCAGATTGAACTCAAGGAACTACAGCCTCAGCTGGTGGTGGCTGCCGACGAAAACCAGAAAATGATGGTGGTAAGTTGGAATGAACGGACTATTCTGAGTTTGGCCGTATAAACCCCGCCCACCGTAGGTTTATGTACATACCAAGTTTGAATGGGCTACAGTGGTCACCTGACCAAAGGTCATGATCTAATTGGTCAATTATTGTAAGATGGACAGGCAGGAAGGGTTATTGATATAGTTGATGTCAAATTTAACCTAAGAGCTAAATAGAAGTTGTGTGTTTGTTTGTTTTGTTTTTTTTAATTTCTTTCTGGTAATGAAACCAAGAATTCCTCAAGAGTGCCGTATAGGCACTGTAGCTTGAAAGCCTGGAGAAACCTGTATAGAGAAGACAATGAGAAGAAATTACAGTATTAGAGGTGGGAGGAAAACCCCAGAAGAATATTCTGGGGAAAACCCACAGAATCAGGTGGGGACTGAAAACCCAATCCACAATTGGTCAGGGCAGGAATCGAACCTTGGCCATAGCGGTGGAAGGCGTGGAAAGTAACCACTTCGCCAACCTGACTGCCTTTGCTTAACAAGTGGAATAACATGAACTACACAAATCATAAAGAGTACGAGGGTCTTTCTCATTGGCAAAATGGCAAAGATTCTTCTGGGAGCAACATATCACCTTTGGGTAATATTTTGCTAGGATTGAAATGTCAGGCAGTCTCATTTTTACAGTTTGAAAATTTAGCTTAACCCTGACCCCCCTCAAAGGGTTCATTTGAATTATGCAGAATCTTGTACCATTTTGTTCCTTTCTTTATTTGCATGTTCAGGACGGTTCCTATCTGCTACATAATCATAGGAAACACGATGCTATCATTTTTGTTTTGATTTATATCTTTTCTTCAGATCATTGAGAAGGAATCGGTTGAAGTAGCAGCAACCAGCGAGGTGGTACGTAAGGAGGAAGAGGCAGCTAACATCCAGGCAGCCTCAGCCCAAGCCTTGAAGGATGAATGCGAGAGTGAGCTAGCTGAAGCCATCCCGGCACTGGAAGCGGCTCTAGCTGCCCTCAATACACTCAAGGTACACTATAGAGTGTTATGAAATCTCATCTGATTGTTGTGGAGCGCATAAAATTGCCCAGACATATGACTTATATCGTTATAAAATTGGTCCAATAATCTCCAACATAATTGTTTTCATTCTGTAATCCCACAGCCTGCAGATATTGCCGTGGTCAAGACCATGAAGAACCCACCCTCTGGCGTCAAGCTGGTCATGGCAGCCGTCTGCGTCATGAGAGACATCAAACCGGAGAAGATTAATGACCCAGCCGGCACAGGAGGCAAGATCCTGGACTACTGGGGTCCTTCCAAGAAACTGGTTGGGGACATGAACTTCTTGAACTTGCTCAAGACCTACGACAGGGACAACATTGCTGTAAGTAACTATCTGTGACATATGAACTTTGCTCCATGAATATTCATGAGCCACTGTGGTAGCCTGAATCCCTCTGTAGCATTGTCAGGAATATTTCAGATTTGTCACGACGATGCTGTTATTTCAGACAACAGTGCCCCAGTTTTTACGACCCTTGAACTTTACTTATATAAATATTCATAAGATGGTAGCCAATCCTTCTTTAGCATTGTTCAGGAATATGCCAGATTTTTTCACGACGACGCTGTTATTTCAGACAATAATGCCCCAGTTTTTAAATGACGACAGCCAAAACATACTTTGTCAAACGAACGTTCTCCACTACACTGTGAGATACGATTTGCATTGGATATGAAAGAAAGATTATTCTGCAGACGAACTGTGAATATTTGATGATTTCTATTTCATAAGGAGTGTCCCTGATTTTCAAAGTTGATATTTTTTTTCACAAGTATTTTTATTAAAAGGCCTTTTATCTGACAACATCTGAGGGTATTTCTATGTTTCTCCGTGATAGACATAAGTTGATGTTTAGTAGTTTCCTTGTCTTCAAATTTCATTGCAAGTGGAAGGGTCTTTTCATTGAAAATCTTGCTTTATTGTTTTATATGCAACTTTTTCCCTAGTTTGATCGTGTATTACATCAATTTTTGATTTTGTCATTTTCATGTAAATTCTGCATAATATGCAGGAAAGAATGTTGCATTCTGACGCCACTTTTTTCATCATATTTTATCTCAATGAAGGCCAGTCATTGCAAAAATGTTGAAAAGACATGAATTTGGGACTGAGAAACATTCCAATTTTGTTAGAAAATACTTAGAAAATTGTCTTGACTCTCCATAGACTTTGTACACAACCGCCGAAGTGGTGCCTGGATACTACGTTCTTTCCAATATACATATTTTGATGTGATACTTGTTCAAATTTACAAAATGTCAATGGAATGGTACATTCAAATCTTTTCTTTGTTTTTGTGTTCATTTCTTCCAATCAGCCTCACATTACCAAAAAGATCCGCGCGGATTTCATCCCTAACCCAGAGTTTGACCCAGTCAAGGTAGCCAAAGCCTCATCGGCTGCCGAGGGTCTGTGTAAGTGGGTCTTAGCCATGGAGGTCTATGACCGGGTGGCTAAAGTCGTAGCCCCAAAGAAGGAGAAACTGAAAGAGGCTGAGGCTGACCTGAGCGAGACCATGACTCTCCTCAATGGTAGGTCATTTTCTTGCAGTATCCGAAATATTGAATTTAAGGTAATGTTAAACATCAGAAAACAAAACTGCTGCATTATTATGCAATATCTAACTTGACTGTAAGAGAATAATAGTCTCAAGCATCCTGTGAAATCATGGCACCTGGTTGTGTCATCATTTTCAAGAAAAGGTGACTTTTGTATCATTTTCCGAAGATTGTTCGGATGAACCATCGTTGGAATAAAACAGCTTTGTTTTCAGATACTGCCCCCAATTGACAGAATTTAGTTGGTCCAGATTTTGTTTGCAATTGGTTAACATATCAGTGAACGGGCGCAAGCTGGCTAGTCTGGTTCCCTGACCCGACACTTCCCTGACATCTATAAATTGCCTTGTTTCGTCTGAAGTGTCAGGTCAGGGAACCAGACTACAAGAGCAACGTTTTTCCTTGTTTTTTTTCCGGTATCCATGAACACAAAACTTGAAACAGGTCAGTCGAACGATATTTGCTTTAAAATACCTCCTCCCAAATCTGTCCATTTCTGAAAATTACAGGAAAACAAATTCATGTTGTGTATTATTTTTCATCCATTAGCACGTTTACTGCATTGTGTTGCATTGTTTTTATTGTTGATGAATTTGTGACCACTGGTTTGCATGCGTGTGGCGCAAAGTATGTAAGCCTATTTCTATGTTATATATCTTCCCTTTTTTGTTTCCAGCTAAGAGATCAGAGTTGCGTGCTGTGGAGGAACGGCTGGCTAATCTGAAGCAGCAATTCAAAGACATGACAGACAAGAAGGAGCAGCTGGAGCAGCAAGTAGACCTGTGTGCCAAGAAACTGGACCGAGCGGAGAAGCTGATTGGTGGTCTAGGAGGAGAGAAGGACAGGTGAGTAGTGTCAATCACACCTACACAAAGCAGCAAGCACCTCAGGACCAGTAATCTCAAAACACTGGAATGCAGACGACTCTCGTTAATACAAACCCAGTCAGACCTAGCAAAAATGTGATGCGATCAAGCTAAATGAGTCGTTGGTCGGGAACTTTCACTTGGAGATACAGGCCAAAATAGGGCCACTTCATCACATCACTCCATCACATCTCTTGGTTTTCCGACTTCCATAATTTTTGAACTAAAGATGGTATCAGCTTGCAGTTTTCACAGCAGTAATGCTGAGATTGTGCTCTTTTCAAATCTGCAATAAAAAATTTGACCAGGGTCGACAAACGGCTCATGTAGCTTGATCGCATCACAAATGTGATGGGGATTATAGATAAATTTATATATAAATTCTGGCAGACGGTCACTGTAGACTAAGCGGCACTGTTTTTATGGCTGCAGCATTGTGGTGGCTTACTTTCAAATTGTTTGCAGCAGAAAAACCGAAGTGTTGTGCCAAATCAGGAACAACCCATTCCAGCTAGAAACCAAGGAGCATAATTATTAAAAAAAATAGAGCTTCTTAAAATGATCTTGTATTTGAAACATTCGCTTACCGACCTATACAATTTTTAATCAACAATTGGCTATTCATGCGATGATTACGATGATTGCCATGCGATAATTACGGCAATGATTCCATTTCACTTTTTGCAGATGGACCATGGCCGCGGCCGATCTGCAAAACATCTACGACAACTTGATGGGTGATGTCTTAATCTCATCTGGAGTTATCGCCTACCTGGGTGCCTTCACCTCAGCGTTCCGATTCAGATGTACCAGCGACTGGACCAAACTATGCACAGTAGGTTTCTAAAACCTCAACTACCGAGCTCTGGGTCCAATTTAAGAAATTGTTGCTTAGCAGATTCATGTGCATAAGCAACTGTCCACTGAGTACCAGTCACAAGTAGTACACATTGCATGATATTTTGGCTGGTAACCTATTTTTGCTTAGCAATATTATTTTGTGCTAAGCAACTTTCTTTGCTGAAAAAAATCCATGTAATTGGCGTCAGACATCTTGGCTTTAGTGACTGACAGTCACCGATTTGCAAACAAGTTTAAATATTTTTAGGGGCTTTCTGTTATAAATTAAAGTCACTCAAACACGTTTTTGGACCAAAAATCTTTAAAACATGCAGTGTTTTGTCAAGTGAATTGATTTAGGTTTCAATAAAAGTGCTTGTTTTTCTTTTGCCAACGGCCTTTATAACACATTATGTCTGGAAATGAAGCAGTTTCGATTAAGGATTGTCATTTCAAGGAATTTGATCTTTCAATCAAATTGCAATAAAATATACTCGTGTTTGAACTTTTAGTTATTTTGCGTTAAACTCTACACTCATAATTTTTATTTTGGAAGTCTCTGCTCGAGAACCAACAATGTGACATTTTAATGTGTCATGAATATTTAAGTTGTTCTCATATAGAGCTACCAATTATTTGAATATGCATTAGCTGTGACGATGTCCTTTTGTTTGTTCTCAATAAGTGCTTACTTTTTATATTGTGCATCCTTCAGACCAAGAAGATTCCATGTTCGGATGAGTTCTCGTTGAGTAAGACCCTTGGTGAGCCAATCAAGATCAGAGCGTGGAATATCGCTGGGCTGCCTACCGATGCCTTCTCAGTAGACAATGGTGTCATCGTGGACAACTCCAGAAGATGGTAAGAAATCCATCACTCCTTAAAAAAAATATTAACATCTGTCTTGTGTGAATAATTACTGCCTATCAGGCCAGTGTTTATATCTGTTTGCCTTGGCATGAAGTGACTGAGAATATTTCTATTCCCCCCCTGGATGGGATGCCAGGCCATTGCAGGTTACTCCCCAGCTAATGCCAGTACCCATTTATACTCCTGGGTGGAGAGAGGCAAGTGGACGTAAAGTGGCTTGCCCAAGGACACAACATATGGCCAGCAGCAGGGAGCTGTTTGGGAGCTGTTTGTGGTTCAGAGAAGAACCAAAGTGTAAATTCATTGCATTAACAGAGCATTCTACATGAAATACACAAAAATACACAAAATAATACACATCAGGCGTAATACACAAAAATATAGTTCCACATGGTGTCACTGCAAGTATTCACTCAATAAGTTATTTATCTTCAAAGGTTGATGTTGAAAATTGATGAAAAAGTTGTGACACATATGCAAAATGATCTCAGTGGTTACTTTTATTAACAGCAAAGAAAGTCCAAAATTGTCTCCCTAAATGCCATCTTTCTCCCTCTTTTTGTCTCAGGCCGTTGATGATTGACCCCCAGGGTCAAGCCAACAAGTGGGTCAAGAACTCGGAGAAGGACAGCAACCTATCAGTCATCAAACTGACCGATAACGACTACATGCGCATACTGGAGAACTGTCTGCAGTTTGGCACGCCGTTGCTGCTGGAGAACGTAGGGGAAGAATTGGACCCATCGCTGGAGCCTCTGCTGCTTAAACAGACCTTCAAGCAAGGTAAGCTGGAGTTAGCCGTTTGGCTGCAGTACTGCAACAGAAAAACGGAACAAAATTATCGTAAAATCTCAAAAGAATCAAGTACTCAGATTTAGTGACATTGAAAAGATCCTAACAAAATATTTTTTATCATGTGTATAAAGTTTTGATGTCCGAATCTGATTCCTGAAAAAGTTGACTTTCTGTTTGTGGTAACCAATCACATTTGCAAGCAGGATTTCAATATTTGCTTGCAAATCTTGAAAGAAATTTGTATCCATGTTGGAGAGTTGCTGAAAAAAAAGAGTTTTATTTAAATTAGTTGGGTGAAATATGACGTCACAGATTGGCGTTTGAGTTTGCTTTTCCAAAAAAAAATTTGAATTGGCGTTCATACAGTATGTTTTGAGCCATGCGTAAATATTCCCTTATTGGTGTATTCCTCTAACACTAATTTGTAAACATTCAGCTAAAAATTGGTTGCACCAAGTCCCAATTTTCCACGACTTTCTCTTTAGCATATTGCTCAAACTTTATAAAACAAATCTCAGCACTGAGAGTTTGTCCAGAACGGGCATTTTTTAAAAATAGTTTTACATTGGGAAAAACCGCAAATCCCAGCGAACGCAGAGCACAGAGCGAAGCTGCTTGGCATTTCGCAATGTTTTTAATTTGAGTCACAAGCACAAGTTGCCGCCAAGTTTTATTTCATTATACAGCAAACAATAAACACAAAGTATAAGCACAAACGGGAGATTTATTTTGATGATAATCTGACGCATTTTCGATATTTTTGATATGATTAAAAAATTGCTATCAGCGATATCGATATCAAAATAATATTGAATAATCAATTAATATCGATATATCGTTTATCATTGGCCCTTATCAACAACAAAGTATGGAACCCATCTATGTACAGTTATAAAGGGTATCAATTCTTATTTTCCAAATTTGCATGGTGTTGCCCTAAAGAGAGACAACCATATCATACAACAGCAACTTCACACTATGTATTTAGAGTCTTGACCATTCACCATCTTGTCTTCAGGTGGTGTTGAGTGTATCCGTCTTGGAGAGAACGTGATTGAATACTCGCAGGACTTCCGCTTCTACATCACCACCAAGCTGCGTAACCCTCACTACCTCCCTGAGGTAGCCACCAAGGTCTCCTTGCTCAACTTCATGATTACGCAGGACGGGTTGGAAGACCAGCTATTGGGGATTGTGGTGGCCAAGGAAAGGTGCGTCAAATTGGAGGGGAAAAAAGACAAAATTGATGAAAGAGATGATGAAGCAGAGGCAGCAATTTGATGAGCCTAGAAAATTTTTACTTTTCAAAAATATGTTACAAGCTAAAATGCAATGGGAAGTATTTTGTTTGATTGCTATTAGCTGAGTTTTGCTATAGAAAAATCATGTAATCAGCTGCATGTTATGGGCACTGGCTTATTTCAATATTTTGGCTGTGAAATCAAAAAAGACTTACCGTGTAAGATCAAATTTTGCATTGGGAAGATATAATAATAACACACAGTATTCTCAAGGTGCACAGAATCTGAATATATAACCGTTCAAATAAACCGGTACCTGAAAAAAGTCATTATCTGACTATGTTTGAGAGGAAATTCATTAGGGAGATGAGTTTTGAGATGTAATAATTGGGATTTTGTTCTATTGGGAGAACAAAACTTTCACTAGCTCACTGGGGGGGGGGGGGGACTTGCACCCACGCCCTCCTACTGGTGTAGATGCCTTAACAGCTTGACCATTGAGCTTGCCACGGTACTCTGGCCGGTTTGAATCTGATGTGCAACCAGATAATGCAATTAGTATTGCGTAAGATGAAATTTGCTTTTGGAAGAGGTAAATATTTGATACTGATTTTTGCCCTTCCCCAGTGTGAAGACTTATCTCATGTTTTGGAAAACAGATGAACATTAATGAATGCCGTGTCCGAATCAAATGGCTATGACTGGCAATAACACAAGTCTATGGGAAGTGGCTGCAGCTGCTAGCCAGTGGCTTCCATAGGTGTGTGTTATTTCTAGTCGTAGCCTTGTGATTCGGGCAGGGCCTCAGCATAGATGATTTTTTTCCCCACAAAAAAAGACCAGCCCACCAGGAATGGAAGCCCAGACTTTGGTTGGTTTTTGTTTTTTACTAGTGCCGGTCTTTCCTTCTTTCATTACAGACCAGAGCTTGAGGAGGAGCGACAGGCCATGGTCCTCCAGAGCGCAGCCAACAAGAGACAGCTCAAGGAGATTGAAGATAAGATCTTAGAGACGCTGTCCTCCTCCGAGGGGAACATCTTGGAGGATGAGAGTGCGATCCGCATCTTAGATTCCTCTAAGGTATAAACGGAAATAATCACCCACTTTATCATATTCCTGAATTATATTCCTGAATTTAAAATTCTTGCTGGATTCCTCAAACATTATTACTATCAAATTGAATTGTTACATCGTGTGCTCAAATACTGTAATTTCATAGGTCTAGAACGGCCACGTGTGTAGTTGACTTTATATACACCGCATTGCATATAAATTGGGTGCATTGCGCGTGTGTGTAAAACGTCATATCCCATATCCCTCATCACAGCAGTCAACAATTGTTAATTGATGTTTCACTTCACATCATATCATATGCTTATTATATTTGTATGCGTTATTTTGGGGGGAAAACTGACAGAAAATAAACACTTCTCCTTAACTACATACCTACACACACTTTCATGCAGCTTGAAAATCATACTTAATCAGTGTAGAAAGAAAACTATTACTTCAGCTGAGACACCGTATTTCTTTTGGCTGTTTTTTTTCTTACTGGAGGAGACGGAAGATATTTTATCTTTTAATCATAACCTTGTCTTGAAAGTTGAACTGTAGAATTTGAAATTTTAAAAGTGCAACGTATGAGACAAAGGTATAATGTCAGGCAGACTTCAATGATTTTTTTATTAAGTGATTTTTTAAAACTCTCTCTGTTTCTCACTCAGGTTCTCTCGGATGAAATCTCCAAGAAGCAGAAGATTGCAGAAGAGACGGAGAAGAAACTGAACGAGTCGCGAGCCGGCTACCGTCCCATCGCCAAACACTCCAGTGTCTTATTCTTCAGCATTGCCGATCTGCCTAACATCGACCCCATGTACCAATACTCACTGATGTGGTTTGTCAATCTCTACATCAACTCCATCCATGACAGGTTAGCTGTTTGTTCGGCTTGTTTGTTTGTCGATATTGAGCAAGCATCGTTAACTAGCCTTCCACAGGGCCAAATATGTAGTGGGGGTGTCGATAGACGTACCGAAGACCAACTTAGAAGCCATCAGGCAAATTAGAAAAATAACTGGAAAGGCTTTTGAGTTTTGAGGCTTTTTCATTCAAGAATGTAATTTCTATCATATTGTAAGTCTAAAACAAAACTTGGTCCTTCGCAAAAGTAAATTTACTTCTTTTTGTTTTTCATGTTTACCTAGAATTATTGAGAATGTTAGAACGGTTCCATTTACTTCAAGACAGCTTCAGCACTTGTTAATGTTAACATCTTGTCTTTACAATTCCCAGCAATAAGTCCAAGATTCTTGAGAAGCGGCTGCGTTACCTATCAGACCACTTCACCTACAACCTGTACTGCAACGTCTGTAGGTCCCTCTTTGAGAAGGATAAACTCCTCTTCTCCTTCATCCTCTGCACAAATATCCTCATGTGAGTACAAAAAATATAGTGTTCCTATTAGTCACTCGACTATGTTTTAAAAAAATCGTATTAGCCTGCAAAAATTAGGGGTCTAATTATCATTCAATTTTTTGGGGGGGGGGGGGGAGAGGGAGGGCAAATTAAATAATTGATTGGAGTTTGTACCCTTCCTTTTTTAAACCAGAATTTATGTATTTGGATATCATTTTTTTATAACGAGGCTTCATCCTTGACACCATCCAGGGATATGAATTTTTCTACATCTACCAATTTCAGGCTTTTCTCAAATTGCAGATAACATATGGCACCATACATGTGTGTGTTTTTTCAGTACCTCAAACATTCTTGCAAAAAAAGGGTTAGCCCACATCCCAGAACATCGTCATGTTTGAAGATATACTAAGAAGGCATTCAAACCCACAACCTCTTCCTTACTGACGAGGGACTCTAATTTTATCAGTTTTACTATACAATTTAGAGTACATAAAAAGCAAGTAGCTTCATTGTGTTAATCAGTCCAAACATCAGCCCGAATCTAATTCACCCCCACCCTAATTCACCCCTACCCCACCCCACCCCACCCTCACTCCACCCCCACCCCAACCTCCGTCCAGCGGCATCCAGCTTTTTATCCGGGGTAGGGGGGATTAAGATTTTACTGTATCTACATCTGAACTGTCTTCAAACCGTCGAAACATTTACTATTAAATAAAAAATACCAAAATGCCACCAAGGGAACAAGTTCCCCTTCCCTCGCTTGATACGCCACTACCTCCACCCACTTCCCATCCCTATCCTATCCATGCCCACTCCAAACCTGACTGCAACTCCAACCCACACCTATCATTAAAGCCCCCTTTAATTCACCATTTTGTTTGCAAGTAACTGCATGATAATTAGCATCCGTTGCCCTTAATTCTTATGAATATGTAAACTGCTTATCATCATTTGCTAAAAGTTTTTGCATACACGTGTCACCTTGTTTGTGCAAGCATGATTAGTTCCCACACAAGTCCTATGCATCATTGCAATGAATATTTATTAGCTTGCCGGCACCTTCATTTGCATACATATGAATATGCATGAGCTCCCTGCAGATTTAGCCTGTCCCTATACATCTGTCACTGAATATTCATGAGCATGTGCAATTAATCTCACCAATTATATTTCTCTATATGCATGTTCCATTCTTTTCTTCCAACCATTCCTATCACCAACACAGTGCGGAGGCTGAACAGCATGCGTAAGTTTATTCGCCAACATTCCTTCTCATTTTATTTATTTCTTACAGATTCCACTATTTTTCAATTTGCATATTCATGTTTTGATTTTGCCCTTTCCATTTTAATATTCTCCAATGAATAATTCATTATCCTTCAACGTTGAAACATTACTACTTTAAGTAACTTTTGATCTTTTCCAAATTTGTTCAAAATATTAATTCCAGCATATTTTGTTATTAATTGTTTTTCAAGGCCTTTAAACATATCACATAATGGAAATATTTTCAAAGAGTGATTTTTACAAACAAAATTCCATCTACTAACATGTATGAAATAATTATTCAGTACGTGTAACCTGTCATTGGCATTGTAATGTTCCATCCGTCATTTAAAAACCAAATGGAAAGAATAGTTTGAAGGATTGTCGAATATTACCTTCCATGGGTTTTGTGTTGTTTTACATGCCGGTGTTCATGAGTTGTGTTTGATTTCATTTGGTTGTTATGGTAACATAGGATTCTGGTGTTGGTTATAATAGGTTCATAGTATTCTTGGTGGTTGTTTTCTATTCGACTGATGGTATATCATCAACCACTGTGGCACAAGGATTTCTAAAATTCTGACAAAGAAAACAAAACTATTAAGTAGTTGAAATTGAAGGTTCAACTCCCAAATTTGTTGGGAAAATTTAAGTTGTATGTGACGCAATCTCGCTAATCTTCAACATATATAGTTGTCCTTCTGCAGCAGTGGTTGTGTCTTCATAAAGTTTGTTAAAAAAAATAAAAAGTAAAAGACCAATTAGGAGAACCAGTATGGGTGGTTCACGGCAAACCAGTAAAATTGTGTAATTTGGACAGGTGAAGCAAATCTTTAAGTCTTCTCCAACCTTATCAAATGTTGCCAGCACCATATATTAACTTGCTTCATTCCTTCTCCTCCTAACACCAGGGATAAGAAGGAGATGGACCAGGAGGAATTCATGTTCTTCCTGACCGGCGGCGTGGGTCTAGACAATAAACTAGAGAACCCAGACCCCTCCTGGCTGTCAGATAGAAGCTGGGATGAGATCTGTCGTATGTCTGACCGTCAAGCCTACAAAGGATTCAGGTATAAACTGTCGAGCCCAGGAATTATTTCTAACTTCTACATTAGCTTGTAAACACAGATGTGCGGACAGGAATTGAAGACAAACAAACAATGTGCAAAACTTTGACAGGATTCCATGAAAAGAAGAGACTGTAACTATTCAACTTTTCATCTCTGCATGCACTTTTTGTAAAAGACGTGGGCATATTGCAGCCGAGAAATTTACTAAACAGCAGAATGGATACACAATCTGTTCAGAAAAAATAAACTCAAAAAACCAAAAACAATTACAATTTAAAGAGAATATACAACATTTGCTTTTGCTGTAATTTTCAGAAATGGATGGATTTGGGGATTAGTGTTTATATTGTTACACTGACATGTTGGAAGTTTTATGTTTGTAGTTTCTGGAAAAACCAAGAAAAACAATCATGTTCTTGTAGGTTAGGGACCCAGTCTAGAAGGCTTGTACCCCTTCATAGATGTGTAATTGATTGCAAAAAAATATTAAGTCTAACTAAATGTGATTTGGGGGCAGTATTTGAAAAAAAGCCAGCTTCTTTCCAACACTGGTCGGCCGACCAGCTTTGGAAATTGATACAAAAATACCACTTTTCTTGAAAATGTCAGCACACCAGGTGCCATGGTTTTACAGGATGCTTTAGACTGTCATTCACTAACAGTACAGTAAGGTATTTCATAATAATTCGGTAGTTTTGATTTTTGATGTTTGCATATGTTGTATATTCCCTTTAAAACTAAGTCTTAATGTAAAACTCTCAAACTCTTCCAAATTCTGTTGGAGACAACGGATATTAATCTGGAAAAACTAACTTTTTTGGGAAATAAAAAAATATATGAGACTGTGTTCTGTTTCTGTGTTCTGATATATATTTGCTGTTCCCATTCCATAGGGATCACTTCCATGACCACCTGGAGGATTGGAGATCATTGTACAACAGCAAGGAGCCCCACAAAGAGACCTTCCCCGCCCCCTGGAATGAGAAGCTCTCAGATTTCCAGAAGGCTATTGTCATCAGATGTCTCAGACCAGATAAGGTAAGATTCTTTTTTCTTTCTTTTTTCTTTTCTTTTTCAACAGTTTTTTTTTTTTTTTATAATTGAAGCCACTACTATGACAATTGAAGAGTTAGATTTCAACTCAATACTGTATTTTTTTATGTCTGTTCTAACTTTCAAAGTTTTTTTAAAAAGTTTTTAATTGTTCAACATTTTCTTAAAGTGTGAAACAAAAATGATCATTATCTTTTAATGTGTGACTTTTAGATAATAATTTTACCATCAAAACAATTCTTTCATGTTAGAAATTTCCCATGTCTTTAGTCTAACAAGCCTGTTGCATGTGTACAAAAATTGTCCACTTTTGGTTTTACATAGGTTGGGCCGCTGGTCACCGACTTCGTCATCAGTAAGCTAGGTCAGAAGTTCGTCCAGCCTCCACCCTTTGACCTCGCCAAGAGTTTTGTAGACTCCCACTCCTGCGCCCCTCTCATCTTTGTCCTGTCTCCTGGGGCTGACCCCATGGCTGCACTGCTCAAGTTTGCCGGCGACAAAGGGTTCAGTGGGGAGAAATTCAACGCCATATCCCTGGGACAGGGACAGGTAAAGAATGGAACTTCATTTCATGCTGCTTTGTTTCAATTCTAAAGCTACTAATGACCTAAAATTTGACCCCTGGACTATAAGACATTGCTCTTATTCAAAAATGACTTAAACCTCAATGAATTAAAGTCTTAAACATGCGTGACGATGAGTCAGTGCCTTTTTGTGTGTATTAACCTTGCCTTATGAAGTTCTTCATTTGCAGCTGATATTTTTTTGTTTTTGTTACAAAACACTTTGCAAGTTATTACACGTACCGTTAATTTAACATGTTTATAAAACAAACTTGCTGTTTCAATGCTATTTTTGAGTTTCACTCCGACAAATCGACTTTTATAACTTGTTGTTTTTCTAGCAATAGAAAAGTTAGTCACTTTTTAATGCAGGGGTGTGAGATCTCAGTTTCAAGCTGATTTCAGCTTTTTTTTTATTTGAATTTCAACTTTTTTCCCCTCACTTGCTGTGTACAGAAGTATAGGAGATTTCCAAAGTTCAGCTTTTTGACACCTTTTCCAGCTGTTTTCAGCTATTTTTATCAGTGGTCACTCACACCCCTGTAATGAGACATATTGTAATAAAAAATATATATTTATTTGCAAAGTTTGAAATATTTGCAGCCACAAAAATAATTAAGGCAGATCTTATTGTACGTAAGAGGCACAGAAGCAACCCAAAACTATTGGGGGGGGGGGGTAGAACATGTAAATCAAAACCTGGTAAGGAGAAAATATAATTACATTTGTTGAAGTGCAACTTTAATCGGTAAAGTGCTGTATATCTGTTTCACATTTATTTTGACTAGCTAGCATGCCTGCCTATTACTAATCTCAAGTACAGAAACATAGGGAGAACCACACACATGAAATAGCTGATGTATATGTCGGTGAAGGGAAAACCCAATATTGAATATACATCACGCCGCCGCCAAAAAAATCCATCTTACGAATAGTATTTTGTTTTTGTGTTTTCTTCCAGGGTCCAGTTGCAGCTAAGCTAATCGAGGCAGCCAGACAAGACGGTACGTGGGTGGTGCTACAGAACTGTCACTTAGCTGTCTCCTGGATGACAGCCTTAGAGAAACTGTGTGAGGAGTTTACTCCTGAGACAGTTACTGCTGACTTCAGACTCTGGCTGACTAGCTACCCATCCGACAAGGTAAGTATTCAAACACGACTTGAAGAAACACTTGAACGCATAGATGCGTACAGTTTGTGCACATTCAGTTTAGATATTTATTTGTTCATATTAGGTCCACGCGAACCTGTGATCTTGAGTGTGCACATGTGGTTTGTCTCTCTGAAGGAGTTCTCGAAGTAGTCACAAGCCCTATGTTCTGTTCATGCATGGTGTCAAAAGCAGGCACTTGAAGATTGCGAATTGAAACTGTCGGAAAAATCAAAGGGACTCTGTCTATCTTTAGTTGTATTTTATTTCATTTCATGTTACTTATTTTTGCTGAATTTTTTTTTTTTTTTCTTTATTCAGTTCCCGGTGACTGTGCTTCAGAATGGCGTCAAGATGACCAACGAACCACCCACGGGATTGAGGATGAACATGCTACAGTCTTACATCAGTGATCCTATCAGTGATGAAGAGTTCTTTGCTTCTTGCCCTGGGAAGGAGGCGGTCAGTAGCATAAGTTGCTGTTTTTGAGTTTCACCCCCAAAATTAGATTTTCTTTTTCAGCTGCTATTTTTCTAGCAAAACAAAAGTTATAAAATTTTGAATGAAACATAAAAAAAAACCTTGCCACTATTTACTTGTGACATAATTACTTTACATACAATTAAATCTTTCGAGAGCATTGTAAGAGTAATTTTACCATGTCAGCATCTTTATGTGACATATTATGTTTAACCACCCCCACCCCCATACAATCACTCCCAAAAATTAGAAATTAAGAACCCAGCCAGCATGTTGCTGTATTAAAGAGAATATATTATTGGCTTTTGAATTTCCAGGCCTGGGAGAAGTTGCTATTTGGGATGTGTTTCTTCCACGCTCTGGTACAAGAACGGCGCAAGTTTGGCCCCCTGGGCTGGAACATCCCCTATGGTTTCAATGAGTCGGATCTCCGCATTAGCATCAGGCAGCTACAGGTAAGACAATCATGTGACCAAGGCCAACAATCATGTGACCAAGGCCAATGAAAATATAATTATGGTTTACCCTAACTCCAATCGTAACAGTCAGATATGAGCTGCATTTTTTATTGCTAGTTCTGGACAGCATTTTGAAAAAGATTTTGCTAGGAATGAAATATCAGGTCCTGTTAACTGAAACAGTTATTCAAAGTAATTTTATCATCTGTTGAAAGCACAATATGATTAATACAGCTTGTGTTATTGTGTAGAAAATAAAACCAGGTTTTAGCTAAGCTAACATATGCAAAACTATCTTGAATGTTCATATTTCTTTTCTGGATATTTATTACTTTATGAGAAATATACATAAATATACATGTATATATGAATATTCATATTTCTTTTATGGATACTTGTTACTTTCTACATAAGATGGATATGAATATTCATATTTCTCTTATTGATATTTACTACTTTCTGATGCATTTTCATGAGATATGTGTATTTTCTCTCATGCATATGTATGACTTCCCACCTTTCCTGTCCGTGTAGATGTTTGTCAATGACTACGATGAGGTACAGTATGATGCTGTCTCCTACCTGACCGGTGAGTGTAACTACGGTGGTCGTGTGACCGACGACCGAGATCGTCGCTGCTTGCTCACCATCCTGGCTGATTTCATCACTCCTAAGATCGTCAAGGATTCCAAGTACAAGTTCTCCCCTAGCGGCAACTACTACGCTCCACCCAAGAGCTCATATGAAGAGTACCTGGACTTCATTAAGGTAAGAGGGGGTATCTCTTAGGAAAATACCCAGACTATCAGTCATGGCAATCAATTTTGATGTGTAGCCATGCTTATGTGACAATAAGGCCTGGAAAAAAAAGTTATGAACTTTTTTTTGTATGAATCAAATCACCAAAATTTGAAAGAGTCTCGGGTTTATTCGGAAAAATGCTAAAAGAATGTCAACAAACCGATCCCTTATTCCTTTGGTATATTTTCAAAAGCCCTTCCCAAATCCTCTAAAATTATACACTGCGCATTGCATTCATCAATGCACATTCTTCCATTAGATTTCAAGTGTTACACAAAGTAAAGGCATCTTGTCCTTACATGTACTGAATTCATTACAACCTTACAAACCAAGTGTTTTTTTTGGAGAATTTGGGATTGTGTAGGGTTTATAGTAAATAAAGACATTTGAAACCCCTCCCCCCAATCTCTGCTACCATTGAAATCATTGCTTCCTGTTTATTACGGTCTTCGTTACTATTCCGTTGTTTTCAGAGTCTACCTCTATCCCAAGAGCCAGAGATCTTTGGCATGCATGAGAACGTAGACATCTCCAAGTCACTTCAGGAGACCAAGCAGATCTTTGATTCCATCCTGGTGACCCAGGGAGGCAGGGCCAGCGCTGGGGGAGGCAAGACAGACGACGTGCTGTACGAGATCGCACAGGATGTCCTGTCTAAGGTATGATCGTCATGAACTCAGAAATGACAACATGGCGGTAATCAGGGCCCAATAACATGAAGCTGCTCAAACTGGAAATTGGAAGATAGATAGTTTGTTTAAATTGCTGTTTGTAGCATAATCAACTTCTTTTTTGATGAGACATCGAATGGAAAAATCTGCTTATGTTTAGTTGTAGAAAAATTACTTGCCAAGTCTTTTTTTATGGCTTACGTGTAGAAATTTCAGCTCAGTGAGTGTAGCCTCCGATTTGCTTTGCTTGAAACGAGTCAAGTATCCCATTTACAGTTTGTCGCGAAAACTTGAAATTCCGTGATAGGTTTTGCCAATATCACAATCACGCCTTTGAAGCTAAGTTGAATTTAGAGCACATTGAAATAATTGACTTTCATTCTACAATTTGACATTTTTCTGAGTGTCATTCCTTTTTTTCCATCCTCAGTTGCCGAAGGACTATGATTTGGAGGCAGCACTGAAGAAGTTCCCGGTCGTGTACAATGAGAGCATGAACACTGTCTTGGTGCAGGAGATGGAACGATTCAACAAGTAAGACAGTCAGTCTGTTTGTTTGTCTGTGTGAATATTTGACTATCTTGCATTCTGTCCACATGTCTGTGTTGGTATTTTCAAGGAATGATGCAAAATTAAAGCAGTTTCTTTCTATAATTTTCTCCTCCCTAGAACTTTTTCAAACAAATTAATGAGTAAAGATAAGAAGTGTTCCATGTCACAGTTCCGCTGAGTTTTTCCATCTTGTCCATTGTTTTTCCTCAGTCTGATGCGAACCATCCGTACGAGTCTACAGAACCTACAGAAAGCCATCAAGGGTCTCGTGGTCATGTCCTCGGAGCTGGAAGCCGTGGGCAGTAACCTCCTCATTGGCAAGGTAGGCTAAGTTCTTAGTTTGTATTTTATTTCTGGAAAGAAACCAAGGATTCCTCAAAAGCGCCCTTGGCACTGGAGCTCTCAAGCCTGAAGAAACCTGTAGAGAGAAGACAATGAGAAGAAATGACGGTTTTTGAGGTGGGAGGAAAAGCCCAGAAGAATATTCTGGGGAAATCCCACGTAATCAGGTAAGGACTGAAAACCCAATCCACATGTGGTCCGGACAGGAATCGAACCAGGCTCATTGAGTGTTTTGGCGGTTTAGGGTGCTATAGGGAGTAATAGGCAGGGCGGTTTTGGGCGGTACAGTGATTAACAGGTTAAACAGGGAATCCTCAGGGAAGGTATGAAGCCAAATTCCTTTAATAGTCTGTGAAATATACTAGCTTGAGTTTTCGTTAGAATAAACAGAGTTCTTTACTTAGGGTACGGGGAAATGTGGCCTAGCGGTTAGGGTTTGTGACTCATGATCAGAGGGTCAGGGGTTCGAATCCAGCTACGGGCCATACGTTGTGTCCTTGGGCAAGCCACTTCACCCCCACTTGCCTCTCTCCACCCAGGAGTATAAATGGGTACTGGCATTAGCTGGGAGTAACCTGCGATGGACTAGCATCCCATCCAGGGGGAATAGAAATATTCTCAGTTGTTTCATGCCACTGAAACCGGAGTTAAACGCCGGCCTGATGGGCCATATTGGCTTGGGACAGACTTTACTTACTTTACTTACTTAGGATAAGCAGAGCCATTAAGTTGATCCCAGGAAAATGCCCTACTAATCAAACTTTCTTATAGTAACGGCAATGTTTTGCATTGCACTGCAAAAGGAGTCCTTTAGCATAGAGCCAATTTGGAGACAAAATACCGAAGAAAGGTTCATGATTTCACCAAACCAACACTTTTTAAATGTCAGCTAATTTTGACCTCCTTGTCTACAGGTGCCAGAGATGTGGTCCAAGCGTTCCTACTCCACCCTGAAACCTCTCGGCAGCTACATCACAGACTTCTTAGCACGGCTCAAGTTCCTTCAAGATTGGTACGATAGCAACAAACCAGACATCTTCTGGCTGTCAGGGTTTTTCTTCACTCAAGCCTTCCTGACAGGAGCTATGCAGAACTACGCTAGGAAGTACACTATCCCCATCGATAAGTGCGGATTTCAGTTTGAGGTGGGTTTCTGGTTTTCACTTTGGTGGAATTCCAGAGTTGTAGTCGAGTTACCGCAAGTAATCAGAAGGTATCACAAGTCTATCACAAGCCAGTCACAAGTCATCTCAAGCCGATACAAGTTAATGGCATGTCAGTCACAAGTCATCATCACAAGCCATCACAAGTTAATCACAAGTCAGTCACAAGTCATCTCAAGCCGATACAAGTTAATGGCATGTCAGTCACAAGTCATCATCACAAGCCATCACAAGTTAATCACAAGCCAGTCACAAGTCATCTCAAGCCGATACAAGTTAATGGCATGTCAGTCACAAGTCATCATCACAAGCCATCACAAGTTAATCACAAGTCAGTCACAAGTCATCACAAGCCAATTCAAGTTAATCACAAGTCAGTCACAAGTCAAACACAAGTCATTACAAGCCAACTCAAGTCAATCACAAGTCAGTCACAAGTCATCATCTCAAGTCATCGCAAGCCAATTCAAATTAATCACAAGTCATCACAAGTCAATCACAAGTCATCATCACAAGTCAATATCAGTCAAACACGAGTCGTCAGAAGTTCATTCGAAGTCTTTTATGAGTCAATCACCAGTCATCAGAAGTCATCACAAGTCTATCACAGTTTAATCATAAGTCATTGCGTAAAGTGACAGCTTTTCAAACGAATGTTGACAAAAGCTTTCCTTCGGCGTTTTTCATAAGGTTTTACATACCACCTGACTTGTGATTTGACGTGTGATAGATTTGTGATGGCCTTGACTTCATCCCTATTACAACATATTCAAATGCACATTTTGGCTGAGTCAAGTTTTGCTGATAATCAGCCAAAAATAACCCCAAAAACCAAAAAACCACAGGCATGTAATGCATGTTTCCTTTTGATTTGTTGTCTGCTGGGGTTGGCTGAGCAACTGAATTTCAATACGCGAGATTCAAAAATGCCAAACATGGAAACGAACAATTAATACTTTATGATTTAGTCACCGAGCAACGCCCGTGCGCTGCGCACACAGAGATGTCACCATGATGATAACACGGGATTCTCTGCAAAATTGTACCAGTGTGCAGTTTGCAAGACAATCCTAGCACAATATTTCTGTGCTTACTTGTTTCTTTAGGAAAGTTTTTTCTTCATGTGTATTTTGAAAGTACCAAACCTTGTGTTACATCATGAACAGCTGCTTTCCTATTTGCAAGTGTTGCACAATGTAATTCCTTCAACTATTCTCATTTTTTGTTTCTCCTCCTTGTCATCAGGTCTTGCCTTGCGAGACAGTAGACAAGCCACCAGAGGACGGTGTGTACGTCAACGGTCTGTTCCTGGATGGAGCTCGCTGGGACAGAAAGAAGTAAGTCAACGTCAAGGATCGACAGTGCAGGGCTCACCTTATTTAGCATTCCTATCAAGATGTCATTTATAGTATAAGGCTGGTTCTTCACTGAGAGTGAATGACGAGCAGAAGCATCACATCAAAAATGTGTTGGAGTTTAAATGAGTACTTCGGTTTTGAAACAATTTTACTGAGGGAATACTTGCTACAATGTCAGATATTGGTCATTGCTTTCGTGTCTTTATTGTGGTAGTAATGGTGCTGGTTTGAGGACTGCGCTAGTTTTCTTTCTTTTTTGGATGTAATGAAATTGTTTCATGGTGAACATGTAGCTCAGTTTGTAAAGTTGCATTGCCATTGAACAGGCAATGATTTTCTGTTTCGTACATGCCTGTTTTTGGATAGAGATCATTGTTAATTCTGTTGAGATTGTCAGAGTTTCTGATTTTGAGACTCTTGTTTTTTAATGGTTTGTATCTGATTGTTAAAACTCTTTTTTTCCTTTAAATTTTGTCTTGTGCAGGGGACTTCTTGCCGAGTCCATGCCAAAGGTCCTGTTTGATCCGGTTCCAGTCATATGGGTCAAACCAGGTAAGAAATAGACCAAAGTCCATGATTGTTTACATTGTAGAGTGAGGCTGCATGCGAAGCTCTTTGGCACATTGTCAACACCATCAAGTAGAAACAGAAAAAAACTTGTGAAAGTTGAAGGGAATGCCCACGATTTTCCTGCCACAACTCTGAGTGTTTGCAGGTATTAGGAAAGAGAATAAAACTCTCCTCCCTCACAATACTGTTTGTTGAACTCTTATCGGACGTTCTGTTGACAAGTTATGGCTGTTTAAAGTACGCATTTATTGACATGTCAAAAAGGTAAAATACTGAGAAAAAGGCTTTTAAAGTTTCGAATTAGGTATCTGGGAAGATCAAAGACGCCAACTGTTTTTCCTTGAAAACTTGTTTATTCTACAGTTTTTATACGATTTCTTTAAAACGTGTAGGAGACATATCAAAGATTACAAATATCAATAAAAATTAAATCGAAAAATGTTACCCCCATTTAAAAAAAAATTGGGGGGGGATTTTGCTCCTCTACTGCCAGTGCCCAGTTCTGTCTCATTTTGCCAAAATGCCTCACAAATGTTCTTGAGAAAGTACCTTTTGCCTTAATCAATCAACTGTCAATCAACCATTTTTCTTTATAGTTTTCGACTTTCTCATCTTGTTAGATAATAATTACATAAATGATTGATCTTTTGGAAATATCTTTTTTCAATCGAAACAATCTCTTTTGTTTATTGTTCATTCAGGTAAGAAACTAGACTTCAAGCCCAAAGCCGACTACGTCTGTCCCTTGTACAAAACCAGTGAGCGTCGAGGCACGCTGTCAACAACCGGTCACTCCACTAACTTTGTCCTTCCCATGGACCTCCCAACCGATAAACCAGTTCAGCACTGGATTAAGAGAGGTGTGGCCCTGCTCTGCCAGCTGGACGACTAGGGTTGATCATTTAGTTAATCAACTAGTTGTGGATTGATAGTTATAATCTTAGCTTGAGGGCTTGTGTACATAAATGAGTTAACCAGTTTGGACTTTTTGTAACAATGTGGATTTACAGTGGAGTGCTCTGCTAAACTGGTTTAAATGAGGTTGGGTTTAAATAACCAAGATAATCTGGTTATTAGTAGTAACTAGTAGCAAGTTAAACACTAGTTGGAGGTTGTATATAGTTGGTTTAATGTTGCTTATCTGTACATATGTTGCTAACATTATGGTATTGACGTTGTGTCGTGTGTATTTCTGATGAATTATTTCAATTGTGAAGACTTCATAGATTTAACACCTTCCATTTCTTTCTGACAAATATTTACAGAAATGAGATTTCACGATTGATGGCTTATATTTTTCAGCTGTATATTGTTTTATTTCATTATGTTGTTATTTCTGTTGGAGTTGTGTTTTTGTTCAACGGATGTAATTAAATTATATAATATGCTTTGCCCAAGGAAGAAAATTGCAGATGTATATCTGGACCAAAGTATTTTTTAGAAATGATCAATTCTTCAATATGTTTGCCTTACAATTTCAGGTTGTGCCTTAATTAAAAAAAAAAATGAGCTTGTCATGTACACGTGTATGTAAAGTCGCATTTACAAATAAGAGTTTTAAATCGGTATGGAGAAATGTTAATAATAAATAGTGCACTTGATACTTAAGATTCAATGGTTTTTGCAGTTACACGATAGTTAGGGCAAGAATGAATATTTGTTGAAGTTTTATTTTACTTGCAGTCGCAAAAGTACATCCACACTTAAACAAATACATGACTTAAGAACACATCCGTCCAAAATTTGTATTTAAGTTCTGTCTTTAAGTATATAAGATGAAAGTTTGTTTAAATGAATTTGTTTGTTTAATACCGTCCAGAAAATGGAACATTTAATTTGATTTAAGACATTAAAATTAGATGTGAATTTTGAAAATTGAGTTTTCAAGACTTGTAAAGTTGGATATTGTAAATATTTGTATTTCTCGAATTCAAACAGGCGTCCAAACTTTGAAAGGTTATGAATATTGAATAGGTATTTTTAAATGTATATTTTTAAATTGAAGAATATTGAATATGAAGTTCAAATCATAAGATAATATAGTGTTGACGAAAAATTCCGTCCTGAAGCATTTTGTATTTGAAAAACAAGTTTCCGTCCATATATCCAGAGTATAATTGGTGTATTCTTTATAGTAATGTTTTATCTGGATTTAACGTGAATCTTAACATTCCATGTATACTGTGTGAAAACTGTAACATCTTAAAATATTGCAGTGGATAAACTAAGGTTCATTTTGTGTATATTTTTTCACTGTTTTTATTGGATTAATAAATTTGTTGTTGACAACCCACCAGTTTGTTTCCTGCTTTATTTTACTGACTTATTCCTCAATAAGAGTTACATGTAGTCTCCTTAAATAAGACGTTTTGAAACTGGTTATCTTTGTTACAACTGATAATGTAGTAACCCACTGATAATGTATCACCAACCGATAATGTCACACAAATTGACCGATAGTGTAGTAAATGTTACTACACTATCGGTCAATTGTTGTTACATTATAGGTCAACCGATAATGTAACAACAATTGACCGATAGTGTAATACATTTTTACTACACTAACGGTGAATTTGTGTTACGTTATCGGTTAAGACCGATAATGTAATAACAAACGACTGATAGTGTAGTACATTTTTACTACACTATCGGTCAATTGTTGTTACATTATCGGTTGACCTATAATGTAACAACAATTGACCGATAGTGTAATACATTTTTACTACACTATCGGTCAATTTGTGTGACATTAGCGTTTGACCGATAATGTAACAATTGACCGATAGTGTAATACATTTTTACTACACTATCGGTCAATTTGTGTGACATTATCGGTTGACCTATAATGTAACAATTGACCGATAGTGTAATACATTTTTACTACTCTATCGGTCAATTTGTGTTACATTATCGGTTGACCGATAATGTAACAATTGACCGATAGTGTAATACATTTTTACTACACTATCGGTCAATGTGTTACATTATCAGTTGGTGATACATTATCCGTTGGTTAATACACTATCAGTTGTAACAATCTTTTCATATTTTTTTTTTAAACAAGGGGTACCCCTTGCCCATTTTTGTTCAACAACTGCTTTTCAGAAGTACTACACAATTGACACATTCTCTATATTTTCTGACCAGATTTATTACACTTAGTACTTTTCATGTTCTACATACATAAACACATCATTTTCTTATTGATATTTATTTGCATATTGCTAGAAATCACAATACATAATGAAATAAGTAGGTAGGAAAATAACTGCAAATTGGAGATGAACTTAGGTTCACTACAAACCTATTCTCTACACTGATTATAAAATGTCTACAATTATCCAGTTTTGTAGTTATTTGGTCAATATTATAACCCCTTTACAGAAACTGCCTCATCAAAAAAAAGAAGCTTTGTTACAACTGATAGTGTAGTAACAAACGGATAATGTATCACCAACCGATAATGTCACAAAAATTGACCGATATTGTATCACTAACCGATAATGTAACAAAAAGTGACTGATAGTGTAGGAAATGTTACTACATTATCAGTCAATTTTTGTTAAATTATCGGTCGTAACCGATAATGTAGCAAATATTGACCAATAGTGTAGTATCATTTACTACAGTATCGGTCAATTTGTGTTACATTATCGGTTAGTGATACAGTATCGGTCAATTTGTGTGACATTATCGGTTGGTGATACATTATCCGTTGGTTACTACATTATCAGTTGTAACAAGCTTCTGTCCCAATGTTTTGATTTTGACACTGGTTCGATTAACCAATGATTAACAGGTTTTGTATTTTCTTCCAACGTTTGCTCATGTTTCAAATTCAGACAAGTTGGAATGTAAAGAAAGTATAATTCAGTAAAATAACAATTTATGGTGGGGAAAATGTTATTCCTCAATAAAAAGGATAACCAAAAATTACAAAACCAAGTATAACACAACTATTGTGTTGCCAAGAATTTCCAAATTACCCCTGGTTCTGTAGAGTTGTTAGTTTTCACTTTATAAATTTCTGCAAAAGGAAAAGTACCTAGCCATTTTTTATGTTCAATTCTATAAGACTTTGCGACAAAGTTTCACAAGTTACATCCATTGATGACCTACTTTATGAGAGAAGTCTCCCTGAAATAAAAAAACACCTGAAAAAAGATCTCGTTCTAAGTTTTAGGTTCTGAGGTTCTTAGTTCCAATACCACATTGCTATAAGACACAATAAGCATACATGTAAGTCCTATTATTCAACTTCCGCCACCTATATTTCTGCACAAATAATATACTATTACACCAGATTATCTTCAGATACATGTAGTTCCCATATAATACAAAATTATAACCTGTGTACATATTACCAAGCATAACATACACATTTTAACTTGACTTAATACCAATACAATTACACAACTTATGCAGCCCACAGACACATTTGACATGCCTGTTTTATCTGTTGATATAGGTGCCTTCTGATTGGTCAAAACATTCCACACTTTGATCCTGATTGGTTGAAATTTCAGCACCACCAATCTGATTGGTCACTCTCCGTCACAGGAACCAATCAGAAAGCAGATAGGCTGCATAACATGCATATATTAAAAATCCATACAAGTAAACTAAACTATTCAGCAGCCACATTGACAGTAATAGTTTTGCCCTTAGGGTCGTCAAACTTGTCCATGACCCTAAGATTGGATATCATCCCTACCCCAAAGGATAAGATGAGTAGTAGGATGAGTCCTGTAAACAGACCCATCCATATACCTTCAGTAAAGAAGCCGACGCAGTCATTGGCCGTCCCAAACTGGGGTACATCTTTCACTGTCTTGACTCCAGTTGGTTGAACCTGTGTATGAAAAAAAAAAACACGTTGAGATTAAAAAAAAGTTATATTAAGGTAAGATTTGGTTCAGAAAACCATTTACTTGAATCCAGAATGACTCAATTGAGGGCTCACAAATGAGGTTTTACTAAAGACACTTGGAAAATACTACAGTAGGTAACTTGGTTTTTCTGTGATTGAAAGTCAAAAAAATTAAGATGGCCTGACGGTCTGGTCTTAAGACCTTCTTCAGAGGCAGAAGACAGTGGTACAAGAAACAAACATGTATCTTGCCTTGTTTTAGAACTTCAATCGCATCAAAGATAAACCTTAGTGAGAATAAGCTTTGGTAGGTGTGGAAAATGATATTTAAAAATTCTTTGCGAGCAATAATTTCATCAGGACTAAGACACACGGGCTCTACGAACAAGCACTCTCTCGGTATTTAAAACACACAAAAAATATGGTTTTCATCCAGGAACAAGTTTCTAATGTGAATAAATAATTCAATGTTTACAGGTGGCAACACATGATGACCAGCACAGTTTAAATGACTTCACTACTAGTCAAGTTCCTAGCCTCTCTGCCCTCTGAATACTTAATTAAATAGAGAAATCTGGAACCAGCCTATCTTCAATAAGGCTAAATAGCGCCCTCTGGTATCCACGCACAGAGACAATATCTCAACTTTATTTGGCATCTTTACCCTAAAACTGACAAAAGTGGTTCACATTTAATACCATCAATTCTTGCATTCAACTGACCTGCAATTCAGTGATGGCGAGTTGTGCCGATGCTGTACCCTTATCTGCCTGTGTCAGTGTAAAGACGCTGTCTGTACAGTGGAAGGAGAAGTCCTGTGGTGTGTCCGTGATGCCGGTCTGGACGTCGTACCTGATGAGCTGCCCATCGTCCACGGCAAACTCCACGAAGCTGGCTGAAGTGACTGACCAGAAGTAAGAGTGACTCGCCGCAACGGTAGAGACAGTGGAGTTGAAGACCAAACTGCAAAGCGTCAATGAAATAAAACAAAACAAAAAATTCAGTTCACTATATAACATGTAAAGTACTACGGCAGATAGGTGATGGGATTGTGCCTTTAATGATACAAGCATGGCATTTGGCACACAGTCAGAGTATGTCATGAGAAAGATATTTGGCTAAAGAGCCATCGCAGATTTGTCCTTTGAAAAAAATATAGGTAGAAAAACAAGGAATGGCAGCAATTTAGAACATTTTGAATATTTCTTTTTATTCTACCCATATTTTTTTCAAAGGACACATCTGCGATGGCCCTATGGCCGAATATCTTTCTTAACACATACTCTATGTACCAAATGCCATGCCTGTATCATCAAAAACACAATCCTTCAAAATCCTCCAACAGCCCTGCCTCTCAAAATGCATTTAGCCTCAATCCTCCAAAATTCTCCCGTTCTTAAAGCACCATTTATCCTCAATCCTCCAAAATTGTATGTTGCATTCATCCTCAATCCTCCAAAATCCTCCAAAACTGCCTGGAGGACTTTGGTGGATTGAAAATAGAGATGTTAGGGTTAATGATCTCTACAAACCTTCATTGATTGGTGAATAATTCATAATTACTTAATGATCAGCTTATCATTTCAGTGTTGGAATATTGTCTGCAAGTAATGGTTTTATAATCACATAACACAGGCTTGAATGCCAGTTGTTCCAGAAATAGCCAAGTTGATATGATTTAGAATTTCAGTAGTTTATTACTGTATAACAATGTTGTTATTCTGTTGGTGAAGGACCAATCATGGTGCCGGAAAGCATGTGGTTTTGAGACGCAATTGAGGCGTTTGTTCTTCGCGCTGTGCAGTGCTATAAAAGACAAGCAGGAACACTGCTCGGTGTTCAGATCATGACAGATTCTAACCCGATGAAAACGGAGTGTGTCTTACATGCTTGCCGTGTTTGACTGATCTAATGAGGCACTTTAGGCATTCCTCTTCGTCATTATTAGGAACATTTACTTTATACACTCGACTTAATACAAGTTCAGCCGGACCTAGCCAAAATGTTTGTTATATTAGAATTTTGTATTAAGAGGAGCATCAGTACCATTCATTGTACACATAAAGCACTGTCGGGACCAAGGCTTTATGTCTGCTATAACCAGAATTTGTAGTAACAGTGTTTGTACTAAAGAGAGTCGACTGTAGTCTAGTCTTTTCAGTCAGGGATTTTGTGAAATGAATAGAACATCGAAGATCATCTGACAAACGTAAATTGCTTAAATCCTGCAGCCTATTTTTCCGACGTATTTCTGGAGATGGACTCAAGCATCGAAGTGACTTGAAGCGGAGTTTGACAACTGTTAAGATACTTTTGCTTAGAGAAAGTTGAGGACAAGTACAAGAACACAGCATTCTACCAGCAGCTGGATTTGAACCCCTGACTTTCTGATCTATAGCCATAGACCCTACCTACAAGGTCTAGTACCCTACAGTCATTTCATGATAAAGAAAGCAGTGAGAAATATTGGTCTCACCTCATTTTGAAGTCATTCAGGCCTTGGGGATTTGTTTTCAGTTCCATTTCAAATCTGTGAATCAAAATAAGGGGAAAAAATTCAACCTGTGGGATTAGCACTTCAACAATCATTAAATGTGAGGCACTCTAGCAAAATGAGATGGAACAGGGTGGCATGCAACTTGGAAAAAACCAACAAGGGAAAGAATGTTATTCTTTCCTAATACCCACAAACCCTCATTGCAACCAAAGCCCAGTTGTGTCTCATTTTTCTAGAACGTCTCACAAATAACAACGCCCTGTTCTCTTAACTAACAAACTGCCAAGCTTCACTGAAAAATAATTGCATTGATCAGAAACGAGTGTCATTAACTGTAAAAAAAAACAAAAAAAAACAACTTGTAGACTTCCATATTTTTCAGACTCAAATTCACACTTTTTATAGATTTCGGGACTTTGTGCATTTTTTACCAATAGATTTTCTTTAGTCAAGCAGACTTTGTTAAAGGGAATGTACATCATTGGCTTTTGCTATTATTTTCAGAAATGAACTTTTTGAGGGGTTATAATAGATCAAATATTGTTACACTGACATGTTTGAAATTTTGTGTTCGAAAATGCTGGAAAAAACTGAGAAAAACAAAAATGTTCAAGTAGTCTGGTTCCCTGACTCCACTAAAGATAAAAATGGATCAATTTATAGATGCCAGAAAATTGCAAGGTTAGGGGATCCAGTCGAGCTGGCCTGCACCTGTTCATGAACATGTAACCAGTAGCAAACAAAATTTGGACTGAAAAAGGGGTAAATTTGGAGCAGAAGTCGAAAAAAAGTTAGGTTTTTCCAACGGTGGTGGGCCGACCAGCGTTGGAAATGTATACAAAAATACAATTTTCTTGAAAATTACTTCACACCAGGTGCCATAATTTTACAGGGTGCTTGAGACTGTCATTTACCAACATCCTATTAAGGTATTTTGTGAAAACTTGGTAGTTTTATTTTTTGATGTTTGCAAATGTTGTATATTCCCTTTAACGTCAACATGCACTAATTGTACATGTACTTACTTGACAACCAGGTATTGTTTTCCTTTGATTTCCTCAATGTCACAGGAAGAGTTTGAAAATAACCACCCAGTGGTCGGCAGAGTGACTGGCTTAGGTTTCGAAGATTTAGGTCCAACAGTCAAAGTGAAGGCATTAGCCGTCATGTAGATACTGCAGTCTGGATCTTTGCCAATGTAGGAGCCAAAGAAAGGCTCAGCAGCCGGTGCTTGGAGCAGATGTCGACCAACGGTCAGGCGGTCATCAGACTGGGGTTTGAGCTAAACAAACATGAGAAATTTGAGAGGAACATCAAAATTCAAAAGTGAAACTTTAACCTAACTCCCTACTGTCTTCTTCTAAGTACTGGGCCAAGTCCGCCAAAATCCATCAATCACACTGCTTCCAATGCATGCTTTGATTTAGGCCTCCAGGCCCAAGTCCATCATACTCCATCAATATCTAGTCAAACCAGGCCTGCAGGACCAAGTCCCTCAAAATCCACCAAAATTGGGGGGGGGGGGTGGATTTGGGGAGGAATAGGGTTAATGCAGCAAATTCTGAAGCTTATAAGACATTCAGTACTGCTTTCATATGACTTTAAATCTTCAATTTATTTTGGGTCTTGTCCTTCACCAACATGTTAAAAACACTCTACGCTAAGTGCTGTCAAAAAAATTGAGAAAAAAAACAAAAACAGGTTGGATGACAAATGCAAAAGTATGTTTCTACCAAGATTGCCAGCTACGATAGTTGCCATGGGTTTGGGTCACATGGCCCAGAAGAAATTGATGGAATTTTCATGACGTCATTATCACCATGTCTGAGTCGTTGCATCATACTGAGCAGCAGCTTAGTGTCCAAAACCTAACACATACATTGACATTTTGTGCATAAGCCGAGTACCGCCCCAAATTTTGACGTCGTGAGGTTTTGTCTGCCACGAAGATTACAATAAATACAATTGGTGATATTCTACACATTTGTGGAGTTATCTTACCACTGATTTGTGATTTGCTGTCAGGATAGCTGTGTAGTGAGTCTTCTGTCCACGGATCATGGACGCTATCAGTTTATCGGCTTCATTGAAGGCCTTTTCTTTTGAATCACTGAAATGAAAACCACAAAGACATAATTTTTCTTGAATATTATTATAGTATAAGTTGCGAGTGCAAAGTGTTCTTTCGACATCATAGTTTCTAAAAATTGTCATTTCACTAATTCTATTGTGTATATTACGGATGTTCCCTTACCCTGAGGAAACACTGAAGCGTGTCACCACCAGGTTGGTCTTCGTGGGGTCAAGCGTCACGCCTTCCAGGGTCGGGTCCTTCAGGTCAATCACGGCACCAGTGACCTTTGAACTCAGGTCACTCTCGAGGTCACCGGGCTCGACAGAGGGCAGTACCAGATTGGAGAGGGACTCTGTCATTGCTTTCTAAAATAAAAAATATATACATATTTTTTTATAATAACATTTATACTTTCCTTTTCACAGTTTTGATTGATATAAATTTTATGGTATAGAAAAAAAGATGAAGCAAATAAAATCCAATATATTAGAAATATATTTGTCTCTTTACTGAAGTTGCAGTATACTGGTGTTTCTCATATTCGTTTTTACACATGTGTGATGCGATCAAGCTAAATGAGTCGTTTGCCAGGAATTTTTATGTGGAGATACAGGCCAAAATAGGGCCACTTCATCACATCACTTCATCACATCTCTTGGTGTTCCGACTTCCATAATTTTTGAACTAAAGATGGTATAAGCATGCGGTTTTCACAGCAGTGATGCTGAGATTGTGCTCTTTTCAAATCTGTAATAAAAATGTTTTTGACCAGGGTCGACAAACGACTCATGTAATTTGTTTATTCATTCTAAATAATGTGAAGTTTTAATACATTCACAGCAAAACTTGGAGTAGCAGGATGAAGAAATAACAGAAAGAATTTATGTTTTACCTTCAGGTTGCTCAGGGCACCGCCTTGACCATCTGCACTGTATGCATTGCTGTACTTAGTGATATCATCAATGCTCAGCTGAAACGAATAACCAAATATATGTGAGTTTCCTAATAAACACACGATGTAGGCTTCTCCTCTAGGCATTGGTAAAGCACATTGATCATGAGTTTGGAATTTGCCCTACATGTAATTACATGTAAGCACTGGTATTATTTAATATTTTTTTGTTTACTCTTCCACAATTCATAAACCAAATAATACACTACACAAGTGTTTGTAGATCTCTTGTTCAGAGCATGAAACTCAATCATGTCAGTCAAGAAAATGATAGCATATTCTCTATACGTATGTATCTTTTGTTTGTTTGTTGGGGGTTCTTTTTGGGGGGGGGGATTGGGGTTGGGGGTGTTTACTTACAAAGCCGTTTACAAAGACTATGTAATTCTTGATTTAATGAATAGTACTTAGGCAAACCACTTTTGACAAAATTGATATATATCATAATTACAACTCTAGACTACTGTGACATGGCGTTTCCCCTGCCCATTCAAACGTGAGGCAGCCCACCTCGCTACTTTCAGTGACCACCTCGCTCAATTTTTGCCAATATCATCACCTCACTGTGAAGATTTGCAATAAAGGAAATACTTATCAAAAACATGTTATCTTGTGTAATTTATGCGCATTTTCCTTGACCTCTATGTATCAAGAACTCACAGGTTGGGTGTGTAGATGGAATCAACGGGTATTTTTGTGATCGCTGCATTCTTTTCAGTTTGCAGACTGCATACATTTTGTTTCAATCATCAATTTGAATTTTTACCACCTTGCTCAGTTCATTAGCCAGGGAAAATACTGCTGTGACATGAAAGACATTATGTTTTACATCCTCAAGAATTCATGTTTCCCTAGGGCATGGGAAAAAAGCTATGTCCCAGAAACTGAAATCAACTATTCGCAACTGTGTGGTTTCCATCCAGACTATTGACCATTTATAGTGCACATCCGCTACCTTCCTGTTTCGATGTACACGTATGTACAAGTACATGGTGTATCCATCCAACTACCGATAGTATCGCAGGAAATGGAGTCATATCCACACAGTGGCACTCATAGCTAAACAACAGATATGCACACTCAGGCAATGACCAATTTCTCCACACTGAATTAAATGTGTCAATGTCTGTTTTGAGTCAAAATCACTTCATTGGCATTTTCTGCAATCTTTTACAGTGCAGTCAAAATTCGACATGGTTCAGTAAAGCATTTTCGCCTGTAGCGCCTACCTAGAGCAAAAGTTGTAACTGAAATTTCACAGAAAGTGAAATTTCATCAAGTTCTAAACACTCCTGTTCATAAATCGCGAGTTTATTTACCCGTAACAAAGTTAGAAGAAAATTTTATTTTGGCGTAATTTTCCGATTTTATTTTCAAGTGCAAAGTGAACCCTTTGAAAATGCCCCGAAAAATAAGAAAATAATTTTCTGACAAACATCTGGCTGGGTATGTAAGTAGAGATAATAATTATTTATCAGAATTTATCAAGTTTACAGAAATTCTTAAATGTTAATTTGGAATTTTCCGAGATTTATTCAAGTGCGCCACGTTAGGGAACACTCCGCCAATTTGTGCCCAATTTCCGGACGCCACCGTTTTTGAATTTCGGATTAAATTTTATGAAACCAAAATTGTTCACAGAGATTAAAAGCATTAATAAGGTAAAAGTACCAGTATTTCACTGCATGAATTTGAGGTTTGTCAACAAAGAGGTTTGGCAACACTACCGAGGAAAGTCGGGTAAGCTTCGAAGTGCGCCACGTGGGAACACAACTATTTTGGAGGATTTGGGAAGGTTAGGGTTAAATGAAACAGCGTAATACCGGCTACACTAGCTCACCTCATCAAACACAAAGAGGAAAATATTCTGCGGCTGTGTCTGCAGGATGCTGCTCATGTAGTTGGTGCCCAACTCCTCCCTGGTGACCAACTTGCCAGCAGAAATTCTGGGCTTGTTGGCAAAGGACCTGTAGTAGTAGACAGTGTAAAATACAAAGTTTGGAAACTGGACATTTTTAAGGCAACACATGCACGACAAGTTTTCATTTTGGAATTAAAAATTTTAACAATGGAAAGAATTAGGACCCACTCTCACTTCAGTTATGGAATACTTTTTATCACTCCAAAATGACATCTGCATAGGGCAAATTTTCTCTATTTTTCAAGATTAGCGAAGGTATTTTGATGAAAAATATGACTTTCCTACCTGTTTTTCCACAACATGTTCAAGTTGATTCTGTGCTAATCAATAGTGCATTTACTATTCATTGCATGCGTGCTGGAAACATCACATATTTTCACGTTGTCTTTTGTTGTTTAATCTCCTAATTTTCCTCTTAATTTAAAACCCTGCCCTTTTTCCAAGGCACTCCTGCTGCTTTCAAATATTGCCAGCTATTTCAGAAAAGGAGTCCCAGACACAAAGTGCACTTTTAGTTTTACTTTTTGTAGAGATTTTATTTACAAGATATTTGTGTATAAAGAAGATTACATTTTACTTTTCAAAAGACAAAACACACTTAGTCGGATGAAATAGTATTGGAAACCAACCCAAAAGAGGTAGACAATAAGACATGGTTGAGGAAAGAATCCATGCAGTATCCAGACGCCACTTCTTTTGTTGTGTACAAAGTCTAAGGTGAGTCCAGTGCATTTTCAAAGTATTTTCCAAGTTGGAAATGCTTCTCAGTCCCAGATTCATGTCTTTTCAACACTTTTGCATTGGACTGACCTTCATTGAGGTAATATGTGAAAAATGTGGCGTCGGGATGCAACATTCTTTCCGAGGTAGATTTTTATTGAAACGATCTGGAACTAGGAAAATCCAAAACTAGGAAACCAACCATGCCAACTCAGCCATGTCAGTTGGCAACTGTAGAGTTGTGAAAATTTCTAACATCAGTGCATGACTGACAAGTACTAAGTAGCATTGAAAATCATGAAAATGTTCCACAGTCTAAGTGAAACACAAATGATTAACTATACAAGTAGGCATGTAACATTATGTTATTGGTAAAACAATACACAAAATACCCAAAATAATAGGCCTACAATTAGATTTAAATTGAACAAAACGTTTCAGATTGTCATGATTGTGAAAAGAAAAGGCAAAAAATTATTTTTGATCTTTTCAAAATGTTTTCATGTGTTTATTAAGACGCAATATTAAGTATTTTACAGTTTTCATATTTACCTTGTATTGGACCATGCTATGAGCGGGACTGGTTGTTCACCAAAGCACAAAACAGGCGAAAATATCGCCAAAATATGGAGCACAAATTTCAGAGTTCCTTCCATGATGGCTGAATTCTGCAAACTGATGACCAAGAAAGTGCGCTGACCTTTTATCATATGACAATCAATTTGCTGTTACATTATCAGAGGGTAGCAGAATTATAAAATATAAGAAATATATGGATTTAAACAACATATAGTAACTTTTGCTTGTAAAACTTGAGTTTAAAAATAATTGCCTAAAAATATATTCAAAGAAGCACGCTCTTGAGAGAACACTGTAAAAATTCTACAGGGGTTTAACATTTAAGATAAATACTACATGAAATAGTAAATGCAAAATGTTGATATAGCGCCCTCTTGTGACTTTCTTTTTCGCTCGTCCTTTTCGTTTCTTTGCAATCCACAAAAATGGGTGAGGGGAACACGTGCCCAATTTTTAACTGAAAATTTCGTGTTTTTGATCAATAATGTACCACTTAAATCTCATGTTTTATATTCTTTACACCTTAGGGGATTAACTGTGGGTAAAATTAGCATGTTTTGGGGATCAGAACCTCAAACATTATCGGTCAATTTATGGTCAATCCGAATCGAATCAGACCGAAAATGTCTTTACAATTCTCCCAGCATGCCTTGTATGCATGCGAATGTACATAAATATGCTGCCCAGTTTCCGGACAAATAGTCTTTAACACAGTGGGTGACATTATTGTATGGCGAATATTACATAATGTAAATCATTTTTATTGTAGGGTTATTGATCAGAATAAAGTTTTTTTTACGTTCAAATTGCAAGTCATGCAGCCAGTGCCAGTGAAATCTGTCATTTATTTTAAGTTTAACTTGGTTAAAACTAAAGTTTGAGTTTGGCTGTGCAATTTTTAGGGTTAGGCAAATTGTAAATTGTAATGTAATTTTTAAACATGCAAAACAACCAGCAGTAAAATTTAAATATTGTTCTGAAAAGTATGATTTTACTGCTGGGAGTGCTGAGGTAAATGTTTGGATGAAAGAAATCATTCTAAAGATCCGAACACGACTGATACAAAATTTAAGCCTAAGTTTTTTATCAAAATCTTAAATTTGTATTTTGCATATGTAGTGTACATCCGTGACGTGTACTTTGAGGTGAAATTTACATAATTTTATTAACCATTTTGTTTTCAGGAAGTGGCAAGCCAAGGGGACTGCGTACCGCACGTAAGCTGCGCACCCATCGTCGGGATCAGCGATGGAGCGACAAGGGCTACAAGAAGGCTCACTTGGGAACGGCCTTGAAGGCTAACCCCTTCGGTGGAGCCTCTCACGCCAAAGGCATCGTGCTTGAGAAGATGTGAGTGGGTTTCGACAAAAACGAGGGAGATGAATCGTTCACCTGTATATCTTTTGTTGGATTCCTTAACCCAATCCTCCACAATCCTCCAAAACTTCAACTTGCATTCAGTCTCAATCCTCCAAAATCCACCCGTTTGGTTTTGGAGGATTGAGGAGGATTAGGGTTAACTGTCAAGGAATCTTTCAGTAACCAACCAAATTCTTTAAAATGTACAACTGCAAGTGGTTAGGGCAAGGGTGGCTTATTTACTGAATCTTTAGGCAGAACAACTCAAGTAATGGCATATAGGCCATCAGCCTGGGGGGTTGGTCGGTATCAAATGAGGGGAATAATGCTCATTGGGATTTTTGGCAAGGTATGCACCCCTGTAGTCGGAAAATATGTGATGACATTGCAGTGGTGGCAGCTTTGAACCAAGTAGGAAATTATTATTATGATTTGTTTTAAATCTTGTCAATAGTGGTGTTGAAGCTAAGCAGCCTAACTCTGCCATCAGGAAGTGTGTCCGAGTCCAGCTGATCAAGAACGGCAAGAAGATCACGGCGTTCGTGCCACGCGACGGTTGCCTCAACTACATTGAGGTAATGCTTCCCAAACATCGCCCAGGGATCAAATTTATAAAGCTGCACTAAAAAACAAAATTAGGCCAACACAATTCTTGGCCGACAAACTTGTCAATTATAACGGTATTAGGCACTAAAAGAAAATTAAGCCAGTTGTTGATTATTTTGGTAGGGTTAGAAAGAGGTTCCTTTTTTTTTCCTCAGTCAAATTGGAGACCTAAAATCAAATCTTAATTTTGCATACAAATGTCTTCACTGAGTTTAACAAGTGAGGGAAACCAATTGATATAAATGTAAGAAAAACAAGACTAAAATGGCACTTGTCAAAATTGTTGAAAAGGGACCATTTGGTGACATGATTCTGGAGAAAGATAACTTAAAGTTGTCTTTAAGCAATTTACATTGCTGAGGTTAAGAACAAGAAGCAGAGAGCATGTCTTGTTTTCAAAAATAGTCAGAAATGAAAAGTGTCATGTTTTTTTTGAAAAGTCAGAAATGAGAAGTGACATATCAGTCGCACTATAACAAGCATACATGTATGTCTTTTAAAAAATGTGTAAAAGGTAACGGAGGTGGTTTTTTTTAGGATTCGAATTTATTTTCTTGCTGTTTTAGGAAAACGATGAGGTGTTGGTGGCTGGATTTGGTCGTGCTGGCCACGCTGTGGGTGACATCCCCGGTGTCCGCTTCAAGGTCGTCAAGGTCGCCAACGTTTCCCTCTGGGCACTGTACAAAGAGAAGAAGGAACGACCACGATCATAGAAGCCTCCAAATTGGCTTATAAAAACCATCCACACCAATCCGTCAATGAGAACTTGTAGAAATGAACACAGATACCATGATTAACATTTGTATGGTTCACCATATTAATATCTTCATACGAGACTTGCATTGTGCTTTGACTAGCTCTCGATTACTCATAAGGTTCGGCAAAAGCCCTGTTGTCTTGAGATCAAATACTCTTGCAGTTGGTAAGGATGATGTTAATAAATTGACAAGTGTACATGTCTAACTTTGGCCTTCTTAGTGAGAATTATTGTCTGTGGTCTGACTCGGATTTGAGAATACTAAGGGAAAATATATAATGCTTAGGGGAGGGGGGGGGGGGCGGGTCCAAAGATGGCAAAACTATGCATGCACTCCTAGGTACTCAAATTGTTGGAGTCGAAGTGGGATCAATGAAAGACATTCAAGCTTGCCGTATAATATTTTGACCAACTGAAGCTGCAATTGTGAAACCAAATGTCTGACAAAAGTTGGACATGTACGCGTGTACGCATTTTCTTACGATGCGCATAATTTGAAAAGTGCAGCAATGGAACAGTGAATGAGGGTTACTGGATCTGTTAATCACGTTTAGTTTGAGGGATTGCAATTACGCATATCCACGAGGCCATTAACTTGCAGAAAGGATACATTTGTTCACGCCATTTAATATTCTGGGTATTTTCTGCCAACTTGCGGGGCCTTTACACCAACACTGTATCATGCACATCAGTTTAATTAACTGCAACTTGCATTTTTAATTTGGAAAATATGGCGGACACACAAAAAGGGTGCTGTTTTGGTTTAGGTAAACTCTTGTATTTGAAGTCCAAGATATCTTAACTCTAACCACCTCAACTCCATGAAAATCCATCCCCCCATTTTGGTGGAGTTTGGGGGACTTGGTCCAGAAGGCCTGGCGTGACTAAATATTGATGGAGTATGATGGACTTGGGCCTAATGGCCTGAAGCAGTGCTAGGGGTATCCGATTGATTTTGCCTAGCTTCCTGTACTGCTATTGTGATAAAAGCCATGTGTAGCAAGTCCATGAATGTCAATCAGTGGTGGATTCCATTATGTCACGTACAATTATGGATTAGACGCATAGTGATTGATGGATTTTGATGGAATTGGTCCAGTTCCTAGTAAAAGACCCTAGGTAGTCGAAGTTAATCAAAAGGTGGAATTAAACGGCTAACTCACTCGTAGAGTGAGTATGGCATGTATTACCAGGACCAAGTTCTAATTATAAAGTTTTAGCAACACATATATATTCTTTACACAAGCCTTTTTAATAATTTTATTTTCACATGTACATGTACATTTTTACACATGAATCAGGTGCTACTCACAAAAATTGCAAACACAAATGGTGACAGAACAACAAAATGTTAATAGTACATGTACATGTACATGTTTAAACGCATGTTGCATCTTCAAGTATTTAGTATGAGCTGAAAACAGTCTCCTGTTATCTCCTTGTTTTAGACAATTATGCCTGAAATTCGCATTTTCTTGTCCATTACATTTGACTCAAACAAAGAGATACCAGACGAGTTCATAATCTTTCTGGACACGAATATACAATGTACATGTATTTTCACACACAAAATCTTGATTAACATTTGTCCTTGAAGTCGGCAAGAAAAATCTCCCATTTGCCCAAGACGTCCTTTTTTTTTAAGAACCTGTTTAAATCGGTGATGCGTGGGGGAAATAATCACTAGTTGGCTAAAATCAGAAAAAGACAAGAAATTTACAGAAGATTCACGATTTGTACACAATGTAAAAATTGCTACATTTCCCTCGTTTTTCTGCTGAAACAGCATGAAGTTTGAAATATCTGAAAGTTACAAACGTCTTATTTCTAGTCATTCTAGTCATTCGACTGGATCATGCAATATGAGTGTACAAATGCACGTCAAAAAAAAAAGACTAGATGAATAAGGACAAGTAAAAAAACAAAAAGAGGATGAGGGCCTTTTCATTTTTAATTATATTTTTTTATTGAAAATAGGCTAAAATAGCCATATTCAGCTGACACAATATGTGCCTTAAAAAGGAGGAGGCCCTTTTTACTTGATAGTTCTGGTAGTTGTCTACTACTAGTTGATGACCACAAAACCTTCTTGAAGTGCTTATTGAACATTAGTAAAGCTATTAGAAGCATCCAAACTTCATCATATTCGGCGAAGCGCACACAGGCGTTGACACGACGCACATGCACGCGCGGTTGCTATAATTCGTCGGATCAGTGCGCGACATCGCGTAGCTGCAATCGACTCAGTGAGAACGTGTCTCTGATGCTGAATTCTTGCCCAATTCAAAACATGATTCAGCAACTTTTGATTTGACATCGGGATCCTAGAATGCTGTTTTTCTCGAAATATACAGCTGAAGCTGAGCTGAAACTTCATCAGGTTAGTTGTGCAGCACCCTTCTTTAGATATTGATCACGATTGTTGCTTCAAATGAACAAAATGCACAAATTACAAATGATGGACTATACCTTTAAACTGTTGAGGGGGGTACATGTGCATGGTGTGCATTCAAAAATGTCTGACGTTATTCCTGACTCATGTGCACAGGTATATAGTAAGACTGAATTATAATATAAATATGACTACAAATCAAGCTATGCATGGAAACATCAACACTGAACACAAAACAGTTGTAGGGTAATAGGAAGGCAATATGAGATGCCTGCCAGTTCCACAGCTGTTCTATGTCTCAAAGGCCTTGTAAAATAAGACCATGAAATTACAAATGTACACAAGAAGGATGTTTTTGGTTGCTATCATTGATACTGCGTGTTGCCGAAGGGGGGCGGAGCTTTGGGTCCTAGCTGGGAGGGGTCTTCCATCTGGGGATTCACTGTGGGCAGAAAGAAAGAAGACAGAATTCTGTAATTGTGAATCAATCATATAACAACATTAAGGCAAGGTGAAGAGGTTAACTTCCAAGTCAAATTTGGGCCAAAGACAGGAATTTTGATGATTTGTTTTTAATTTGTTTTTAACCAGTTCATGTCGGAGGCCGTGATAACATGCACTGGCTGTTTTTATACACAGGCACGGCTGACAGGTTAAAACATTAAGATTGCCTCAACTCGCCTCCGGGTTACGTCTAAACACACTAATCCCTTGTGCCCTATTGTGTTGAGGTATTTTCTGGCACTTTCACTGATTGTGCCACAGTTCATTTTGCATTTGAACCCCTTTTACTTTGCTTGAGACTGCATGCCTTGTGATGACTTGAATACGACAATTCAAACTTCCTACCTGGTCTAAACTGATCTGCTGACATTCTCGTCATCAAGATACCGATGCCTTCAATCATGGCCAATAATACACCACCTGTACGGCAAACCAAACAACAAGATTAAAACAAGGTTTTTCTAATTGTCTAAACAATGAACTGTGAAAGCCACTGCACAGAAACTCCCAAAACGCATATTAAATACTTTGTTTACATATGCGCTTTCTTTTTGGAGTAAAGTCGGGACGCCAGATAAAGTGGGGACCGTCTGCCACATAGGAAAGCACACATGTAAACAAAGCGTGACGTCATTAGGTCTCAGGCCTATCAAAACTGATGGAACTTACCGATCATTGCTGATCCAGCCATTGCGACTGCTCCATCTGAGAAAACAAAATCAAATTTTGCAAATTAACTTTTGATGGAAACAGGGGTTGACACTTTTAGTCTTGATGTCCTGTTCTGTTTAACCCTAGAAGAGACTTTTTTCCTTTCTTTTTGCCCTGGTTGCTCATGCAACTCAGAGTTCAATTAAATAACATATTTTATAATTATCGTTTCGGTTTGCGGTAACACCATGTGGTAATAACTACTGTCTCGCAGTATATTTTTAGTTCTGATAAGAACTTGTCCTGCTTAATATCAACTTTCCCTATTAAGACAGTCCTTCTGATTTGAAAATCACAGGTGTGTTGAAAAAGGCACACCTGGATTGTTCTAGGCGTGTGATTTTTCTAGGCGTGTGATTCTGTGGTCCAAGCTGGGACTGAACATTGTTTTTTAAAATATTCATCTTGGTTTACAATAAAGCCATATTCTCTCCACCAACGTACTATATTTTTTCACAAATTGTGAAGTATAATTATGCCGTAAATGTATGCCAAGGTGTGCGGTACTGAGGGATTCAGGCGTGCGATTATTCACACTTCTCAGGAAGCTTTTAGGCGTGTGATTGGGTGGGAATGTGATCGCACGCCTCACAACAGAAGGACTGCTTGGTAGTTTTTTAGTTCTGATAAGAACAGTCCTGCTTAGTTCTAAAAGAAATTGTCTTTGGTCTCATGGTGTTACCGCAAACCAAAACGATACTGATACTCCACCGTGCAAAGCCTCAAATCTTATATTTTATAATTATGGTAATTAATATTCTATGCTTGCTTCCATCAATGAATTATGGTCCATGAAAAACAAAAGGCTATTTTTCACCATGTCGCAGTTATATGTAGCTGGCATAAAAACCTCCACAAAACATCAGTCTATAAAGTCATGAAACAGGAAAACCAGTACCCTACCGTACCATTTTAAGGTCAAGTACAATGATTATGCAACTGGTCTATGATAGTGTTCCATTTTGGCAAATCCAAGAGGGTTCCTAACAGTAGGAGAAATCTGTTGTTATGTTGTCGTCGTCCATATTTCTCACAGAAATATGTTTAGGGTAACCATTCAGACATACACAGAATCTTGGCACTTACTTCTCGCTGCTAAGACTGCTCCTGTTAACGCCCCGCTTGTGATGGAATTCCAAGGATCTTCCTTCTTACGTATGTGAACAAGAGCGCAGTCAAATGTGGAAAACAGACCGCCCCATACTGCAAAGTTACCTAGTAATGTCAAAAGGTTCAGACAATTCAGTTAAGCTATCTATCAATATTACGATCAAACTGCATCTTTTCTAAGAGAGAGCCACATCACAAATTCATGCGTTGTTTCTGTTTTTGATTTGTTTGTAAAATCAAAACATTTTTTTTGTGCTACTAATAATGACAATATAGCCAACTTGAAAATGATTTTAAGAACTTTTCTCAAACACTTAATTTCACTGAAATGAAAATATTCACATTCTGCATTTGGTGATCTTGAAGATGAAATACCGCAAGTATTATTTTGCCAGTACCTGGAGCTCCTCGAAATGTTAAGAGTCTGTTTGTGATGTTTAAAAACAATGAGATATTTCTTGCCAAAACGTTCTGCAATAACATGCAACAATGGACGGCCACATCAACTTCATTTCTCCAGAATGTTTTGGCAACAACTTTTTACACTTACCCCCAACAATGGGTGCTTTGTGTTTGACTGTTAAAAAACTGCCAATAAATCTCTGCCTGAAACCCTGCAATGAAACACAGCCATCAAATAGAAGTGAAATCACTTTGCAATTGGTTATTATTTCTAATTATTTGCCCGATTTGTTATCTAATTCGGCACAAACACCCAGTGTTTCCCCTGGCCAATGAACCAAGCAAGGTGATAAAACTTCAAATTGATGATTGAAACAAAATGTACGCAGTCTGCAAACTGAAAAGAATGCAGCGATCACAAAAATACCCGATGATTCCATCTACACATCCAAATTGTGAGTTCTTGATACATAGAGGTCAGGGAAAATGCTAATAAATTACACAAGATAAAATGTTTTGATAAGTATTTCCTTTATTCAAATCTTCACAGCGAGGTGGTGATATTGGCAAAAATTGAGGGAGGTGGTCACTGAAAGTAGCGAGGTGGGCCGCCTCACGTTTGAATGGGCAGGGGAAACACTGCAAACACCCAGTGACATAGTCGAGATCATCACAAGTCTTCCAGTTGTTATTGTTTACTTACTTACTTACAGGTACTTACAGGTCCTCTTCTGATGAAAGGCCTTGTGTGGCCTCTAGGATCAGATCTTCATAAATACTAGATTTGAGTTCTGTTGTGCGCAAGCCTAGTGTGGAGGTGGATACTGGGGTGTCTATGTCATATTTAAAGGGGTGTGGAGCCCACATCTTATCCAATCTGCCCTCAAAGGGCTGAGTACTAGGAGCTGAAACCACGACTTCTGGGAGGCTATTCCATATGTCAGTACATCGATGCACAAAGGAGTACTTTCTGACATCAATCATTTCAGAAAGCTGGACATGTACCAGTCTAGCCTTAGGCTTCAAATTGAAATCACGTGGCTTCACTCTCAGGTGCAAAATGTCGAAGGCAAATCTCCTTTAAAAATTAAATCGAGACCTCAAACTTGGCTGGTGAAATACTGAGAACCTTGTCTTTGCCTGAGAATTGGGACAATTTTGTTGTTTAACCCTCCTACTATTTAAGAGGTCACCAATGGTCACAATTTTCTTCCTCACCTCCTGGCATACTGTGTACAAACCAATGGGGGTCTTGACCAATATTGACCCAAGTGATAACCAGGCTGACAATGCATGTTTCCATGGGAGGGTTAGCTAAAGATTGAGCGTAAAGTTGGCCTGTTTTAGTTTTGCATATTTTTCCCAGTCTGCTTGTGACCTACCTGTGAATTGATTTGTGATTAACAAGATTTACCTAGTGTGTCCCTTCCACTGGCTAGTGGTGTGCATTTATGGGTAGTACGGGAACCGGGTAGTCGGGGTACCCTATTGAAGTAAAACACGGGTACCCTGGTAACATTTCGCAAGGGTCTATTACACAGACTATCCGCTCCGTTCACAAGTACCCCCTCACCGGCAAAGAAAACACAGTTGGGGGTGACCGACCAGCGCCATCTTGCCTGACTGCAATTTTGCCGCGACATGCGGCCTACCACTGCACTGCGTGTACATAGTACAAATCCCCTGGTGTACGTGCGTCACACACAAGGAACGGTGCGCATCAACCAGCTAAATGTCCCGCCCATGGGACATCGTTGCTAGGTAAAAGGGCGCCCTCTTTCGTTGGTGCACGAAGCCCATACCACTGGGGCTTTCAAAATGTGTGTTTTTCATGGAGTCTGTCAGTTTCTTTACTTACAGCCGGTGCATTTCTAGCTCCCAGTATAGAATGGACCACACCTCCACCGATGCATCCCATGGAGAAGGCTCCACCGCAATCGTCTACTATCCTCCAGGGACTGAAATATCAAGAATGATTGATACCGTATCCGGTAGGTGAAATAAGTTTAGGTTAAAGTAGGCCTACATGTAGTTCAGATTAAAGATTACTGGTCAGCACTTCTATCATTTTCCTATCAGGTAAATAGTCATGCGATTGTGTAGTGTAGGGCTCTGTTCCCTGTACGGAACAAAAATGCCCTTTTTAAGTTATTGGACTTACCAAACTAGTTAGCGTCATTACAAAGCAACAGGTATACCTATGCCGTTGATAAGGGCAGGGTCTTTATTATTTTAGGGAAATTTGGGGGTAAAGCGATGATGAAGATGACAAAACGCATGACAAAAAAAATGGCAAACACCACAATGCACAGTGAATGTCACAAAACCGCGTTGATTCGTGTATGGCACCAACTGTAAACGTAGTGGCTATCGTTATGACAGCCATAATGAAATTTTCAAATACTATTGTTACGGCATTGTACAAACACAATGCAAATTTATCAGATTTGACTGCCTTTCCAACCAGAGCACTTCGGTAGCTCAATTGGAAAAGACGTTTAGCTCTATGAGGTGGTGGGGACCCTGGTTCGAACCCCGGCTGCGCTACTCAATTTTGTTTTCCTTACTTTTTTTATTAATACTAGATTTCGTAAGTTTCAGGTTTTTAATCAAATTGTTCTTTTTATTTAAGTAGATTTTGTTTTCTTCTTTGAAATTACTATAAGTGGTTTTGGAGGATAATTTTTTAAAAAGAGAAATTTAAAGAGAACCATGACTATGAGAACATCACATTTTTTACCACCGCCAGAAATTACAATTACAAAACTCACAAGTGCATGTTATTAAATATTAGAATTACAAAAATAGGAGGGGTTTTTGTTGAAAAGGTCTTTTTTGGATGATAAAAACACTCCTGACTCTAATTTGATCAAAACTAAAGAGGGGCCATAAAGTTACACGGGTTCAAGTTACACTACACAATCGCCCAAAACGGCTCCCACAATAAATACACAACTTCACAAGGAATCGGGGAACCGAATGATGTAACACATGATAAATGATGATCATTTCACGTTCACCGGCAACTCGACTCGCATTTCATTCAAATGAAACACCGTCAATACAACAGAGGCATACGGTCACTCATCCCCTATTTACCCCCAAAATTAGTTATTGTATTCTGAAGCTTTCACAAAACGTGAATGTCATGTAGGAAGTGTAAATTTCGTCGCAAACTTACCATGGTTCACGTGCGTATTCTTCCATTTTGCATTTTCTGGTTGCCTAATGACTTATTAATAGCGCCCTCTTTTGATAGAGGGCGCCAGGCCAGGGCGCAATTTAACGCGAAAGAGATAGAGCACGTGGACTTCATTATGGCTGCCAACAAATTTCAAAAATGGATATCATTTCTCATGTTGGTTTTAATATGTATCAAACATTGTTTTAAAAACCTGAACAATTTCTCAAAAAGAAGAAGAAGAAGAAGAAGCTATCTGAAGTAAAAGGAGGGGGGTCTGAAGTAAAAGTAGGGGGTGGAGCAGTGTTCTAAATATATATTCGCTTTTCTGAGCTGAGACAACTGACTTACAGTCATTATGTTTTCCATCATTGCATGGAAAGCCTGTTACACGCCTGCAATATTCACAACAGTCTTGTAAAATTGTAAAAAAAATAGACAAATTTGACGGTGAAAAAATTTATAGTGTTTGCGTAGAAGACCATCTTCAAAAGACTATCTCCTCTTTTCTCAATGCAAACATTTTTCGAGAAAACCAGTTGCTGCGGTGTATTTCCTATGAAATCCAAAAGTTTATATGATGTATCTAATTTGGATAATTTCCTGAGGCTGAGCATAAAATAATGGAACGCACTCAACGCAGTTGTTTAGCCCCTCCCCCCCCCCCAGACCCAGCACCCGGCCCCACCCCCGATCTATTAGGAATGTATTAAAATTGATTTGTCGTTTATAGAGGGCGCTATGTATCTTGAACAGGCGCGCCAAGCAAGTCAAACTTCGCGCAAACTTGTGTTATAGCTCCATGGTTGGCCGAGTTCAGTGAAAGCTAAGAAGATCGGAAAATTTGTGATTCTAGTTTTGATTAATAAATCAACAGTGTTTTTTATGGCACTGACGGATCCGACTGATTGGCCAGGATCAATGCCTGATCTTAGGGTAAGCGATACATGAATTATTACGCATGATTGTCAGGCATCGGCGAGGCATCGCTAAACATGCTAAAGTTTGATCTGCATCATGCATCATGCAGTGCTGAGGCCGAGTGTATTCAGCATATTGTGATATTCAGCGCAGGCTGGGGAGGAGGGACAATGGATGATGGGGAGGGGGGGGGGGAGGTGAGAGAAAAAAAAGTCTTCCAAAGGTTAGAATAAAACACGATTAGGCCTACTTTTGCAGACATGTGGATGATTGAAAATACGGTATGCCTAGAAATTAATCATGCCAATCAGAAAAATCGGCAGCTCAAATTAAGATAAACGAAGTGGCTATCGTTGTTTAGCGCCCTCTACGATACTTTTTTGATACGCACGCAGGTATATAATTATTTGTTTCCACATGGTTTAGTGAGCAGTGCGACAGCTCAGTCGGTAAAGGGTAGGATTTTGCACCGCGAGGTTGCGGGTTCGAATCTCAGTTTTGCACTCGAATTTTTTTCCTTTTCTAACCTGAGGCTTTGGAGGATTTTTTTTAAAAGGGAAATAAAGTCCGAATTTCATAACGTTCAAATTCACTTTTTTCCTTCTAATTTTATATTTTCTTGTCATGTTTTTATAAAAGTTGCAGTCTACCCATGGAGAAATAAAACACATGTTTTATTTCTCCATGGTCTACCGTAACGATAGAAAATGGGAAATGCGTTACGGCTGCCGTAACAATAGCCACTGCGTAAGATAAAAATAAGCCAGTTCGAATATTCCAGCTGCACATGTCACGTGCACATCAAGATTTGCCGATTTTTCTTTTGGGATCAACATTTCATCGTATGCGTACAATCATGACAATCAAGTTAAAAACAAGTTAAAGTTAAACATTGCAATTAAGAATTAAAATAAAAACAATGAAGGATCACACAAAAATTACACCGATTTACAAAAACAGTTAAACATTAATATTAAGAGTTAAAAACATTCAGGGATCTCACAAAAATTACACATCTACATGTGTAAGTTCCAGATTTCACTCAAAATTATTCAATTAAAAATTACAATCTGTGTACTTTGAAGTGTCTGTCTTTCTCCAAACTTCTTACATCACATACCTGAATTTTAATCCTCACATTGTGAGGGCATTTTGAAAATCCTGTTGAGAGTTCCACTTTTATTTGAATTTTACATTTGTATTTATTTTGCAGACTATTGATAACCTGCTACGATGCTCCATTTGCTTTGAGTACCTGAACGTGGCCATGATCATCCCATCATGCTCACACAACTGTAAGTCATGTCTTCTCCAAAACCATACTTGAAACAAAAATGTCACGATGAAAAAAGTATGTGTTTGTCAGTTTGTACTTGAATTCAAGCCCGAGTCCAAGTCACACCATCTAAACCTGACACTCCACTCCCCCGGGTCACGAAAAGAATGAAAAACATGCAGTCGCACATGCCTGATAAACCACCACCACCCCTCCCTCTTGACAGCTAAACACCCCCCCCCCCCAGCCAAAGCTGGATCTGCCCCTGCTTTGAAACTGGAATAAGATTCCAATGTTGGACTTCATTTGAGTCCTGTCTCAAACTTAGAATGAATTCTGGACTCCACAGTACTGTTTGAATGTCATCATGGTTTTGGACTTTAACCTGGACTCGCCAAGTCTGGCGTTTGTCCAGTCTGATTAAGACTCTAAGACAATGTTCTCGGAGTGGTTACTGATTTTTAAAAAAAAATTTTATTATGCTGATAATTTTGATTTGTGTGCAGACTGTTCGCTATGCATCAGACGATACATGAAGTACAAGAGGCAGTGTCCGTCCTGCAACATAGAGGTCAGTGCCTCGGAACTCTGCAACAATAGAACCCTGGATGAACTCGTCAAGACTTTCGTCGCTGTCAGGTAGGCAACAAAAAATTAGAGATAAAGATTAGGAAATGTCAAAACCAGAGCTGTAAAGTCACATCAAGTCAATCGCAAGTTAATAATAACAAAGTTTGTAAAGTCTGTTTCGAGCCACTTCAGCTCATCAGCTTACTGTGTAAGCAGATGCTAGTACCCATGTAGTCTGTTTCTTGGGGTTATCCAAGCAAAATGTGCTTGTCTCCGGATGATGAGAATTCCTTAGTAGTTTGTCTCATAATGTGGTTTTACACGTACTTCCCTCTTGTACCTACTCCAGACCATACATCTTGAAGATCTGCAAAACATTTGACGCTGAGAATCAGGAAGGTTGCCCTTCATCAGATAAGGACCTGAAAACGTCCAAACAGCAAGTCAAGTCTGGAAAATCACAGGTATTTTGAGATATTTGATGTATTTTTTCTAACGTAATTTCTCCTAAATTGTTTTTACTCAAAACAAACTTTCTTGACTAGTTTCTATGTGCAAGATCTTTCGCTGGATCCAAACAGCCAACCTACTCTTTTTATTTTGACGAAAACCCAAACTGAAATTAAGTTATCCTTTTTTTTCTCCAAAATAACAGGTTTTTGCTTCCAAACAGAGTCCAAAGAAATCAACTCTGGCCGGTCATTTCACTGCGGTCAAGCCGTCCAAAACTGCCCCGGTCAGCAACTCTGAACCCTACCAAGCCAAAACATCTGCAGATGACTTCAACGTGTTGGATGACGATTTTGTTAGTCCCAAACTGAAATCACCATCCAGGACTGATCGCCATTCAAGCAATCGGCTTGGTACAAGGCCAGCTGATGACCGTTCATTGGTCAATCAAATAAATGATGATGTCATCGATATTACTGAGGACTTTGGAACTGAACGGCCAACTGCATCTACAAGCAGTAGTCCAGCAGCTGGTCAAGCCACACCTATTCGCAGGCAGGCCACACCCAGGAGTAATCAGGCCACGCCCAGTAGTAATCAGGCCATGCCCAGTTGTAGTCAGACCACTCCCAGTGGTAGCCAGACCACTCCCAGTGGTAGCCAGACCACACCCGGTGGTAGCCAGACCACACCCGGTGGCAGTAGGGATAAAGGTACCTTATTTTGCTTTGAGTTACATTCAGTAGTAAAATGGCCACACCAAGCCCAAAAATTTGCTTAGCACAAAAAAAGACTGGCTTATAAAAGCAGGTTACCAGCCAAAACTCCACGTAATGTATATTGTTCGTGATTAGTATTCAGCTGTTGTTTGCTTAGCATGAAAAATCACATGGAGTTTTGGCTGGTAACCTGCTTTTATAAGCCAGACTTTTCTTGTGCTAAGCAAATGTTTGTGCTTAGCAGCGCCGTGAAATTAAGCCCAGGCCACACTCAGTAGTAATGAGGCCGCACCCAGTAATAATCAGGCCACACCAGTAGTAAAGTAGTAATCAGGCCACACCCAGTAGTAATCATGCCACACCTAGTATTAACCTGGCCACACCCAGTAGTTGCCAGGCCACACACAGTAGTAAAAAAAGGAGTAATAGGCCACGCCCAGTAATCAGGCCACACCCAGTAGTAATCAGGCCTCGCCCAGTAGTAATCATACCACAGCCCGTAGTAATCAAGCCACACCCCGTAGTAATCAGGCCACACCCAGTTTTAGCAAGACCACACCCAGTTGTAGCCAGTCCACACCCAGTTGTAGCCAGACCACACCCAGGAGGCAGCAGTGATAAAGTTACCTATTTTGCTCCGACTACATACTTTCTCACTGATGGACGTTTCACTGGTTTTCGTGTTCTGTCTTTAGCGGAGTGTCCCGTTTGCGGTGTGCCAGTACCCACAAAGTACATCAATACCCATCTAGATGCTTGCCTGAAGAGAACACAGCAGACGGATACCAACAAAAGGTCAGTCCTACTCCTACTCTGGGCATTACCTCATTACAAAGTCGGGGTCTTTTCCAAGTCATTACATGAGGTCCATGGTGATTTGTCCTTGAAAAAGGCACTGAACTTAACAGATTACAAAGATTTCTGGGTACAGCTCGATAGGGTGGCAGCCTGGCCACAGTCTGTCAGTTTTCCTACGACTAGGCCTTACTGATAAAGTGCAGTGAATCGATTTTGTAAAAGAACCGAGGCATAATGTATGAAAATGCAAAGTGATGACTAAAAAACGAAACTTTTTACGTCAGTTTTGGAAATAGCAGGAGACACGTGGTAGGTTAAGGGTAAAGTTATGCTTCAATCTCATGTAGAAATGATTGGTTTGTGGAAGTAAACGTAAAGAAACAACCACGTTCTGAAGATTCGGAAAGTTTTTGTTTTATTGCACAGTTAGCGGATAGAAAAGTTTGATACAAAGGTAGATTTCACATAGATCATCTTCAGATAACTGATGTTGATCAATTCCCTTTTTTTGGGCTCAGAATACAAAAGAGGAAGCGGATACCTGCCATGGTCTGGAAGCTGGTGCCGGACAAAGAAATCAAGAAGAAGATGAGACATTACAACCTGTCTATCAAAGGAAAACGCCATGTGAGTCAGGGCTGCATCAAAACTTTGTATGATAAGAACGTTGAAAATATCTCCTGTTTCAAGTTGGAAAAAATGGTGGTCCAACTTGGAACAGGGCGCAATTTTAAGTTGTGAAGCAGACAATTATGCTTAACAAATTTGTGACATGGCAAGTGTTCACGCTGCAAAAAGTGGAATATATTTCAACTCTAGTGAATTTTGTCATGAAGTGTCCTGACAACTTTCGTTGTTTCACATTTACTTAGTGTCTGTGTTTAAATGAAGTAAGAACTGGACTTTAGTCAGTGTCCAGTTTGTGTGTAATAAATGATGTATTTATTGGCACAGGAGTTGATCAAGAGACTAGACGAGTTCATATTGATGTACAATGCGCAGTGTGATGCAGCCAACCCTAAATCAGGTCAGTAAAACACAACAAGAATTACCTGGATTTTCTCCATGCCTCGCGCCCTTTTTTGATCAGTGCAAAAATGGAAACCTCTGGTATCAATTCCGGAATTTTGTATCCACGGATGTCCTATATCAGCAAATTAAAAATAAAGGCACTGTGGTTTGCCATATGTTATTGAAGGCATATAGGTAGTCAACTTGACCAACAAACATCATCCCTTTACAAGAAGGATGCATTAATCATTTGAAAGTTTCATGTTATGGTAACATGGCGTGATGATGTAGGTAAACAAGAAGACACAAACTCATTGTAAAATTTGGACATTTTCAAGTACAATCGTGATTCAACAAATCAACAATTTGGATTTGGATTTTCCCAATCACTGTCATATTTGATGGACCAATTGGCACTTTTCTGTCGTCTTAGCTGAAGAGATTGCCAAAGAGGTTGAGAAGATGGAACAACTCAAGACACAGCCACCGCAACTCAAGGAGGCAAAAGTGTTTGTAAGTATCAAGTGCCCCCCCCCCTCCGGAAAACGATTCTGGCATAGTATCTGAACAGTACAGCATGGAAAGACTGAGAACCCAACAATTAATAAATGACTTAATTAAATATAAACAAATATTAGATTACAACTTTCATAACACAACTGTCAACACTTTTTAGGCATAACATTATACTTGCAGCACTAGAACAAATCATATTTAGCTTTACAGAAAACCATACTTATTCGCTTGGCCTCATGTTATACAAAGCAGTTTTATTTAACGTTAAGTTTGTTTTGATTTCGATTCCCAGAAACTCAAGATAGAGAAAGGACAAACTGAAGATCAGATGGAAAAATCAAAGCAGGAATACTGTGAGTTTGCTTTACTTTGAATTGTGACATATCAAACAATGGGTTTGGCAGTGTTGTGATGTATTTTGAGCAGATTTATAAAATTGACAGTGTTTTTATAATGAAAAAAGGTAACAATGTCAACAATTTTTCGGCAGGCTAAACATCAATCCTAAAGCATTTTAATATAATCTGAATAGTTATTTCTTCACCCTGCATTTCCTTTTCAAGTGTCAGCTCACAAGGATCAGTTCAGTCAGCTCATTGCTGTAGCCCGAGCAAGAATGAAAGGAGTGAAAAACAAGTCAAGTAAAACAGAAGCCGCTGGACCAAATCAGACGGATGCTTCACAAGATTCCAACGAAGCGGAGACGTCTACCTCCAGTGAGGACAGTACCGCCAGCGACAGACCGGTCGGTTCAGTGACTGAAAATTCTGCCGTACAAGAACTTGAAGATGTGATGGTTTTGGAAGACGAAGTTGAGAAACAGCAAGAAGACAAGAGAATACCGAGAGATGCTGCTCAAGACACGAGCCAAGAAGATGCTGAGTCGGACAGAACTGGGAGTTTATTTTCAGAGGGTAGCGGAGGAGAGGAGGCGATGGGAAACAACGGGGAAAGTGAAGAAATGGTCATGGATACATCTGAGAGCAGTCTTCATATGAAGCAAGGTAAAGCTACTGTCACAGCTTTCATGGTGCTGCTCAAGACGAGAATTTTAGCACTAAAAATTCTTGCTTAGCAAAAACAAGTTACCAACCAAAATGCTATATAAAGGTATATATTGTTTGACTGGTTCTCCGTTTATTTTCGCTAACCAGATAAATCTGATTAGGCAGTGATCTGCTTATTTGGTCCTTGAACTCAAATTTTGTTTAAAATGGCAGATCCAGGGAGTTTCCTTAAACAAAATCCAGGGAGTTATGATCACCGGAAATAATAATACATGTACCTTTAAAATGTTTGATCTATTTCTGCGCCATTTCTTTGTTTAGATGACGCGGATCTCATGGCTAGTTTCTCTGGGTCTGATGTCCATGGGCAGGCTGATTGTAGAATTCTCGTTCCTTCCTCACCAAGTGTTGCGTCAAAGGATGGAATGGAGGACAGCCAATCGCAAAACATGACAAGAGCTGTAAGCTGCTTTACAAAAACCCTCAAATTTGAGTATGATTTGTTGTGCACCAAGGGTTAGGGTAAGAGGAGTTTCTACGTTAAAGGGGCAGAGTTGCTTTCAAAATACTCCCAAGCCAATCACAATGGCAAAGAAATCTAACATATAACTCTTCTTTATTCTTGACATTCAGTTCGCAGCAAGGCATTCAAACCAAGGATTAACTGATCTCTTTTAACCTTACCCTTCCAAAATCCTCTTTGCAAAATGGAGGATTTTGCAGGATTGAGGCTATATGGCAAAAATGTGTGGCTGATTTTTGAGGATGCACTGTGTCAAGGTCTTGGGCTGGACCTTGTGTTGTTTATGCCCAGCCTTGCATAAATTTAGGCCTAAATCATATTTGCAATCCTCCGCACTGCTCCAAGATGTCACTGGCTCTGCCTCAGCCTATTGACAGTGATTGCTGGAGGATTTTGCAGGATTGAGGCAGTATGCTTTTTTTACATGGAGGCAGTTGGAGGATTTTGCAGGATTGAGGTTGCATCCTAGCAAAAATGCCTAGGGAGTTAGGGTTAATCAAGAACTGTATTCATTGTTTTTCGAAGTTTTTGTTGTTGTCATTTTTATGTTAAATAAAAATAAGTGGGAGCGTTTGCTGTTCAAAAATTGGAAAGTCTAGCCCTAATTTCTATGCATGAAAAGTGAAAACCCTTTAATATTTTAACACAGTCTCTCAACCAGTGTAAAATCGAGAGAATCAAGTTGTTTTTATCTCAAGAACGTTAATTTTGTTTTGGTCTTACTAGAAGAACGAGACATCTAGTGTGAAGAGTGACCCAGCCCCTGATTCTCTAGAACCACTGTGTATTCCAGAGAGGTAATGATATTACATATTTTGTAGCATTCACTGAGAAATCCAATTTTCTTTTTGAACTTCACTCAAGTCAAGAGTTATGTTGCATTGGCTTACAGGGTATACAAATAATGTTTACATCTAGACAATTTTAATTTCAGTCAATCGTGTCAGTTTCAAGCATAAGTTGAACAAAGAAATACACCATAGAAGTGTGACATCGGGGTCGTCTCCACTAGTGATATGTCCAATGTCTCATCCGCCATTTTTACCATACGATTTGCATAGGCGATTCACATGAACATTTTCTAGTTAAATTTCTCAGACATTTAGACTAAATATTTATATTTCTGAAGTGCCTGCACATCGCAGTAATTCCATGTTTTCACGTGGCTAGATCTACAAGTTGCAGTGTAAAATACAAACAGTTGAAAGAATTGAAATTACAGCAAGTACATTTTTTTTTTTATACGTCAAAAAATGCAAAATTTTGTTTGCCTTGTATGTGCTGAATGGGCTCTGGGTGAATAAGTATCTAGTGCAAAACGTTCCTCTCACATCTGTTGGCCTTAAGACATTTGTCTTTTGAACTGAAATATTCACCATATTTACTACTTTTTTCCTTTTTTGTGTCAATATTTTGACAGCCCTTTGTCTGTCGTTGCTGAGACAAGACGACGTAAACGCAAGAAGCAAGATTGTGGAAGCAATGCCAGCGATAGCGGAAGCTCATTTGGAGACGGAGATAATGTCTTAAGACGTAGCAAGAGAGAGAGAAAGATGGTTAAATAGACATTCTGTAGTAAAGACATTTGTCAGGAAGGCATGTTACTTGTTGGTCTGGCCAGTTATCTATTGATCTGTACCCTGTGAGAGGCAATGTGTGCCCTACAGTAAGGGCAAGCTATCATGGCAGTTGTATAATCACTGATTCAAGCATGCAGGTTTGTCCAATTGTGTTTGGGCAGCCAATTCAGCTTCCCTAAACTCAGCAAGACTTATGAAACAAAATGCCATGATATGATATAATTGTGCTGGTAATATTAATATTGAACATGCTAGTGTGGGAGGCCAGTAGCTGTCAACAGCACAGGTTGAAGTGAACTTTGTCACTTTAAACCCGAGGGTTTAGGCTTTAAGAATAATGTTTTCTTGAAAATGCATTATTTTGTGTATTCAAATTCAACATTATCATGCCAGTTCTGCTTTAAGACTTATGTCTGCAGATGACCGATCGCCACGGGAATTTTGTACGTTAAGTTTTTGTTTGTCTCAAATTTTGTGCGTTCCGCGTCCATTTGTATATCATGTAATTGGACAATATTTCACAAGCTGTGTTGACGCGATTCTAACGCGATAGGTTAATTGTATCATGAAAACCACCTTGGTTAAAAAAAGTAGTTTTACATGTATTTCACTTTGATGGCAAATGTTATTTTAATTATTCATATGCATATTTGAAGTGAAGCACAAAATTTTAATAACAATTCCATCTAGTGATTATATTGTATTTTGATAAAGTATGACCATCGTTTTCCCCACTTCCTGCACGTCAAATATTTCATTTCTCATAATTGATTGCATACACACAGGCCTTCTATTTATGAGTTCGGAATGCTCACCAACTCTATTAGAGTTAGTTTGTATAATAAATAAACAGCTTTTCATAAGATGGAATGTTTGCGTCGGGGTGGTGTAAATCAAATAAACAGCTTATTTTAAGAATACGAACTTGGTGTGAAATTGTGTGCATCTTCAAATTGGCGAGAATTAGGGATGTCTTCTATGCAAGCATTTAAATTCTGACTTTGCTTACTTAATTACACCTAGTGGGTTAACCCTCCTGCTATTTAAACAGTCACAGACAGTCAAGCTTTCCATCCACTTCCCCTGCCACACTTTTAACACGGGCTATTCACCAGCAGTCAGATCATATGTCAAGCAAGCACTGTGACTAGTCAAATTCAGTCAACAGACCATGAACAGACAAAGCAGGCAAGTTGTGGGCACAGCTGGCTTATCAATCACCCGGAGTCAAAGCATAGCTGTATCAAGTTACATTAACAATCACAGCCAGTCAATCCTGCTTTATGTAGACTGGGAATTCTGAACTATTGAAAACAGTCACTTGATTGATTTTCACTACAAGGACAAGTTTACATAGGAGGGTTAATGTTACGTTAGTCTAAAACGTCACGTCCAAAGTATTGATAAAATGGACAAGCTATGATAATAAAAGTATTGTTTTATTGAAGTATTTACATTTCATACATGTACATCACTTTCGCGAACTCGCAAGTGCGTTACAGCGTGCGTCCACCTATACAGATCTACAATTACAAAACTTAATATTCTCAAAAAGTGAAGCTTTTAAAAAAAAAAAAAAATTAATAAATAAAGCCTGGTTTTTAGGGCATGAAGTCCAGCTATCAAAGCTCGGCATGGGTAAATTACATGTACAAGAAAGTTCCAAAAGGTTATTTCTGTTTTGATTTTTAAGGATTCACTTTATAGGACAAAAGTTGTTATAAAATGCTACAGATACTAAGTTTCTGAGGCAGAAGAATCCCCCCCTAAAAAAAGCGATTTGTGTTCTAGAGGCAACAGCTTATTTGTGGGAATACTTGATAAAACGGAAGTATATTTTCTTTCAGTCCAAACCCTTAATGCAAAAATAATCCCCCAAATATTAGATTTCAATTTAAGCTTAAATAAAAAAAATCGAGTATCATTTTACATAAATGGAGGCAAAAACACGTGCAAAGAATGATACAAACTATATTAAATAGAGTCCTTTAAAACCCTCCTACTGATATAACTGTCACAAACCATCAACAAATCTATCCACTTCCTCTGTCAAAGCCTGTTGAAGGGGTTTGATATATAGGGTGACCATTAATACTTCTACAGCTTGTGTAGCAGCCATTGTAAAGGGTGATGCCTTTGTTTGGCTTGCGTTGGGTGAGCCATGGCTTGGGTTGGGTGAACGAAGGCTTGGGTTGGGTGAACCACGGCTTGGGTTGGGTGAACCACGGCTTGGGTTGGGTGAACCACGGGTTGGGTGAACCACGGCTTGGGTTGGGTGAACCACGGCTTGGGTTGGGTGAACCACGGCTTGGGTTGGGTGAACCACGGCTTGGGTTGGGTGAACCACGGCTTGGGTTGGGTGAACCACGGCTTGGGTTGGGTGAACCACGGCTTGGGTTGGGTGAACCACGGCTTGGGTTGGGTGAACCACGGCTTGGGTTGGGTGAACCACGGCTTGGGTTGGGTGAACCACGGCTTGGGTTGGGTGAAGCACGGCTTGGGTTGGGTGAAGCACGGCTTGGGTTGGGTGAAGCACGGCTTGGGTTGGGTTGGGTGAACCACAGTTTGGCTTAGGTGAACCACAGCTTGGGTTGGGTGAACCACGGCTTGGGTTGGGTGAACCATGGCTTGGGTTGAATGAACCACGGGTAAGCCAGATGACACTAAAGCAAGAAGATTTTTCGCTTGAGCTACCTTCAGAAGCTGAACATCAGTGCAGAATCCTCATTAGAACTACATATGTAAATCCAAGGCCCATGATGCCAGAAGAGGGGTACCCTGCCTGAAATGTCCACGTTTTGGGGGGTTGAGAGACAATGTAATACTGTCAGTGTTCAATGATGTCACTCTTGACGTACTCCACACTCCTTGATGGAACTGTCGGGAAATGCCTCTGACACTGGGTCATTAGTCTCTTCAATGCCTAAATACACAGGGATAAAAACAACCCAGAAAACTCGTCAATTTTAGCAGACCTCAGTTTAAACGAAAGGCTGATGAAAAACGTGTACACAAATTGGAAAAGGTTTTGGGCCTGACATTTTCAAAATGGAAAACACATTCATTGTGCGACAGTGAAAACATTTTCTCTCCGACGCCGGTTAGATTACTTACAACTGTTGTGAAATGACAAACTTGAAACTCAACATGTTCCTGTTCCATTTTAAAGATTTAGTTTTTGAGAACTATGTGTTCTTGATAGGAATGAGCCGCCTTGCCCATTCAAAACGCTACTGCCTTCATACACACAAAAAACACATACCTGAATAAATTTTCTTTGTGTTTCGTCATTGAGCACATCTGGGATTATTTGAATTCAGGAAAGAATAGACAACATCGGCAGACAAAACTGGATATTCACATGGACATTTGCCAACAAATAGTCTTTGCTGGACCTGAGGGGACAGCCTACTGTCATTTGACTGACTGACTGACTGAGGCATTAAGTTTGAATGTTGTCCAACCAAGACTTTTTGGGTCAAGTTAAGAAGTGAAGCCTAGACATTGATTTGCTTCAGTGTGAAAATTATAGCCTTTTTAAATGCGTGTTTCTCTTTAAGGAACATTTTTTTCAATAATAACGTGTCACCAGTCAGTAGGGTTCAGTTTTATTGGTGATAAAAAATCCCCACCCCCACCCTAGTAACTGTCGACATTGTCAAGGATACGAGCCACATTCTTGGAGAAGATCTTTTCTCTTCCTGTCCGAGCGTGAATTCCCACCATGGTGACTCCGATGGGCCATGGAGCATTGCCGATAGCCATCTGAAGGTATGTGTCACTAGCCTGGAGAAAAAATATTACTTGGTTTGTTAAAAAAAATTTTTGACATTTTCGGAATAATTGGAAAAATATGTTAACAGCTTCGTAAACAGTCTTAAACAATTAAATGCTAGATAATATATTTATAAAGTGCACGTATCCACCAGTGTTGGTGCTCAAGGTGCTACATTATTATTACCCTGCTCATTGGGCTCACAGGTACCATTTTACTCCTAGGTGGGGAGAAGCAATGAGTGACAAATGCCTTGCCCAAGGGCACACGCACCTTGACCCCTGGACTCAAACCCAAAACCTGCAGAATTACCTGCAGGTTTTAAAGATTATGCAGCAAAGTTTACTTGCGGCTAGAAGATTTTTGGTAAGTCAGTGTCACATTCGTCCTCCACGTCTTGCATTCAGCCTTAAGGCAATTTTATGGCAGAATTTCAAAATCAGTAACAATTGGAAACTGATAATCCTTTTGTTTGCACTGGTTTTTTTTGCGGAAGCCAGGCAAAGTGCTTAGTTCATATTGTAATGGAAATTATTCTTACCTCTGAGGCTGTAGATTTTCATACAGTTCAAACGAGGGAGAATGAAAGATTAGAGATATGACATGTCTCCATTACCTTGACATAGTCTCTGTTCAGCATGTATCTGACAATGGTGACAAGGCTGTCAAGCAGGTCTGGAGCTAAAGACTACACAGAAGAAAAAAGAAATACAATGCGTACTGTCAGAAATAATTCACAGAAATTTATCACTTGGAAATATAGACAAAAATGGAGACTAGCAGGCCTGCAAAATGGTACTGTCCTTGACTGTCAGTGGTAGCCTTTACTATGGACATGTTTGCAAAAGATTTTTTTAATTAACATTCTGAAGAAAAAGGTTAATTGACTTACTTGGAAACTGAAAGTAGTATCAAGAGCTATTAAGAAATCACAGCGACTATACATTTCTTTAACCCCTTAATGCCTGCTGACGGCTAAAAGACACAGCTTGATAAAAGCCAATAAGCAGGGGGAGTGCTATAGCAGCATTCCTGCTGCATAGCGCATTCATTCATATTCAACGGCCAAATGCCTGCACGTACACATTCCACTCAAAGTGAAGATGTCCATGGCCGAACAATACCGGCGTTAAGGCTTTTGCTAAAAACTATCACTTTGTAAGGTCAATAAAGTGCAGTATTTTATCTTTATTGAATTTAATAATAAATTTGTATATCTTTCCTTTTAGTGAAGTATCGTGTTTTTATGCATAATATTTATTCCCAATTTTTAACGTTTTCATTAACTTGTTCAAAAGGCCAAAGGAATTTCTCGGTAGGGATAATAAAGTCAAATTGAAATTGAAATTGAAATATGAAATTCAAATGATAGATATGATACTCAAGTTTCAGACAGTCTTAAATTCTGCACTTCTTTTAACAAGCTCATTTTATGTCATCAAGCAAGTTCTCCTGACCTGTTTCTTGAGTTTTCTCAGGAGCGGTTGGAGGTACCCTTTTGTCTGACTATAGGTGGCGCTCTCCAGTTTGCCTTTGTTGCTGCGTTTGACATGTTCCTCTCGTCGGTTCAGCTCTTGGGCCCACATCTTCAGCAAGAACTGTATCAGAATAGATTTTGTGGATTTTAGGAAATTTCCTTGTAACAATTCCCATGGAGTTAGGGTCTGGGTAAACTATGGGTTTTAGGAAAGTTAGGTTTAAAGGAAAGTCATGTTTGTGCAGTGGTAGACTAACAGTTCTTCTACTTTTGTGGGCAGGGTTCCATCCCCTTTAGGGTCTCCCTTGGAAAATCATACCAGGGTTTTTCCTCCCACATCTTTTCTCCATCCAATTCACTTCAGTGATAAAGATAGCCAAGGTACTTGTGGTGGAGCATAGGTACACCACAAGCCCAGTCGCAAGTAATCACAAGTTACATCGAATGAACAATAGTAAAGGCATGCATTTTTTATCACAGTCGTCGGATGCTTGTGTGTTGACTTGGGACTGGATGACTTATGATTTGCTTGTGATTGACTTGTGATGACTTGTGATTGGACTTGTGATGACTTGTGATTTGACTTGTGATTTGACTTGTGATTGGACTTGTGATTGGACTTGTGACTGACTTGTGATGACTTGTGATTTGACTTGTGATTTGACTTGTGATGACTTGTGATTTGACTTGTGATTACTTGTGATTGACTCGTGACTGACTTGTGACTGAATTGTGATGACTTGTGACTGACTTGTGACTGACTTGTAACTGATTTGTGATTGACTTGAGATTGACTTGTGATCAATCACAACTAACTTGACTTCAACACTGTTTCTTGCTCTAGGATTCTTAAGGCCTCCAAGCCACAGTGCCTGTTCACTGTAAAAAAAAAGCCTTGGGCTCATCAACAGCGACAGTTATAAGTAAATGAAAATGGTATCAATTTTTCAGCAAAAACCACAAGGGGAAACCGACTAGGTGCATTATCATTTTTTTTTTCAAGGTTGAACAAAGAAATGGAATGGAGCGGGATTTGAACCTGCGACCTCCGGAGCCGTTCCAGTGCTCTACCAACTGAGCTATCCAGCCTTACGTTGGCTTCTGACTAGCGCTCCTTGAAAAAAGACATTGACAAATTGGGGAACCGCCAACACAGGGCTGGACAGCTCAGTTGGTAGAGCACCAGAACGGCAATCCAGAGGTCACAGGTTCAAACCCTGCTCCAGTTAATTTCTTTGTTCAACTTTGAATTTATTTTATCAAACTAATTAGACTACCTTGACGTATCTCATGATGACATTACTATCCAGTTCATCATCTCCCTGGCCCATACCAGATGACATCTCGATGATGTCATCAATCGTCGACCCATCGTCCTCAAACTTGATGTCATAAGCTCTGTTGGGTACATCCTCTCCTTGTAGTTTGACCATCTCCTCCAGATACTGCTGATCTACTTTGTCCATGGCCTCCTTGAAGTCGTTGCGCAAACCCTGGATCAGGAATAGGAGATGGGGTGTAATTAAAAGGTCGAGAGTCAAATACAGAACAAGGTAAAGGAAAGTCCTGCTTTAGTTTAGGTCTTGAGCTGTGGTAGCGTGAAGTATGGGAATGAATAGCGTTCATGAGCATACCCAGACATTTTCACGTGGGGGGGGGGGGGGGTTGTTGTTGTTGTTCAGGGAAGGAAATTCAATGTTGGGTTTTGCCCTTCACCAATGTATAAACACTGTATACTCAGTGTGTTACCTCCCGAGTGAAAGTGAGAAAACATCACTCGGGTGGGACTCGACCCACGACCTCCTGCATTCTAGTGCAGACGTCTTACCACTCAACCACCGAGCTTGTAGGATCGGTTGGCTGGTTCGAATGATTTAGCAGCAGGTACCACAATGAAACTATTCATAATATGGAATTTGCATCGAGGTGATGTAACTTCAATGTTGGGCTTTGCCCTTCACTGACGTTTAAACACTGTTTACTCAGTGTGTTACCCCCGAGTGCAAGTGAGAAAATAAACCTTGACACAGTGCATTCTCCAAAATCAGCCACACATTTTTGCCATATAGCCTCAATCCTGCAAAATCCAAAAAGAGCATTTTGGAGGATTTGGGAATGGGAAGGTTAGGGTTAATCAAAATGTTTCTTTTGAAATCTGCCCATCTAACCTTATTGACTTCTGGTGCCAACATCTCATAGCGTCGTAGTCTGAAGAACGCCTCGGCATCTGTTTCACCGAACAATTTGATTGGTTCCTGTCTCTCTCTCAGCCGTTTGATGACCTGGTTATCGCAAAATGAGAAAACCAGCTTGAAAATAGGCAAAACAATTTTGTCAAATGTCATGAATGTTATCAACTTTTCAATGCTGATAATAAGTTAGTTATACAATATTTATTTGCGTTCTTCATATTTTATATTTGGGACGGTCCCAACTACAGTTGAGATGACCGCAACTTATTGCTGGGGTCATCTCAACTGCAGTTGGGACTTATGCTATAATTGGGGTGTACCAAGATAAAAATGAGTGCAATACAATTCATTGATAAACCCAAAGTACTGAAAAGACACAAGCATGTCACTGACTCACTTCATAGCCCTATTCTATGGTCTCGTACTGGAGTAAACTCTGTGCTGAAGGTCATAATGTCGTACTCGGCATAAGTAATCGAGGCACCCTCTGTTCTGCTGTTCTGATCCCCGAATGCGATTTGTTTTTGTTTCCGCATATAATACGGCCATAACCCAGGCGTGGCGCCATGAACTAGTTCCAGTCCACTTCGGTTGGCAAATTAATTTAAAATAAGAGACAAATTCCATCCGGAGGAAGCACGGGGAAGTTCTACTTTTAGCAAACTATTGAGGTGTATGAGTACATGAACCCCTTTGCCAAGTATGAGTTGGAAATATTTCCATAACAAAATTGACTTCATTTAAACTAATGAAAATTCTGACATTTTTATGGCCTTCAGCATAGAGTCCAGTGCGAGGCCATAGAATAGGGCTAGTCACTTCACAGACTAGGACCTTGAGTGCAGAAAAACCTGCAAAACAAAATCAGGCCAACTTAACTCACTCTTTAGCCAACAAAATATGAGGTAAAGACAAGGTCCTCAGTATTTCACCAACCAACTTTGAGGTCTCAATTCTTTAAGGGAGACTTTTCTTCAACATTTTGCACCTGAGAGTGAAGCAAAGTGATTTCAATATGAAGCCTAAGGCTAGACTGGTACGTGACAAACTTTTTGTTGAGATGACCCTTCAGTAGTCTGGTGGCATGACTATGGAAATGTGTAGAAATAGAGACTGGGTATCAGATGTTTCTTTTGACACAGTTGATTGATGCAATACTAAAGGGGTGTTGGACTGGTTGTTTCATGTGCCAGTCCATTTTCTTGCATTGCATGTGTTTACTCCCTTAAGTTTGGGACTCTCATACATGTACATACACAGTATTGAGAGTCTCAAATTTTCGGACTAGTCACTTCACACTAATCATACATCCACTCAGTCAAAAGGTACACACAGTGTGATTTTCACAATTATGATTTGACCACAAAGTAAAAATATTATAATTTAATAAATATCAATGTTTTCACCACACCTCTTGTCTGGATAGAGTGACTAGATTAGGATCCATCGTTTCTATTGATTCTCTTCTCTTCTTGTCATCTTTGATCTCTTTGGAATCAGAACTGTCATCCTGAAAATAACAAATACAAGACAAGGCAGTTGGCACATCACTCCCAGAGTGCACAGATTTCTATTCAATCGATTCAGATCGGCTATTCACTGGAAGCGTTTTCATGCATCATTTTACACCAGGTTAATCCCATTCATTGGAGTATTGGGTAATCCTATACGACAGCACTGCCCAGTTCACAAGTGACAGTCGGGGAGCGAGACAGTCAGTGATTCGGGGAGTCGGTCACTCGAGTAGTCAGTCAGTCAGTCATTCAGGTACAAAGAAGACTTATTTTCAGTGTTTCTTGATTCAATGGCTTAATTTTTAAAGTTTTTTATTCAGTGTGAAAATTTACATCATTTGAACATCTGCTTCTGCATCTGTTAACTTCTGTACAAATGCCTGGTTACACCTTTATGTTTAGACACCCTTATGTTCCAACTGCACATATTCCTATTCCTAACCCTAACCCTAGCCGGGAGTAACACAATCGTATGTATATGTGCTGGTTGTCGGAACATAGGGGTGTCGGAACATAGGGGTGTCGGAACATAGAGCAGTCACCCAAATGCCTAGTGTGGCTATCCCGTACAGTTAGCGCAATGCGAGGAGTCATTGCAAACTAGTTTTTGGTACATTTATGTAGATCAGCAACCTCAATTTTCAGTCATGTTAGTGTAACGTTGGGGTACAACGGGCCACATCGGATAGCCTATTCCAAGCAGGAAGTGTTTTGGGGTACAACGACTTCTAAATAACGAAACACACACCTTTTGATGTCTTTTCCAATAGGCTTCTTCCTGTTGTTTCATCAAATCTCCTCGTTTGAAAAACTTTTTCTCAGAATCCTAGATAAAAAAAAAAAAATATTCAAAGATTTGCCAGAAGACATGAATAACCAAGGCACGGTCAAGGAAAGAACATTAACGTAACGGCAACTGCGAAGTTACCGTCCACAATTAGGCTTCAGACTCTCTTCTGCCTATCCAAACCTGACGTGACGGTGACCTCGTTACCAATTTTTCTACAAAATTCCAGTTGCAATGCAAACTGATCATTATCAGGATTGTCGATGACGGTGTGGTTTTGACTTATTTTGTTTGTGCATGGGCATGGCATCATGCATCATTGATGAATTGCGGTGATTGCCTTTATATATTCGTGCCGCATGTTGTTATCTTTGTTGTCGTCATTAAATAACATATATTGGAAAAAATGTTGCAACCTGGTGCCACTTTTTTCTTCATATATCATCTCAGTGAAAGTCAGTCATTGCAAAAATGATGATAAGACATGAATCTGGGATTGAATGAGAAACATTTCCAATTTTGTTAGAAAATAAGTTAGAACATTTTCGGGCTTGACTCTCCATAGACTTTGTACCCAACCACTGAAGTGGCGTCAGGTTGCAACATTTTTTCCCATATATTACAAATATAAACCTCCAACAAAAAGCTGACAAGAGCCTGAATATTTTCTAGCACAAGAAAGTTTTATCACGAAATATATGCAACACACATCAATGACAGTGAACATTTATGATTTTTAAAGACTAACAACATGCTTACCGGAGCAACAACTTTGCTCGCTTCTAGCTGTTTCTTTTTCCTAGCAATTTCAGCTTTGAGAAAATCCATGTTTGTCGTGTATTAAATCCCTAAGCGAAGTGAAAATCTCTCGTTTTTCTCTCAGATTTCGCACTACGCAGACGACATCAGCAAACTGCGTAGTCTAGGCCCGGGCCGGATTTCCGTAGCGCGCACGATTTGAAAGTGTCAGCGAGGCGGATGACAGACCCTTTAGTATGGTTCCTTTTATATTGATGTACAACAATCTTAAACGTTTGGGGAAAAGACCAGTATCTTGCGTGTGAAAAGTGCCTTGGAAAAAGTTGGTAAGTAAATTTGTGCAGGAAAAAAATGTTATTTTTGAGTATAATACATGCGTTTAGGTCAGTAAAATAAATAAACAGTATTCAGTGGTTATAATTTGTTTGTAAAGCGTACATTACATGACTAGAATCAATTTGGAAATGCCCTAGTTTGTTTTGATTTTGTTGAACTGTCACGACTGTTGGGTTGTGTTGAAATGTTAGTTTTTTAACCAGTTCATGTCGGATGACGGGAATACACGCAAAGTTTTGCTAATCCTGCATTCCTTTGAAATTGCATGCCAAAATTGATCGCCATTTTTCATTTTTTTTGGTTCAACTAGGCCCTAAAATGCAGTCTGATTTATCAATTCAAACAAACTAGGCCTAGTTAATAATATTTAACCAATCCAGACACCATATCACTTTAATAGGCCCCCTTAATGGCGAAAGCACATGCTAGCTATTGTTCAGATAATCTATCATGGGGCAGTAGCTTTGCACAATAGCATGCGGGACACTTTTGCCATTAAAAGGGGGCCTCATGATTGCAGCGATCACGTACCTGGATTCATCTTAACATGTCAAAACAATTTTGGATGTCTTCCACAACTGTCACCCTGTTGCTGTGTTCCTGTAGAATTTATCATATTAGCTTAAAGAGTCATATCCTGATTCGTTTCACATGCTTGGCCTTTTTCCAAGTCAACCTCTCACAGTTTATTGGTCACAACCTTTCAGTAATGTTGAATCCTTTTTCTTATGGAAGCCACATGAACCTTGATTTAAAAACAATTCATAGTAAAATGAGACTTCCCAGATATTGTGTAGAATACCAAGAAGTTCTGCTAATTGGGGTATAGACGTGATTCACAAGGCTTTGAGGGTTAAGCAACAGTTTCCTAACAACACAACCTGAGGGTCAAACTTTTCAGGGTGCAGTAATGGGATTGTCATAATTTTCTGGACGGGGGAGGGGACACCAAATTGGTTTGGTCTCAGGTAAAAATATAAATCAAGTTTTGTTTTGTCCTCCAAATTTTTGTGTGTGGGGGAGGGGGATGGGAGATAGGCCTCTAGACATGGTTTTGGGTACAAGCCCATCCATTTACTTTAACTCTCCTAGCCTTCTTCACTTCACAACCCTTTAAGTTTGGCAAACCTTTTTCCCATACCCTTTGAGGTAATCTTCTGTGGAGTATATGGATAACACTTCAAATCCTTGCACAATTATTTTGTGTAGTTAATTAAGCTCAGTGTCTTCCTCCATGATCAGGGCAAGCAGGCAGATTCGTTCACGCTTCACTGCTCTTAACAGTGCTGTTTTGTGTGAAGTACTCTCTGTGTGACGCAGTCTACCACTTCATCCCTTCAGCTGAAACTGACCTGGGTTTGCCCCAAATATTGGCTTCCCATTAAGAGGTTTAAATCAGGCCTGATCATGATGTCTCAGTTTTGTTGGTTTACTGCAAAGTGTTGGAGTTTGACTGATGGTTTGAATATCGACATAAACAAACCAGAGAGTTAGGGTCACAGTCCAACGCAAAACCAGGCTTACTTTTCTACTCCGGATCTCATTTAAGCCCCAATTTTCTAACTTCCTGAGCCTTCTGCCAAGTCCAACCTGTTCCTGGTCACCCACCGTCCCTTCTTACATGTAGAGGCTTTAAAGTGAGATCCTTAGGGAGGCTTGTTAACCTTGTGCATGCTCAGATAGGCACTACCCTGTATTTTGCATCTTGGCACAGAAATGCAAGGTTACTTGGCCCCACTTAGTACTCATAAAATGTACCTGGTCAAGTCCTCTTAGGGTATTTTGCACGCCTACATGTAGCTGTGTAAAAACAGGCTTAGGCCCTACATGTACTATTTCCAAATGACATTGAAAAAATTCCAGCTATTTCTTGAACTGAATTGGCCTGTGTGATAATCAGTAATCATTGAATGTTTTAATTTCACTGATTTCACTGACAATTTAAGTAAAATCCTTTAGCAGAGCAATTTGGACTTCCAACCTGCTGTGAGTTTTTGTCACCCAATCACATCAACACATCTCTTGAAGGTGTGCAGCAGGTGTCAGATGCCCGGCGACTGTCCAAGGAAAGCTGCCAGTCGTGTGCCAGTGTCTGTGCCTGCGCTGAGAATTTGCCAATCCACCTGCCCTATAATGCAAACAAGGTCACAATTTCATTTGCAATTACAGCAAGGTCAATTTGATACCCTTGTGTTTTGTTTTTTCTTGGCAGGTACCTAGAAGTAATAACCACACTCTCCAAGGATGTGAATTGGATGGGAATTGCAGCGTCGGGTTCTGGTTGGGAGACGGTGCGTAACGCGGGGCACGCTTGGCTTGTTCATTAAATTGACTAGAGGACTGGACGTGGATTCTTACTGCTGTAAGAACAGTCTTCATGTAGCTGGCATGTCCATTGAGATCGATTTATTTTGCCTGGATGAGAGCAAGAAGAACTGGTCGACGTGTTTCACGAAGCTAAACTCAACTAGTTCATGTAAGTATATCCTTAAGTGTACATGTATAACTTTGGTTTACAACTCGTGTCTTAATTGGAAAAATCTGTTTCCCGGCTCTATAATTGAACAGTTAATATCTGAGCTAGGAATGCAATTGATCTTGTACATAGGTTGGGCAGCACTTTTGTGTAATGGTTTAGTTGTAGCTGACTGGGCATGCAAAGTCCAGCATATCCAGAGGTTTTTATGGGGACAAGATGACTTGTTTGAAATTAAAGGAAACATTCCTAATAACCCAATGCAAATTTCATCTAATAGACCTGGTCCTTATGAAGAAATTCTGAGATCATTGTGGTGAAGTTAGAAATTAGAAAAATCACCATTCTTTCCAATCTACATTACAGTTCAATACGAGTTAGTGATTTCTTTCATTGTCATATAAATTTCTCTCTTTTCTGTTCTTAACTGTTTACAAAATTATCCTGTAACAGAACATATAGACTACTTGTACACTCTCAGTCTTTGATACATACATGTGTATACCTTCTGAACTAAGTTGAATTGTTTGTTATGACATACCGTATATTGGCCTACCGATACCTCGTGAAAAATTGACAAATATTTCAATGTTGATGGAGACACATTGTATACTTTCAGGGACAAGGGCCGGGGACCATGACTCTTAAAAATGGGTACCGGTATACATAGACTCTTAAAATGTGGCATCTTTTAGAGAATGAATTTTGTTGATTTGATTTTCTATTTAAGCAATACTTACCCCAAAAAATGAGATACAGTTCAACAGAAAAATTGTCATAATTTCATTCACAAAATTCCTGAAAAACCAGGACCTCAAATAGTTCCCAAGATTTAAGCCTCCAAAACCTTTGGTCTAGAACCATACCTGTTTACCCTAGTGCAGACTGATGGTCTTTACTCTTTTTTTCATCACGCTCGTAAAAAGTGGCACCCAGGTATGTCATGAAAGTACATTGTGAGATACCTTCCAATTAATGTCACACTGAAGGGAGCTTAAGTCCTCCCCAGTTGAGCATTCCATCGACCTGAGTTGTGTAAACCCCGGTCATGTTAACAGCTAACGCGGCTGTCAGTCGCACCTGTAAATTCCGACAAGTTTATTTGCAGTGTCTGGATTTAGTGCACCTTCGTCTCATTTTGTAAGTGAATTACTGTTGCACTGGATGCAGAATGTGCGAAATAATTTTGTCAGCGGTTTGGCTAATGATAAAGTATTTGGTTGGTATCCCCAACTCCATCTCATTGACATACCTCGACAGTGTACAATTCACAGCGTTCCCGTCGGTAACACGCAGGAATGATGATGTTGTTTTTTTGGTTGCAATGTTTCACCTGAAATTTGCAACTTTTTTTTTTCATCTCACATTTCAATACTATCATATGTCCTAAATTATTTCAATTACCATAAAAGGGAAAGTCAGAGATGATAAATGATTATTTGTTCAAGAGTATGTACCACATGTAGAATACCGGTATGCTTGCAATAATGGCATAAAGACTAGCCTGGCTTGTGAATAAAACTCAATTTATTAAAGTAAATTTCCATAATTTGTGAGTAAAGTTTTGGAAAAAAGTCTCAACACAGATGTTTTTGAAATGTTGGTCATTCACTGAAAGTTTGCTATGTATGGGGATAAGAGTAGATTACATTGATCATTTAAAATATCACCATTGATAACTCATTCTAGTTGGTTTCTTGCAAATTCTATCCTTCATCAAATCTGAGACTTTGTTTTTTTATCTGCCCTCGATCACCACCAGAATTATGAACAGCGCCCCTTGTTGTCAGCCATGTCAGCCAGGCCATCAGCAGCAACGGCAGTACTGGTGACATTGTTGGCATTGCTGGTTGTCACGGCGACCTCTCCATCAAGGGGTCATCACCGGGGTCAGGCACTGCGAGTGGCGACATACAACATATGGAATGTCATGTTCAACTGGGACGTCAGGAAGCATCACATTGCGGCCATGGTATGTACCGAGGTTTCCAACAATCCTGGCCGAATCCCCCCCCCCCCCAAACTCCCGCCCACTATCTCCTCACCCATTTTTGTTTGAGATGGTGATCAATAAAGCTGAGAGATTTCATAACAAATCAGAATTTGTAGATTTGGAAGGAGACATGTGCTTGACCTGGATACTAAGATGTGACAAAGAATCCAGGACTCAAAATCAAGTTGAATGTCTTGGGAAGATGATTAAAGGGAAGATACAACATTTGCAAACATCAAAGAACAAAATGATCAAATTATCACGTACATGTAATACCTTACTGAATTGTTAGGGAATGACAGTCTAAAGCATCCTTTAAAACCTTGGCTCCTGGTGTGCTGTCATTTTCAAGAAAAACTGTATTTTTCCAACGCTGGTCGTTGGAGAAAACTGGCTTTTTTCAAAAACTGTTCCTACATGTACTTTTTCATATTTAGTTATTCTGACTTTTCTTTGCAATTGATTACACACCTGTGAAGGGGTTCAAGCTTGCTAGACTGATCTTTGAAGAGGCCTTGGATGTTATACATTATGTCACATTTCCTTAATTAACCCTAACCTTCCCAAAGCCTCAAAAATCCTCTTTGCAAAATGGAGGATTTGCAGGATTGAGGCTACATGTGTGGCAAAAATGTATGACTTATTTTGGAGGATGCACTGTGTCAAGGTCTTGGGCCGGACCTGTACGTGTTGTTTATGCTCAGCGGTATAAATTTAGGCCTAGATTATACTTGAAATCCTCCGCACTGCTCAAGGATGTCACTGGCCAAGCCTCAACATATTGACAGTGATTGCTGGAGGATTTTGCAGGATTCAGGCAGTGGTCACCCCTCCAAGGACCACATTCAAGAAATGACAGAGGATTTTGCAGGATTGAGGCATTATTAACATGGAGCAGTTAGAGGATTTTGCAGGATTGAGGTTGCATCCTTGCAAAAATGCCTAGCGAGTTAGGGTTAAACTGCTTCCACAAATTCCTACAGACCTACAGTAAGTGTCAAAAAAAGGAAAATAAAAATAACTTTTTCTGTGTTGATAAATTGGACAAAAAAATGCATGTGTTTTAGTGTTTAATTTGTCGCTCATGTGAATAATGATGACTTTGAACTCTGCCAAAAGTGCAAAGATGCGTAAATGTAATGAAGCCTGAAGTTGTGGCTAATCTGTTCAACATATTGGCCCTTGAAACGCTCTGAAGCACAGTGTTATTTTTATCTCAAATGCCCTTCTCCTTCAGTCCTGTAAACAGTTTTTTTCTACATTTGGCATTCTCCTACATTTCTCTGAACCATTTATACAGGTAAACAATACAGATTTATCAGGATTTTTCCTGGTTTCTTGGATTAAATCCCTTTTAAAATTGGGAATTTGTGAAATTTTACCGTAAAGATCAAGGCTCTACCTACATGTACAAAGGTTTAGAACAAAAGAAATGGGTATTTTAAGAGAAGCCATTAGGAAAATATGTACCATGAACCCCATGTTGCTTTATTTATGGATTTAACATTGCTCCCAATCATGCCAATCTCACCCCTGTGATGTACATGTACGTGTGCACTGGCGTTTGTTATGGTGTAAATCCAGGACACACAGGTACGTTGAAACATCATCGATGAATTGAGGACAGGAACCAAATCGAGGGCTCCTCGGTTAGAAAACGTGTACAAAACCATTGAGAGCTGTTGCAAAATAGTTAGAGTATAATTTAAGGAAAAGGGAAGAGGAACAATAGAAATGCCTCGATTTACATGTACATGTACACCAAAAACAAACGTGCTGGTACAGTATACATACCACTACAATGTGTGAAGTTCTCCTATCTGAATTTTTCTCTTTTTTCAAGGCTGTTTCAGAATGACTATATTTACATACATACATTGTACATGTACATTATTAGAGTTGAAGCGGTCTGATTATCAGTAGTAATTTTCACGGTGTATACACATGTACCAGTGTTGGAGCAAAGGCTTTGACCCTCAAGGCCAAGGCCAAGGCCAAGGCTTTGACCCTCAAGGCCAAGGCCAAGGCCAAGGCTTTGACCCTCAAGCCTCGAGGCCAAGGCCAAGGCTTAACCCTCAAGGCCAAGGCCAAGGCCCTGTTTTATGAAATGACCACTGATAATAGAACTAATTATAGTCACATGAGTGACACATCATCACGCAAGGGCTGATCCAGAACACAATTTGGGGGGGGGGGGGCAAAGAAATTTTGGTCCCCCACAAAAAAGTGGGTCAACAAATTACGGCTTGGGCTTCGGGGCCCGCTTAAGGGCCCCGAAAAAAATTTGGATTCGAGATGCTCTGTGGTGCGATTTGAGGCAATTTCTGACCATTTTAACCGATGTTTTTTGAGGAAAAGATGGTGGTGTACTCATTGCCTGCCTTTATTACGACGTCACATAAAAACAAATGGTTTCGTTTTTTTTTGGGGGGGGGGGGAGGAGGGGGCATGGCCCCTTTTGGCCCCCCTGGATCCGCCCTTATCATCACGAATTGCTCGTTACGAAGAACAACATTTCTTTAATTGCAATCAACATGCTCGCATAGGCCTACACCGTTTTATGACTGCACTGTATCTATTAAAGTATAAGTTCAGGTCTTCAATATGGTTTAACTAAACAAAATTATGATTTACTTCTATATTGACACACAATTCTCCCAAGTGTAACAAAAGGGGGATCCAAGAAACTGATTTGGGAAATTTTTATTTGCTGGCCCAACATGGTCAGAAATATCAGCATTATCTAAAACAGATACATGCAAATCTTTAGCACTTACATGTATCAGGGAGACATATACAACCAATCAGATCTATTCCGTAGTTATATGCAATTAAAGTGATCATCTCATTAGCCCCACAAGTGTACGGAATATTTTTGCAGCAAATCTACTACAATGGTAACAAAATGTGATGCTACAAAAGTGGAAGTGTGCCCAACACACAAATCTATAGGGTGCTTCCCTCCTCCATGGTAATACGATTAAAATGGTAACAGCAAAATTTCGAACAGATTTATCTGGAAAATGCCAAAATCTATGGGCCTTGAAGAGCCTTGACTCAAAATTGCAAGGCCCTGAACCCTCAAGGGCAAGGCCAAGGCCAAGGCTTTTGCCCTCAAGCCTCGAGGCCAAGGCCAAGGCCCTAAAATCCAGCCTTAAGGCAGCCTTAAGGCCAAGGCCCAGCATCAAGGCACTACATCACTGACATGTACCAGTGTGTTTGCTATCAAGATGATAACCTTTCAAGTTCAGTGTCATCCTCATCACCCCCCCCCCCTTCACTCTAAAAACAGAGCGTTTAACATGAACCATCTGTCAGTGTTTACGCATGTATGTGCCTGGCTGTTGACAGACCCGGAGATTGGAATGGTTGGACATTCTCTGGGAGACATTTGGGAGATGCAGCACACACGGCAGATGTAATTTTGCTGAGAAATAAAATCAAGCTTCTCAGTATTTCATATTCAAAAGAATATTTACATGTACTGCCTGTGGGCGACAGTTGTGAATGGAGGAGGCTACAAGAAACAGTTTTTTTTTACAAGGGATTCATTCTTTATTGTCTTATGAATGGTTCTCTGAATGTTTTCTTGATGTGGTTTTGAGGAGAGTACGAGATGCTTTCCAGATAGTTGTTAATTGAACTCAATGGACCACCAGCGGTGTGCTCCAGCCAAAAATATGTCTGGATAACTCAGTTGGAAGAGCACTGGAATAGTATTCTGGAGGTAGCAGCTTCAAATCCCACGTCGGCAAATCGTCTATTCAACTGAAGATTTTTAGAGCTCTAATGAAGATGAGCTTTTCATTATTATTACAGTTAATTCGAAATTGATTCAATACTTGACTGCCATTATAGGGCTGGATAGCTCAGTAGGTGCAATGTATACATATCTGGAGCACTGGTACGGTATTCTGGAGGTTTTAGGTTCAAGTCCCTTTCCATCAACTGTTTTTGTTATTCAACAGAGAGTTTTCCAGAGCTCCAATGATTGAGTAAATATTAACACTTGATTTGAGGTTGATTCAATACAAGACTGCCAAGATAGTAGTGCAGGATATAGGTAAAGCACTGGTACGGTATTCTGGAGGTTGCAGGTTCAAGTCCCTCTCCAGCCAACTGTTTTTGTTATTCAACAGAGAGTTTTCTAGAGCTCCAATGATTGAGTTACAATAAATTAATATTAACAGTTGATTTGAGGTTGACTCAATACAAGACTGCCAAGATACGGTAGTGCTGGATGTAGAGCACTGATATGGTATGCTGGAGGTTGCAGGTTCAAACTCAAGTCAATTTTCTTTATTCAAGTTTTCAGATTTTGACATACATTTATATGTACATTTTTAAAAGTTGATTGAAGATTGGAACACATAGAAAAGCAGAAAAACCCATGTGCCCCAGTGCTGCGCTGGTGGATGGATAAGAGGAAGGAGCAAATTATGACAGGAAATTAAGGGAAATAATTCTCTGTCAAGCACATGCATGACAAAGTGCAGTCTTGACAGCTCAGCCGCACGCTTATCATAAGCATAGCCGTGCCTGAATCAGGCATTTTGTGACTAGGGCTTCAGGTTTTAGCATTTTGGCGCTATGAGTAGCAGCCATAGCCCTGGACAATGATCTTCGTTTCAGACAAAGCCGATTACTCTTTCATGAGTTCAGTGGCGTAAGCAGGATTTTGTTGACAGTGCGAACAAGCACACTCTGCACGCTGGAACTGGAAGGTTTCCAGGATTTTTTTCGTGGTAGTCAGCCGTTCGTTGCGAAAAAGAAAAAACGGGGATGGGGTCCCCATCTGACTATTGGAGGCGATAGTACAGGTAGTAATAGGCCAGAAGGATTTGAGCAAAACACGAACTAAATATGTCATGTAGAACAGTGGTACTGGCCGTTATCACGCATCTAACAAAAGAGATTGACAGAGTCGTTCATCCTTGTTACCTGTTCACACTAAAGTGTAAGTGATGTTACCAACTTCA